AAAGAGACGTGCTCACATTGTTTTCTCCCACTCCCCAAGTCACATCACACTAGGACAAGCGCAGATCCTTTAGCATCGAGTACCTACGCCGCATTGAGATGATAGGTAGGTAGGTGCCCAGTCAGGTTCTTTTTGCCGTATGTATGTATGTATGTATGTATATGCAATGCACGACTAAATAGTTTCGGCCCTTGATTGTTTTCCGCCCAGTTGCCGAGAAGAGAGGGAGAGGAGGGGTGCGTACGTGTGTGTGAGAGAGAAATATAGGCGAGCACGTATAGGGGAGGAAACGAAACAAAAAACGAGCATCTAATCACGTTGCCTCGTCCAGCCAAGCGAGCAAAGATCCTTTCATACTGTACACGCGGCAAAAGGAGAGAGCAAAGGACGGGATCAAAAAGTTCCTTCTGCCGTCCAACAAAGGGTCCCTTGTCGTAAGTTTCTTAATTTTAACTGGGCACCCGGGAAAGACAAAGAGAGAAAACACACCACCGACGAGAGAAAGGGGAAAAGCAGTCTCCTTTTTTTTTTCTCCCTCTCCATGCGCGATTCCCTCACCGAGCATATGCAAATCGCAACTCTAAATCGAAAAAAAAAAAAAGAGGCGTGACCCTTTCGGAACGGGTCCCTTGTTTTTCCCCTCCTTCTTTTCCCCTTCCCTTTTTTCTTTTCCGGGGTTATTTTGTCTTGCTACTGACGACGCTTCTTTTCGCTCCGGTATAGGATAGATAATAGTACCAGGTAGGTAGTTAGCACATAGGTAAGGCGCCAAACTCGGCTCAAGTCTCCCCTCCTTTTGACAGCACCCCCCGATTTGCTTCGATGGTCTGGTCTGGCATCTAGAACTTGTCCAAGGAAAGAAAGCCGGGCCATGGGGTTTTTGGTGTTGGATTTAGCCAAGTTGATGCTGGCTCTGCCGCTGCTGCCGCTGCCGTTGCCTTGCCTTGCCTTGCTGCTAATGCTTCCCGTTCCGAGGAGGATTCGAAGCGCTTCAAGGGCAGATCAAAAGCAAAAGCAAAAAAAAAAGGCTCGCGAATGAAGGGCGGCCACCGGCCAACATCCCTGTGCTCCGGGCTGCAGAAATTGAGGTATTGGGTGCATCCCGTCGATGCGACTGGCCGGAAGCTCGCATGTAAACTAACTGTAGAGGCATGCAAAACTACTGCAGAAGTGCTGCAGGCGGCCCTTTGTGTCTCATTCAGCTATGCCGGATGCAGTTTTGCCTACATGTGAGGCCCTCGGCAAATCCTCCATTACCGCCCGCATATGCAATGCGCATGCGCCCTCGTCCGCACATCACCCACGCGAGCCCATGCGGGCCTCGTCCCTGGAGAAGCCAATAGGCCGAATTATTTGGTTTCTCTTTTTTTTTTTTGGAGCCGCCGGCGAGGTTTTTTTTTTTTGCACCTCGAGCACCTTTGTGAGCTTTTTTTTGCCTAATTCATTTCTAATCCCGGTGTTCTAAATGCCCGACGACTCGACTCGACTCGTCCTGGCTGTGTTCTAACAGAGAGATTGAATCGATTCTGCTGTTAGCCTCTGGTGCAACGCCGCGAATAGAGTTTGATTACAAGACTGCTGGATCGGCGCGCCATGTCATTCAAGGCAGTTCAGTTTCAGTCCTCCCTCCTAAAACCCACCAATTGGCATCATCATCATCATCATCATCCATCGAGGCAGACACAGACAGACAAGATACAAAACAAAACCTCATACACAAAACCACGCCCAACAAACCCAATTGCGGCCTAGCCAGCCCGCGTCCTGGACGGCCGCTTCGCCTGAATCTTCCGGCTCCACCCCGCCGACGTCTCCCTGAAAACTCTATTTAATGGGCTTCCTGGGCCAGGGGGGAGAGACGTTTGGGAGGGTCTCAAATAGCGGCGAACAACGTGGCTCCAGTTACGTCGTGTCGTGCGTGGGCAGCGGGAAAAGAGGGAACCTGGGCCACGCTTTTTTTTTTTTTTCAATGGATGGCTTTTCTCGTTCTCGTGGGTGTTATTATTATTATTTTAAACTTCCATTGGGAATCGGGCTTTTTGTGTTTGCCTGGTTTCTGTTTTGTGCTCCCCAGACGCTGGGGGGTCGTGGGTTAGTACATGTAGTTTCGAACTCTGTCGGCTAGATCGCGAAAAGGGGATGGCCAAGCGAGCGAGTGCGTTGTTTTTTTGTTGTTTTTGTTGTTTTTGTTTTGTGTTTATCGTCACCTTCTTCTTTTTTTCCCCTTCGCTCCCTTTTTCCTTTTTCCCCTTCGACTTTGGTTCTTTTTTTACGCAAGTGCATGTGAGAATGGATCATCTCCATTATCCGCTTTTCCGTCGTCATCTCACTTCTCACCTCTCCTCCTCCTCCTCCTCTCCCCCCATCTCTATCTCCATCTTCCCCCGATAAACACCCGGGAGCCGCTTCCCGTACAATTGCCCGGGGCCGTAGTTGATGGCGTCTAGGCTTTCCCACGTCGTCTCATCAAACTGCAAGTGGGAAAAAATCCCGCTATTGTGACATCTGGATAGGCAGCGAAAAGAGGCAACTAGCTTCCGCTGTGATCCGTGATGCCCTGTGAAGTCAAGTAATAACAACGTGGCTTGTGGATGCCAACCACCACACACACACACACACACACACACACAAGCATGTCACTCAGTGAGGGTTGTTGATGGGGAAGAAAACGCATCATCACAATCACCTTACCAAAGTGCTCTGATGTTCTGTCTGACTGCCTTGAACCTCATCGACTAAGCTACCCAGGTACTAGACATCCCAAATACTACCTCCATACTATTTCGCAACTACCTACAACCTTGTTCAAGTCCCCACGTCTCTAGCAGTTAGACTACATCGTGGAAAAGCACCGAAAAGCCAAAAAGTTGTCAGTCGGCGATGACAAGGTGGACGTGGACGCCTCCCCATTACCAATCTTCGTCTGTCTTGTGTCGTCTCTCTCCGTGGGTTTCCACAAAGGGCATATTCCCAGAACGTATCAAAGGGCAACGAGAATAAAATTTAAAATTTAAAGAAAAATAACTCACCTTATTTCCTGCTTTGCCGCTCTACCCGTTTTGAGTAAATGGTGTTTCTTCCATCAATTGTTCGTATGATATCCCGAGTTGGGAAAACGATCCCAATCTGTATAGCTACCCCCCACCCCCCTTCTTCTCTTCCTTCCAATGTGCGCGATTCATGTTCTGAACTTTCTATTAGAAGTTTTTGTTCTAGAAGGGCTGATTTACACGCACTACGGGTTGTTTGCTCCTGGGGCGACGCCGCCTCGTTTTGCTAACAAGCCCTCGGGAGAGATTACTACTGCTCTCCTACCCATCGGAGAGTAGGGCGGGCCCAGCTTTGGCCGCTTGTCAAAGAAAACTTGGTCTGAAAGCTAATAGCAACGCACGTTTTAGAGGAGGGGCGAGGCGTTTTCCGCTCTTCTTCGTTCGCCGCCAGCTTTGTAACCCATGGTAAGGGGGGGGAGCCAGGAGACAAGCAAGAAACGCCTCACGTCGTCCAATTTCCTTCTCCCATTCTTTGGAAGAGAGAGAGTGCTTTGGCTGCTGGGGACACACCCCCCCATATGTGCCAACTAATGAGGGAAAAGGTCTGGAGGGTTGAGAACCAATTGCCCACCACTGGAGAGATAGCCCAGACGCTTGGTGTTTCTCTTGTTGACGCTGTGTGCGTCGGCCCGAGATTCCCTGATGTGCCCTTTCGCAGAAATCTCCTTCAAGTACCTAGGTTGGGGGGTTTCGGACGACGGACGTGAGCCCGCCAGGCCCGGAGAAAGCTGCGGACTCTTCTCCGTCCGTAACCCCCTATCGATCGAGACACGTCAATGTTCGTTCGCCCGCGGAACTCCAACTCTGGGCGTTCGATGGCCCCCTTGTCTCGCCACTTTTTTTTTTATTTGCTTATGCAATGTTCTCACTCTTGAAAACTTTTTGAGTTTTTTTCCCCCCCTTCTATTCAACGTTCTTTTCTTTTGCTGACTTCTTTCTCCCCTTTCAGCTCCGCCCCAGGTTTTTTTGTAATCACACCCGCGTTCCAGAGAAGAGCGAAGGGGAAAACGTGACACACACACACCCTCCCCCCGGACCGCTGGGACGGACGCGGCGTTTTTCTTTCCCTATTTCCCTTATTACATACCTACCTACCTAACCCATGGTAGTCTCTTCTGCTTTGGCGCCGAGGGCTTGCGTGATACGTCATGTTTTTTCTGATTACCGATGACAGCTACTTAACTGGTCTTGGCTAGATTTCCGCTCGAGAATCGGTGCTAAGCAGGACTGGTAGCATTTTTTTTCGGCTTCGACAGAAGGGGGGGGTTGGATGGATGGTGTTGTCGGCTTTCAAGACGTTTGACTTACGGCCTCTTAAGCTTGTAGAAAAACCGCGGCGGTGTCTTTCTTTCGTCGGCCTTTGTCCGTTACACTACTGCGCGCTTCCTGCTTCCTGGCGCTACTGGCCGTTGAAGAGTTGCCCAAATGTGATGTCGGGAATCAAAGATACGAGCAGCCGAATAGCCGTCAGTACCTAGGTAGGGAGACAGTGAGAGAGAGAGGGGGGGAACTGGCCCCCATCTGTAGTTTTGAGGCGTTGATTCGTTCGTAGACTTGGCATTGTGCAGAGTTGGTTGTTGGACATTCTCTCATTGCCAACGGATGTGGTTGCGGGCGCAAAGCGAGCTCATTGCGAGTTTTGTTGTATCGTTATTCTATGGTATGGAGAGTCTTTGTCCGTCAATCAAGAACATCTTGTCCTCTGTCTAATCTTTTTGGTTGTCTCTGTCATGTCTCTTTCATGTCTGTACTTGTCCAGCCTAATATTTGCCAAAACCTGTCTAGATGTATAGTAGTGCGATCCGTACGCCCGTGTCTAACTGCACCACTGCGCCCTCCCCCCAACAAACGTTGATAATAGTATTACAAAATTCGTACAGCCAGATAGAATAGCATGCTTACTTGCAGATCTCAAATGCCAATCTCGGCTTCCTTCGGGTTGTCTGTCATTTATGACCGTGGGGTCCGTTTGCCAATATTCCATCCCCATCCACGAAGCACCTTGACCACCTTGGGCGTCACCGCCGCTGTCAAGGGCACCCGAAGGAAGATGAAGCTCTTGTGGATTGCGTACGCCAGCGCCAGCTGCGTTGCCAGGCCTGCCACAAAAAAAAGAGAACCATTAGCTTCCTATTGTCTCATATCAATGCCATACTGTGCCCTCCTCGGTTGCGAGTTACACGCCTCGAAGAGCAGTCGGGCATAGTCCGATGACGTGGAGTCGTGCAAGACATTGCCAACGCAACAAGACAATCTCGGGAGAGAGGGGGGGGGGGGGGGGGGGGGGTCGTTCAAAATAACAGGCTTCTTCTTTTTTTCGCTTTTGCGCCTTCTCTACACCCCCCCCCCCCCCCCCCCCCCCCCCCCCCCCCCCCCCCCCCCCCCCCCCCACGTTCAAACTCACTGGCTTCTTCTTTGTTGCGCTGTTGCGCCTTCTCTACTCCCCAGCCCGCCATTTCCACCTTGTCGCTGATTCCGTTGCTGCCCAGATGCTGCTTCTCTTCTGTCTTGAGAGATTCTCGCCATTCGTTCCATCGTACTCGCACCGATTCGGGGATAAACTTGGAGACTGCAGACACGACGTAATGTTCGACTTGACCTGTTTGCCACTCCCACGCTCACATCAGCATACTCATATTCATCCTCATACTTATACTCATACTCCTTTAGCACAGCATCGACCGCGGAGAGGGACACGTACCTATACGCTCTGTCCCGACCACCCTCACCAGGAGGAAGCAGAACGGAAAGTCCAGCACGCTGAGCGCAAAGTAGACTCCGACGGCCGACCACCCGTATTCCCTGGAGAGCTTCTTGAATCTCCCGCTCAGTGACAACTTCTCCTGGGCCCCTTGCGCCGTGTTGCGCCTCCATGCCGAGAACATAAAGCTCCGCCTTTGCGCCCCCCTCGCAAAGCCGTCAGCTATCCTGACATTTGGTCGCATCGAAGCGCCGTGGCGCGTGGTTCCCCGCCAGAGCTGAATTGAATGTAACCTCGTCCATGATGTGCTGCTACTGCTGCTCTGGAGCCTTGAGACGGGCTGTGACGAAGACAGCCTTGCCCACGCATCCCTCAATGCTCCATATTGTGCCGTCGAGCCCTTGGCCGCCCCAAACGGTGTCGCTCTCGATTGAAACGCCGCTCGAATCATTTCGTAGGATGCAACGAGTGCAGAGGTTCCTCTTCTTCCTCTTTACCCAACGTAGTTGTGTAAATGGGACTTGACTCCGTTCGTGAAAGGGAAACAGAATGACGATGGTCTCTAGAATTCTCGCCGAACCTCGCAGAAGGAATCACCGGTGAGATGGAGATAGCGGAGCCTCGGAGCTCCAAGAGTCCGCACCGGCAGCAATTTCGTATGCCGTGTACTTGTAGCTCAAGCCGGAATTGCCGAGAGAAATACGCGTGTACGATGCCGAGAGCGCAGCAATTGCAATGGCTCCCCAAGACGTAAATAAGGATGAAAAGCAACAAGGGAGAAAAAGAGGACAATCAATCGAAAAGCCCGCTTCGGCCTCGTGAGCAAACAACGATATTTGCTTTGTTGGGGCTGGTGGGGTGATCAAAGCATGAGGTAGCTGCAGCTTGGATTTTTTTCTTAGCCTTCTCAATTTTTTCCCCTCTTGCTAGGGCTGTTCCGACAATTCTCTGGCCGTCTGGTCACGATGATGTAAAAACACGGCTCTCCCCGATCCGGCTCCGTCAAAAGGATCGGGACAGGGATGAGGCGCGCTAGCAGGGCTGGTGATGCATATCACGTGCTGAAGCCTTGGGCGACGACGTTGAAGATGGAGAGAAAGTTGTAAAGGCGTGGATTGAGAACGAATGTAGGCAAGGTATGAATTTCTGTTTAGTTTTCAGGGGAATTAGGTATATATTATACGTCTCTTCTTTGGTTGGCTGACGATGCGTATCGAATGGGTTTAATATCCACACACACTTAGCCTTACGTGTCTGAAAGATGATGGTTCCTGGCTTGGTAGATGTAGTTGCTCGGTAGATGTGGTTGATGTGTGTATAAGAAAATGAGAACAGTTGTCTTAGTTCATAATACAATTTTTGAAATTATTTTCTTCTACCTAGTCATGCTGTTCCGTTGAAGTTGTAGATGCTTTTGGCCAAGAGTAGGCTCGCAACGACCCAAGAGTATCCCGCATCACGGCCAATATCTTTCCACTATTGATATGGGATACTTGATGGAAGATGTATATAGTTCAAGTAAACGTACACATTCCTTATCGTAATTCAATACAAGACTTCAGTATAACTATCGTGATGAGTAACCTTGTATGCTTGCATTCCGTCAGCATCGAATAACATGAGCTTCATACACAACACCATCAAAACTGAGGCATGCTATCAATATAAAATCTGCCTCACACACTCAATAATTGTAAACGCGTCTCTCGTTGCAGCCTAATAATTTGATGCAGTGATTCAGGGACACGCTGCCAGGTGCTCCTGCCACATGTTCAGTGGCATCCCTCAGTGGCATCCCCCCCCTGAACAGCTGTTCGTCACCTGCCAATTCCTCCAACATCAGGCCAGTCACTCCCTAAAGGCTTCTGTGAATTAAATTCTGCCGCACCTCGTGCCATAAAGGTGCATAAATACGTACGTTTCCTCCCTCACCGACATCGGCGCCTTTTTTTCTTCTTCCTCCTCCTCCATCCTCCTCTCCAAAACATGGGCTCCTAACACTCTGCCCTCTCTCGAGCAGCAACGCAACGCCTATCCTCCGTACTTGGTACTTGGCCTCTTCCTTTCCGAAAAGACAAGATTTCGCTTGCGCCTCGCCTCGCCTTGCCTCGCCTCGCCTCTGGGACATGAAATCTCCCAGCTTCGCCGATCGCCCTGACCATATGTATGATCCTGGTGGCCAGCCTTAGGTTTCCAGAGGTTGCTTCTCCTACACAGAGCTGGCTTCATGATCTGTCTTCAATCAGCCAAAGTTTACTCCATCACTTGGGAAATTTTGGTTGCCAATCACGCCATTCACCATATTTTTCCCCTTTCACTCGTTTGACTGACTGACTGCAATTCACTCGTTTTTTCTTCTGTCGTTCTTTTCGTCACTCATTTTTTCCTTTGTCTTGTTTTTTATACTACTTTGCCTTCTTTTACTGGCTCATTCACTTCATTTCTGTTCCTCTTCTCGTCATTACGACTTTGAAATGGCGCCCCCGCCTCGAACGTATGGGAAGAAGAAAAGTTTGCTTGGCCCCCTGGGCTCCCGACATCGTTCCAAGGCCTCGGCCGATTTCCCTCCCGCAAAGAACCCCGGTAAGCCATTTCTTTTATATGGCACATAATAAGAGGCGAAGCTAACTTGGGAGTAGATCTTGGTTCACAATCTGTGAGCCCCTGCTCCGACACCGCGAAGCGACATTCTCGGACGCAGAGTAATATCCAACCAACCAGCATTGAGGAAATCGCGAGCGCCTTACTCGACGACAGCAGTTCAGAACTGCCGGCAGAAGAGGACGCTAAAGGACAGTCAGAAAAGGATGATCCTGACTGTTCAACTTCTATTGCACCAGTTCGCGAAGATTCTACACCAGACGTTGGGGAACAACCCTTCATCTCTCATTCGCCAAAGTCGTTGAAGGAAAGATCAACTAGCAACAGTCGAGTACACCGGCCGAGTGCTCCAAGAGTTCAGAAAATGTCACCCAACAATAGGTTTGCAAAGTCCTCACGGCCTCGTGGAAACTCAACTTCATCTCCTAAACGGAAAGACTACAGTTTGATCCGCCCCCTCGCGGACCCTGTAAAGAAGTCGACCAATCGTTCTCCGTACCCTATTGTGAAAGATGCTGAAGCAGTTTGCCTTCTTCCCCACAACGTTATGGATGGAACTCCAAGAATTCTCTTGCAAAGCGAGTTGGCCAGTCAAGGCCGCGCTGTGGCGACTAATGCCGATGAGATTCAGGAGAAAGTATGTGCCATGTTGGCGGCAACGGACGCTCTAAAGCCATCCCCTTCTCAGCCGAGAAAGTCGCCCGTTTCCAAGGTGACTCGCATGACTCCATCAAGAGTTCTGGCCAAAGTATCCAGTGCATGGGATCGATGGCATGTGAAATCGTCTAGCGGAGGAGCAAAACCGCGCGCCAAGCTCACGAAGCAGCCCGTTCAAGAAGACTCTCCTAATGGCCCATTGACTTCCCATCCCGTGTTTGTATCTCCTGCCCTCCAAAGAGCATCTTTAATCGACACGATTGAGATCCGTTTGAATGAGGGCGACAATCTCAACAGAAAGAAGGTACAGCAAATTGTGGGTGGTCGTGTAGCTCGCAAGCCTGTTGCCAATGACGGAAAGACCCTCAGGAGCGGCCGATCCATGGACGATGACCCCTTTGCTGAGCCCGCACTATGCCATAGCCCAAGTGCTATTGAAAGACGCCAACATTTGAAGATTGTGGTTGGATCCAATAGAGCGTCTCTGCTCATCATCGACCCTTTTGAAGCCGAAAAGGGATTCGAGAACAACCTCGAAGATAGGATCTTGAGCTCTTCCCCGGTCTGTGCATCAACACCTCGGATTCATCTCCACAGGGTTCAAACTCCCACTCTTGAGGACAGTCTCGACGAACAGTGTTCCAAGCTGCCGACTCAGATTAGCCTGGAGAAGGTGACCACTGACTTGACCATATACCAATCTCAAGAAGCCATATCTTTCTTGAAATCCCCGAACCAGAGTGGGCACATCAGGACACTTCCAGACACCGATCGCATCACCGTTGGGTTGATACGAGACAGACCTTCCCTGGATACGAGCAGCTCAAACTGGACAAAGAAGCACCCATCCCCCAGCAAGAGGGATCTGGAGCAACTTGAGATAGCCTTTCGATGCTATAGCGAGCTCAAAAGACGTGGTATAGGTGAAGAAGCAGATGAACTCGCGGCGCACTATACACCCTCCTCTCGGTACTTGTCCCCTCGCGATACGAACAGGATGATGAAGGCTCGTGAAGAAGGTGTCAAATCCACGTCTGGCAGTGAATCCCAGTCTCCCGCCAAACCGCAGATGCGACGCCCGACTGACAACCTAAGACGTCATCATCAAATTCGCCTTGCTCCCGTTTACCGACCAACCATCCCGCAATCCGATGAGGTTGACGAGTTGCAGTAAACCTCTGGGGTGAAGGCATTCTATGGTGAAATGGGAATTGGAATTGCAGCTCGTTCAACAAATAGAAAATGCTACAAAAAAAAAGGATTGAGACGGGAAACAGTACACAAAAGTTTGCAATAGGATCAGTGAGATAACGGGGCTCCCAGAATGGTTTCTACGCATAGGCTCGTCTGAAAACTGTGCATTCAACGGTGCTTGCACAAGAGCCACATCTACAGTTGGCTTTGACAGAGTATAATAGACAGGAGTTACAAGGAAATAATCAGCATGAATTTGATGTTCTCAGAAATATCAAGGTAATTATTCAATAGATATTATTAATTTAAAGAAACGATGAGTGTGAGACGTTGCAGTCATCCTCTATGTGGGTATCATTCTGTGCCATCATCATTTCGTGTAGTTGAAAGCGCCATTACAAAAAGCGTCTGCGACGGTTGTGTGATCCACGGCCATCTGTGCCACGCATTCTGCGAGTTCCGGCAGCCTGATTTTTAATTGATGTTAGCTATGAGGTCTTTTCTTCTCCAGCTGCCATGTATTGGTAAGAAGGGCAAGAGATGTCAGTCATACTTTTACGCCTGGACGGCGAGTCAAGCTTCCCCTCAGCCTGGTGAGAGCGCCGCTGACCTTGTCCTTGAGCGTGGGCTTGCGCTGGTGATGCACGCGAGGCTGTCGGCGGGAAAAGATGCTGCGGCGATAGGGCCGGGCAGTGGTGGTGGTTGTGGTGTGGTGATGGCGGCGGTGGGTTGTGAACGGCATGATGGCGGTTTGGATTGTCTTTTGGTATAAGTGATTTGTGGTGATGGAGTTTCTTTGTATTGGGATTGAAGTTCTTTGTATTGTTTGTTGGTTTATGTGGTTGCGATGGAATGAGACAATGGAATTGTGGAGGGAAAGAAGGGGGATTTATATATCTGATTCGAGGCCATCGTCTTACATGGAGGGATCGGTCGATAACAAGATGCAAGTGATTGTGGAGGATACCCTGCAGGACCAAAATCGACGATCGCAACGTAATCGATGCGTTACGTGTAATCGTGCCGTGTAAATGAAAAACAAGGTAATATAGTTTGTATTATGGTTGGGCAGCTACACGATGGGCTTAACGTGTGCAGACAATGCCTTGGCGATCTATTAAAAGGTTGCTTGGAGTCCGTCATTCTACGTCACCCGTGCAATCAGGATGCTGGGATCGTCGTTGGACCCTGTGGCTAAGGACGTCATTTGTGGCGCTGGTGGGTGGTGGGTGTGGCTGGTGGTGCGTCACTGAGGGGGACTTGGGATCGAGATCAAGCAGCTTGAGGATTGGATGGCAGGCTTTTCTGCAATAGGAAATTTGAATGCTTCAGAATTCTCATCTTTGACTTGGTCGTTTGAGTGGAAATGGGATCTGGATGTCCAACAGAAGTTTGAAGCTCTCGGTAGAGCCATCTTCAACGTTATCAAGCGTCTGTGCGAATCTGGCTTCCTTTATAGAAACAAAGTGTCATGATGTCCTGGTAGTAATCGTCATTAGATTGGTTCTTATATAAATACTGGTTACCGACAGGTCGCTCTAGCCATCTCCCGCATCTTCTCAACCGTCTCTCTTAATCGTTTTTTCTCTTCGCTCTCAACTACAATCCCCCCGTTACGGCCATTGAACTTAAATTTAGCTCCTGCTGCCAATAGCTTATCAACAATCTCTTGGTCACCTCTACTGACTGCTACCGCCAGTGCAGGTCCTATATCAAGGAATTTATTAGAAGCATTGACATTGGCTCCTGCTGCTAATAGCTTCTCGACAATCTTTTGATGGTCGATTTCAGCTGCTGCTAAAAGCGCACTCCCAGCGCCTGGAGAATTCACACCGGCACCTGCGGATGATAGCATCTCGAAAGACTTTTGATGGCCTCCTTTCGCTGCCGCCAAGAGGGGACCGCGTCCTCCAGGGCTATGTAAATTAACATCAGCACCTGCTGCCAGTAGCTGCTCAACGACTCCTTGACGGTCGTGTTCAACTGCTGTAAAGAGAGGACTCTCTCCGTAGCCATCAGTAATATTCACAATAGCTCCGCGTGCCAACAGTAACTTGACGAGGGCCTCGTGTCCGTTCTGGGCTGCATACCACAGAGGCTCTCGGTTGCAAGCATCTCGCTCGTTTGGGCTATATCCAAGTTCAAGGAGTGTATCTGTGGCCTTGTGCAAGCCAAAGAACCCTGCCAAGTGTAGTCCGGTGGTTTTCTTTGGCAGTGATTGACGATAATTCTCCTCATTGGTTGTTAGCGCTTGGCTCGATGCCTCAACCTTGGCTGGACTCTTGAGAAACTCGATGACTTCTTGGCTTGCTTTATCCTTAGGAGCGTGGTCCCCCCAGTTGCGTGCGGTATAACTATAAAACGGAAACAACTGTAATCGCTTCTTAAATTCCCAATTTCTTTCACACAGCCCAGTATCAAAAGCGCTGAACGAGAGGTAGGTGACGCAAATTATGGTAATTTCGGTCTGTGCAGCTGGGAACCAACAATTCTGCGTCCGCTTAAAGTATTCCTAAGTTATATTAGTAGACTAGTTGTATAATGTTGCTTTCTTCGTCAATAGTAACCAGTCCCGCACATACTAAGACCATATCTTCGATCTCTATAAGGTTTTCTTCATCTAATTCAGTCCTGCCTATTTTTACAGCAAGGGCATGCTGGAGCTCCTCTGTAGTTAGTGGTCGGTTTGCGCAAGTAATCCATGATAGGACCAGCCATGCTAACTCCTTGGAATCTGAATCGAGACCCTGGATTCTTCGTACAGCCTCTTCGTAAGCAAAATCATATGCCTTCTGCCCGGTAGGGAAGTGTGCTAGGATATTTTCAAGTTTCTTCAACGTTTTCTTAGTTTTAATAGTTTCGAAATAAAGCTGTGCGAGGAGGAACCTGTGCAAATGTTATTTTATCACTTAATTTTATACAAAAGCAAAACAGAAACTTATATTCCCTGAACCACTTTTGTAATATCTGTTACAACTGTTTCACAGTGTGTTTTTAATAATGCCGAGCCAAACTGTATTATCTGGCTCTCTAAATATTTTCGCATATTTTCATTGTGAGCACGGATCTTAAGCTCTGTGCTACCCTTAAGTTTATCCCTAATATCTGGGATAAACCTTGATGTTGCAAATATGTTTACTCTATTACTCTCTTAAAGGTTTATGAGTTCTGAGATAAACCTTGCCCGGCAGCCACTGGACTCCTGGTATTTATTAAGAGCGTTAATGACGGTGAAGATTCTTGAATATAGTAATGTCATAGGCTGAAGAAGTGTTAAAGTTTTATTAGTAGAGGGATGTGTTTAAATAGCTTTATGGCGATTATAGAGATCTTTAATACTCTTAGGTAGATAAGACTGGACTTTAGCTAGCTGCTTTAGCACGCTTACTACAAAATTAATAATTATCTGCTTATCCCTTATTCCAAAGTTACAGTAGATGTAAGTAATACCGACTTTTAAGTCGTTACAAAACTTTAAGTAAAGGGAATCGACCACAATTAATGTCAGGATAGTCTTTCCTACTCCGGGGATGCCTAGACAATACAGCGTTTATGTGCTTATATTAAGCCAGTTTTAGAACTCTTCCGACTTAAGAAACTAAATTCCAGTTTCTGGTTGCCGTCTATTAAAGTAATTGCTTTGCTGAGGGCCGTAGTCGGTTTGTGTAAGCTAATCGAGGATTTCAACGTCATCCTTTTTATCCAGCTTGGTCTTAATGTGTGTAACGTCGTAATGAACTATATATATCATTAGAGATTTGCCATCCGCTAAACTAAGGAATAACTTACCCTCTTAAATTATATCTCTTACTAGTCGCTCTCCCTTAATATTACGTGGCTGAATATAGTGCAAAAGTTCCTTTGCAAATGCCGCAGCTACTGCTGTAGTATATTCCTGCCTGTCTTTGTTATTTTGCGAGTTAGCGTAGTCGCAAATGCCCTGAATGATAATATAAGGGAAGTTATTTATTAACCTTGCGGCCTTTATTTCGACGTATAACATATGCCCGTTATAGCGCTGGTTAAGGCTATTACGAAAATTGGCGTCTTTGATCACTTGGTTACCGGAGGCGATTAAATCATAATACACGCGTGTCTCTCTCGGCTTTCCCTCATCTCCCTCGGCCGCAGGAGCATGCAACGGATCTTGAATTGATTCTGACCAAGTATACTTTGACACGAGTCTCGGCCATCTCTGTCTTATTTCATCTAGATACTCGGGTATCTTAGACCCGTTCAACTCATTCTCTGTCGTCAGTTTCGTTAAGGCCGTGCGGAGGAGAGCCGGTGGGTTATTTAGTAACCTAATCTGCTTAAATCTACCCCCTTTCTCTGTTTTGCCGTAGTCCCATTGAATCACTCCGGGATACCGGCCAGTCGGAGTACTAACAACTACATCGCCAAGTCGAACCTTGGGGGCAATGCCTCCACCAATACCGACCATCAAGCCAAACTTGATCGATGGGAAAGTAGAGATCATCTATGTCGCAAAAGTCGCTGCTGAGCTATTACCGATCTCGCCTTGAGGCAAGCAGGCTATGATAATGTTGTAATTATCGATCGACCCCAAGGTATATGTATTTGGGTCGTTTGGCGGCTTGACAAGATCGCCATGTCTCTCATCAAGCATGGCCGTGGCCGCAGTCTGCTCTTTAGATAAGGCACAGACCCATCCCACAGTGTAATCATCATGAGTCCTGGTCTTGGTAACTGTTTCGGCCGCCATTGGTAGCCGTTATGGGGTTGAGTAAGGCTCCGTCTCAGAGATGGGGCTGTCTAAGACTGGCGTACTCGTATGCGATAGAAATACATAGAAAAGCCGCTCAAGTTCGGTAAAAGTATTTATCCGCAACTACTGTAACAGGAAATTCGTATGCTTCAAGACGGGACTTGGATATTCAACGGTCGAAGCTCTCAGTATAGCCATCTTCAGCGTCATCAAACGTCTATGGTATCACAAACAACAATGCAAAACAGATTGATAAATGCCACTTCTTCTCTTGCCATCATAGCAAAACTCAAGAACGAATGTTCTTCTTCACAGTAACAAGATCTTCCTCTGACAGTCCCAGGACCTTGGTCACGTAGCCGTCCCAGCCACCAAACTGCTCTTCGAGACCCCCGACAAAGGCAGTCCAGTACTGCGGTCGCAGCTCAACGAGGTTGTAGAATCCCGGTACCTCCATATCGTTGGTGCCAACGCTGTCCATGGCGAATCTTAGAAGCTTCTCGCGAGCGACTTCGGTACCGATTCGGGAAAGCATGTAGTCACGAACCGCATCGTCAGTGGCCGTGCCGGCGAGGTGGTGGAGAAGACCGGCGAGAACTCCGGTGCGGTCACGGCCGGCTAGTTCACAGTGTTAGTAACTACAACGTAGCCTGTAGTTAATAAGAATTGCCTACCTGTGCAGTGAAAGAGGAATGGCTCCGCGGGGCTATCTCTGATGTGTTCTAGGACCGCCTTGTATGTCGGCGCATAGGTGAGAGCAACTGCCATGTACTGATCCTTCCAGGCGGCACTGCCGTCCCCCTTGGCAAAATCCTCCAAGCTTGGCGTCTTGTACTCTTGCGACCCAGGGAACCAGACATTCTCGACTCCCTCAATCTCGGGGTCAGGGCCGTGTTCTCGTTCGAGTGGCTTGCGAAGGTCGTAGATGCGGCGGACGTTGGCCTTGATCCAGGCCACGGTGTCGGGATCATGGCTGGCGTATTCCAGGGTGCCGCAGCGGAAGATGCGCCCAGAAGGAATTTTGCTGCCGGGCACAGCGCCGATATCACGAGCGTTGATGAGCGTCTTGCTGGGGATGAAGGGAGCAGAAGAGAGAATGGGGAAGAGGACTTCTGGAGAAATGGGCTTGTCGACACGAGTCCGGACGAGCTCGTCGAGCTGAGCTGGTGAAGACGGCGTAGCCATGGCTGTGATTTTGTTGGGTATGGTATGAATTAGAAGTTTTCGACAGGAGTAGCTCGGCCGTGTTCCAAGGTTTCTCTTCTTTCTCTCCTCTTCTGGAAGGGTTTGTTCGCGGTAAGCGGTCAAGGACAAGGAGAAGCTGTACGGAAGAGAGAAAGAGAAATACGAAGTAATACTTTGGTGCTTTGCTAGTCTAATTGCGATCAATGCGACAAACGGCAAGTCGCTACTCTGCCCTTACGCTCTTTCCTTTCCTAGAAGACGCCATCACCATCGCTTGCACACGTGATTCACCGCCAAACTTCTACTTTGCCCATCAATTCATTCCAATACAAGCAAAACAACAAACAAACAGCGAAAACCACTTTGACAGTCCAGCAAACGAATCATCAACAACCCTCACAAAAAGGCTGTCGCGCAACCCCAAACCCCAATGAGGGGTTCTTCAACGCCCTGCCCCTCCTTTTTTTCGGCGCCATTTCACCCCGCCATGCCTCCAACTCAATGCTAGTGTCCGCAAGCCAGTCCCTGATCAGCGGCAAAATAGCCACGGATTCAACAAATCATAATCGATATCGTAACTTTGGCTAGAGATAGGGTGTCGCACTGCAAGGGACCGAAAAAATGTCTCGGACTACGGTCGGGCGACCAAAAGGAAACAAAAGAAAAAGCTTCTCAAAAAGGCGTACTATTAACATTTCCAGAACCACTTTTCGTGCCCTTCATGTAATACACCAGCGCTTTTGGCGTAAGCCATGCAAATAATATGTCAGTGATTTCGAAACTATAAGAGAAAAAAATTGTATATAAGCACCAACTTGGGGGATAATTGCTGTCCCAGACCTGCAGAGTCGACGCCAACCCTGAGAAAAAATGGCTCCATCACCGCTCCTTCGCTGGGGCTCCGTTATCTCAGTTATTGCAGCCGCAGTTTTTGCCTATTCCTTCCAGCAACACCCGTTTCTCTTTACGGGTGTTCACAATGACCCTCTTCCAGTATATTGCTACCAGAGCGTGAGGACTCATGATGCCGCACAGCCGTCTGCTGAGTGTTTCTCGGTGGAGGATGGCATGTTTCGCTACGTCTGGACCCAGGATAGCAGGGACTCTCTACACCAAGTAAAAGGAGCCGACATTTCCGTTTCAGATGGCTACGCGATTCCCGGTCTTTGGGATGGCCATGGGCATCTGCTGCAGTACGGAGAATTTCTTCACTCAGTTGATCTTTTTGGATCCAAGTCGCTTGATGAAGTGAGAGATCGCATCAAGACATACCTTGCCGCAAATCCAGGAGCAGGCACCAAAGGCCAGTGGCTTCGCGGTATTGGATGGGATCAGTCTGCCTTTGGTCGCATGCCTACTGCTGTAAGTTAATGACTTCATAGGCACCCTTGGAACCTGCTTTGCTAATAATTGATTCCATCGTCAACTTTTAGAGCGACATTGAGCAAGACGACGAGCTCAGAGGAATTTTCATGATGCTGGACAGAATTGATGTTCATTGCTCGTGGGTTTCACAGTCAGTGTTGAACCTCCTCCCAGAAAAGATCCCAGACGTTCCCGGGGGCGACGTTATTCGTGATCCTGGCCATGGAGTCTTTTGCGATAATGCCATGGACATGATTATGGCCTTATGGCCGAAGCCCGGAGAAGAAGAAAAAGCTCGAGCCGTCAAGTCAGCTATGAAGGAGTTGAACAAATTTGGCCTGGTAGGAATGCACGACGCTGGTGTGACGGCAGACAACGCCCGGCTGTATTCAGAACTGGCGACTTCTCCAGACTGGACCGTCCGGGTTTACAGTATGCTGGAGTGTGCAAAGAGAAACACTTTTTGCCCCGAAGCCATTTCTCAAATTACTCTTTCAAACGGCATGTTTGGATTACGCAGCGTCAAGCTATTCGCTGGTGAGTTCCTCAACTTCAAGGAGATCTGTTGTGGCGCTGACATTATTCTTTTCTAATAAAGACGGAGCTTTGGGAAGCTGGGGAAGTGCCATGCTTGAGCCATACAGTGACCACCCGTGGACTTCCGGATCCCTCCTCATCAATGCGTCAGCCCTCACAGAAGTGACCAAAGCTTGGGCCAGAGAGGGCTTTCAAGTCAACATTCACGCCATAGGAGACCTGGCCAACCGCAATGCCATTGATGCCTTTGAAGCAGCCTTGAAAGAGCAATGTGAACAAGAAAACCTTGCCGATTGTCGATCTAAGCACCGGTTCCGCATCGAACACTCCCAAATTATCCACCCCGATGATCAGAAGCGCATGCACGCTCTCGGCATCATCCCTTCCATTCAGCCCACCCACGCCACCTCTGACATGAAGTACGCCGAGGAGAGGCTCGGGCCAAAGCGAACAAAAGAAGAAGCCTACCGAATGAAGTCTCTGCTCGACATCAAACCCATCCTCGGCAGCGACTTCCCCGTCGAGCCACCAAACCCCTTCCAAGGAATTTACGCCGCGGTCACGAGGAAAAACCCGCACACTGGATTAGGGCCTGACCCCAAAAATCCCTCCCAAGGATGGCAAACACAAGAGACTCTCAGCTTGGACGAGGCCCTTGTGGGCTTCACACAGAATGTTGCGTATGGAGCATTTGCTGAGCAGTACGCAGGCTCAATTAGGCGTGGCGCATTTGCGGATTGGGTTGTGCTTGACGAGCCGCTGGAGGACATGGATGTCGAGAAGCTTCGCACACTCAAAGTAAGAGAGACTTGGGTAGCAGGAAGAAGAGTGTACTCACGAGATGAGGAACGATGGCCCTTGTCAGATTCCAAGTAAGAAAAAATCACTAGGTGTGTGCGTCCATTTTTACTATTTGTTATTCTCACTCTCTGAGCCATGCCCTGGCATGAGATGTTATATAGGCTCTAATACTGTTGTTTTTCGTACAGAAAATAAGTTTATGACATACCCTTTACTGTTTACGCAGTGTACTTAGATGATGAAGACGAGTTTTATAAAGATATAATACCAAATAGAAACCTCCCTCGGCGGTGATGATCAAAGACAAAATCAAGTCCATATTGGAAACAAAATGACACCCCGCTATTAACGCCGTCTAAGCTTTCAACCTCTTAGTCTATGCATCCGAATCAAAGAAACCATTCTCGTCCACTCTCTGTAAATATCTTCACCTTAGCTCACGCTTTGACAATCACCTTGCTGTCAAACCACTTGGCAAACTTGACAGTAGGAATGTCAACCGCCCTCCAGAAGATATCCGCCCACCACACGACCGTGGGGATGCAGAAGCATGCCCCCAGGACGAATCCTGCATTATACCAGTAGCCTTGCACTCCAGTCAAGCCGTATGCCCACTTCTCAAAGTGGTAGCCAACAACGTGCATGGCTGGTCCATGCATAAGGTAGAGAGCGTATGAGATCTTGCCAAAGTACTGGACCACTGGCAAGTTGAAGAAGCGCTGCCATCGAGGTGAATGGCTCACAGCAATGATGAAAACTACAGCGCCAGTCGACTGCCAATAGCGGTACCTTTCTTCCTTCCACCACTTAGGTATAAGGGAGGATAGCCATATCCATCCAGGGGTGATTTCACCACGACCATCCGGCTGACACATCAAGTATAAGCCAAGAACGCTGAATAGGGCCCAGAAGATGGGCCACAGCTTAGTCTTGGTCGAGCGAGGCTTTTCTTCCATCGGCAGGGCTGGGTTAGATGCCGGGACATGCGCACCACGGATGTGATCATTCTCAGCAATGAGCATCCCGCAAAAGAACAGCAAAAGTTCCCATCGGCTGTTGCGATATGTAACCAACATGACGAAGACAACAGTGAGCCATCTCACCGAAGTACGCAGGCGGGCAGTGCCGATAATGGTAAGAAAGAGGTACAACGAGCATCGGAATTCAACGGGGATTGTCCATAAATGGACGTCATAAGCTGGAAAGAGCGTATTAGTATGCATTTCTAGATAGTATGTTAAACATGGATCATTTCTCCTTACAGGTACTTCCGCCAAACTTGTCCCAGCTGAAGACTTGGAGAAATCTAAACATGTGCAGTAGCCAATCCTTGTATTGAGCATATGCATGCTCCATGCGGGATGGATGCGGCTCTACAATGTTTTTCATGTACTTTCGATCGTTGGCAAAATCTCGAGTCCATTCGTATGCGCCGATGCGCAAGAAACAAATAATCATGAAAGTTGAGAGTGCAGTGGGAAGATATAAACGAATTCCACGCCGAAATATTAAAGAGCTCATAGTATTGGCGAAATCAGGCCAAGCTCCGTTTCGAATTAGCTTCATAGGTCGGTATGATAACGCATATCCAGAAATGACAAAGAAGACGCAGACGGCCGGAGGGCCTTGGTACCAAAGACGAAGGAATGGCAGTTTGAGAATGTGGTAGTTGGTCTCGCCGCAACCCCATCCCTCGGCGATAGTAAATGCTTGATAAAAGTAATGGCAAAAGAAGACAAAGAGTGCTGCCAGACCGCGCATACCATCAAGGTAGGCAGTTGGGGCAAGTTTAGCCGGGCATATCTGCTCGCGAGCGTGACGGCCTTGTAAGAAGCTAGGAGTAAGAAAGACAAGGAAGCGGACGGCAAGATTCCGCCATGGCGTTGATCGAATGTATCCGAATGGTGCTTTCAGGGAATCAGTTGAAGGGCTTAAAAGACCGAATTGAAAATGGCCGTCGGTATGGGCCGGAGTTGTGGATATACCAGCGCCAGTGGCAGTACCGGTACTGCTGTCACTAACGTCTGTTGCGGCATCCGAACCCCGTCTTTGGTCCAGTAGGCCCATCTTCTCTTCTGATGGTAAATCGTTGGTAGAACTGTGATGGTTCATTGCCACGCAATGATAATTAGAGTTTGGGGCTCGTCCTATACGGGGAGCGAGAGGTTTATCTCAAATCACGAGATTCGTGGATATCGAGATGCTCTCAATCTGCGGCTTCTTGTAGGTAATGAATGGTTGCTGAAGCGAGTGGCACGATCCTTCCGCTGTTTTCATTGGCGTGTGTATATTCGTACAGGATCAAAGGAACAAAGGTACGCTGAAATGCAAACTGAACAACAGACTCAATATGAAAGAGGTTACAGCAAAGGCGAACCAGTCGGGGAACGAGGCAAGCGAGTAGAGAGGGCGGAACAGAGGTAACCCGGACTCCCTCTGTCGTTGTCTCTCCCTCGGATTGTATAAGAGGGATTGAAGATTGGAAGAAAAACAAAGACTGAGAAAAAGAAGGGGAAAGGAAGGGGAAAAGAAGATAAAGAGGATAAAGAAGAGAGCATTTGTTTACATGGGAAATGAGAACAAAGAAGGAGACGACGAGAAAGGAAAGGATGCGAAGCTAAAGGGCGAGGATCAGTGCCTCCTGCTCATAATAGCTCCAGTACAATGCGATACCTTCCATGTCGATCCGTGTGAGATGCCCCTTCCGCACGCAGGTTCCGAATTTCCACATTTATTCGAGGCCTATCAATGGGTAGTTTGGGCAAGCACTTGCACGAAACGAAGATTGTGACGTGCGCCCCGAGTCCACTTTCCACTTTCCACTTTTCGTGGTTTTATGAAGAAGGCATGGCCGACCAAGCTGTGAAATACTGAAAGATACATGCATATACCTACTCGTACACGATTCCACAGGTATCTGTACCGGATGGCGTTGAGGAAAGAGCCGTGGATCGAAGACGGGAAGTTGCGTCTCTTGCCGGTATCCCCAGATCTACAAAGGGTCCAAATGGAAATACCACTAGTAGCTACCTACCTGGTACTATATTGAAAAATAAGAATAAAAAATTCTCAAAAGTCAAGGCGGCCCAAAGGTGTCGTCGATACATCGTTTGTGAAATTTCCGGTAGCCCGAAATAGTCGAACCATGATCGACGAGCTTCTCATCTCAACCAGAGGCGGGTATATAAATATGACCACTAGTGAAACCCATTGCGAGCCATTACTTGTTTCCTTTGAGACACAGCATCACCTTGATGTTGCATCCAACAACTAAAGTTGCAATGTCTAGATGCTTCAATCTCGTCTCCCAGAAGGAAAAAAAAAAGGCATCGGATGGAGCTATTTGGGTCATGAATTGTTTGAGCATTCTCTCGAGCATCCCAAAGTTCGGCAGGGTCACCGCTATTCACGCACCCACCGATCGGCGCATGACGGAGCATCGCTGGTGCTATTCGTGTCTCTTTGGCGCTGTTCCCTTCCTAAATGGACGCAAACATCCTGGGCTGGAGTACAAAGAGATGTTTGCCGTTGGCTCTCCTTTTTTTGCTATTGTACGAGTGAAACGGCTTTGAGCACAGCTCGAGTGTTGTTGGTTTGCTTGTTTCCCCCAGAATTTCAAAATTAGCAGTGTATCTAATAATATCCGCTTTCAGACCAGATGCAGAACATCTTTCAAAGAATATTGAAACAGCCAACTGCTAACAAAAATAGCATGTGGCACCCATCAATCGGCTGCCATCATCAAACAATCAAACCCCTGCCGCTTCATCAGCTACGCTACGCATACTGCCAGGGGCAGCTGAAAAGCTTGTTTGATCAACGTTCTTTTGGCTGAATCCAGTTGCAGTAATTGGCTTCTCATCATACGCTAGTTTCCTAGCGACAAGTGTCCACCAACGCATCTGTCCATTCGATTATCCCAAACTCACGCCTCATGGGAAAGATAGAAACAGTGTCCCTGAAAAAAAGCCCCCCTGGACCCACGGCCGATCGCATTCGCCAGTTCCTCTTCGTGTCCGTGGACGGTCCGTTGTCTGAACTACAGTGTAACGCTGATTACACCTTCTCCGCACAGTATCTCCTAAGAGCCCGTCTGATGATAGTACGTTGAACGCTTCTCTCATTGCCATGATTCAAAGGGCTACAAATATGCTTCAGTACATGAATGATACCCCATCTGCGTGTACCATTCCGGCAGGCCTGCCTACTCAGCCCGTACTAAAAGCCCCGGGTTCTCTTCGCTGTCATACTTGCCGGCGTCGATACCTCTCTGCACCCCAGGCCTTGCTGCTATGCGATCAATCCACTGTAGAAGATGCGGAAATTTGGGCCGCATGTCAGTTTCTTCGGAGAATCCCAAGGATCGATACCCTCGAACGTGAGGCCAAGTGCCCATATCAGCAATGCTATACTTTCCTACCCCATCGCCGGCGAGGTATTCGCGAGGCGCTGCGGATTGTCCGTTGAACTGCCCGCTGAGGTGAGATTCTAGCACGGAGTATATACGAAGCATGGCCCTTTCGAAATATTGCGCTGCATCTATTGTTGGTCGTTGAGCCTATGTCCTTGAACTTTTTCCCTTTATCTTGAGAATTAAAAAAAAAGGTAAGTTTACGCACATGGTATGGGTTCTGCGGTTCCTTTCATAAAATGTCGAGCGTGTCCTTGCACTGGAGCCGATGAATGCCAGAAGAACAGCCATTGTATCGCCTGGCTCTTTTCGTGGGCGGAAGTGAAGCCAAAGACGTTGCGTTTATCGTACTTTTCTTGTAAGTAGACGAGTATGGCTGAGCTCTCTATGATGGATACAACGGTCGCCGCTTCAACGACATCTAGAAGGACGGGAATCCGGCCTAGGTGATGCCAGACTGTTAGAGCTTGCGGCGTTGCGAGGGGTATTTTGGAAATACCATTTGGGTTCAGCTGGAGGAACCAGCCTTTTTTCTGCTCGTCTGTTTCGAGGTCGATGAGGTGAGTGGTCCATGAAAGCCCATATATATCATGGAGCTCCTCTAGGAGAATCTGCACCTTTTTGCCGTTTGGCGTGTTCTCTGTAAGCAGCTGGAGAGGATACTAGAATCGAGACATCAAGGTCTCGCGTTAGCAGTTGAGCAGGTGCACAGAGACATTCTGGATTTGTCTTTATTTTTGTTTCTTTGTTTTGTTTTGTTTTCTGGCAGTAATTTTTGTCTTCTTTGTCCAGTAGCTCACCTACCTTGGACTCTTTCACTTGTAGAGGCGTGTCAGCGCTGTAATGCACCTCCATGCTTATGTTAGGTATGTCTTGCAGCTTATTAGCTGGGCGCTAGGTCCACGGATGCAATCTTCATCCGTAGAGAGAAAGAATTACGCAAATTCTACGACGAGATGGTAGAGTTTTACCATCGAAATTGTTGACTCATACGCCGAATCCTCCGCAGGAATTGTTTTCCCGCGTTCGGCATATGGTGCCATCTTCAGCACTTGGACGACGTTGGCACTTGTACTGGACAATGTTGGATGTAAGTTCATTTGCTCCACTGCGGAAGGATGCGCATATCTGGCCAATGCTAATGTTTTGCATGGGTAAGCAGCAATAGAGTTGATTGATGCTTTATTTGTGAGCAATAGAAGGAAACCACAAGACATGGTAACTAGGTAGGGATGAAGAGTACGAGTCCAACATATGAGAGAAGGATGAAAGAATTTTACTGGCGATGGAATTGTAGATCCTCCTATCAAATATGACATGCATATGCAGATAAATCACGATGTCGTTGGTTGGTTGCCCATCTCACATAACATCATGCATCCGTACCCAATCACAAGTACTAGATACCCCAAATCCTCACCATCAATACGCCGCGTGCAAACCCTTTTCGAGTCCCATATTCGCCACGCTGGTCACGGATCATATCAGCAGGAAGAGCAGCGAGATCTCACTCTCCGATGAGCGGATTGTTTTTGTGCATTGATCAAGGTAGCACCCGATATGGGCCACCCAGTACTTTGACAAATCAATTAGGTTACCATCCAACCATCTATCGTACACCTTTGCTGCTAGACCGCATCTCCGCTTTGTGAAGGAGCGACTATATATAACCTACCTCTCAGCCAGAATGAACCGCCTGTTTGAGAGCCCGTGGCTTCAACTATTCCTATCCACAACCTTCTCTCTCATTCTTTGCTCATCCCTCCTCTATCCACATACACCACCATCAACCGACATGGCCGTCATCCACATCGTTCTCCTGTCCTACAAGGCAGACGCCTCTCCCGAGGCCATTGCAGATGTGCGTCTAACATCTCTACAATTTCTCCCCTCTCAAGAAACAAAAGACAAAAAAAAAACACTGACACAAACTCCTCCACAGGCCAACGCAGGCCTTCTCGCCCTCAAGGACACCTGTCTGCACCCAACCACAAAAACCCCCTACATCAAGTCCGTCACAGGCGGAACCAACATTAACAATGCTCCCGAAAGCCGCAACGTAAGTCCTCCCAAAACCTCCGTCGGCAGAATAAGAAACCCCGTGTTTCGTTTTGTTTTTCTCTGGTTTACCCAAAATGAGAACATTGAAGGAGGAATAGATCACAACTAATTGGGCAAAATAGCTGGGCGTGACTCATGGCTTTACCTTCGAGTTCAACTCTCACGAGGACAAGGCATACTATATCAAGGAAGATCCTGCTCACCAGAGCCTCGTAGCCAAGCTTGTTCCCCTCGTCGAGAAGATCACTGGCTTTGACTACGAGACTGGCAAGTTTGAGTGATTGGTAGACACAGAGATGAATATGTGATAGTACAACGGAATGGGACAGAGTAAAACCAGGCGCAAAGAAACAGAGTCAGCACAACCATGAATGGCTTCAATTGATGAGTAGAATATTGAATTAAGAAAAAGAAAAAAAACTTCAAGTATACATCATTTCATTACCCTCGTGTTCATAACCCATGCCTCGCTCTAAAGACGTGAAAAGCAGATTTCTAACGGCACATGTTACAAAGTCGGCCTCCATCAAATTGCAATGCCATCAAACGCCTGGTCTTTTTTCCCTTGGTATTTTATTTGTCCTTTTCCTTCCGACGCTAGCCCATTGATTTCCCTTCGCCTCTTCATCCGACATCTTAGTTGTCGAGCCAATCGAGGAACTGGGGGGTGAAGTAGCTGATGACAATGGTGGCACCAGCTCGAAGAATGCTCTCTGTAGATTCAAAAGCCATGGCCTTGAGATCAAACACTCCTGCTTTGGCGGCAGCGTGAATCATGGAGTACTCGCCACTGACTTGGTAGGCAGCGATGGGCAGGTCTTTGCCAAGTTCCTTGGCGTCACTGATAATGTCCAAGTACTGACCAGCAGGCTTAACCATGATGATGTCGGCACCCTCGTTCATGTCACGGATAATGGCTCGGCGAGCAAGGCCACGACCTCCAGGGGGCAGCTGGTAGCACCTGCGGTCACCAAATGACGGGGCAGAGCCGGCTGCGTCCCGGAAAGGTCCGTACAAGCAACCAGAAAACTTGGCAGAGTACGACATGAGGAGCGTCTTGTGGGCAATGCCCTCCTCGATCAGCTTCAGCTTGATAGCGCGGATACGGCCATCGTTCATGTCTGAGGGAGCGACGCAGTGTGCTCCAGCCTTTGCGTAAGCAATGGCAACATCAGAGATGCGGTCGACAGACATCTGGTTGTTCAGGCTGCAGTCGTCTCGCAAGATGCCACAGTGACCGTGAGAGGTGTACTCGCAGAGGCAGACATCGGCGCAGATGAAGAGTTGAGGGAAGCGGCGGCGGATGAGTTGAATAGCCTGGATGACTGGGCCCTCGGGGTCATCAGCGGCGCTGCCGAGGATATCCTTGGAGCCAGGCTTCATGGGGACACCAAACAGCATGACGGATCGCAGTCCCTTGTGGACGAGAGGCTCGAGGAAGCCAGTCAATCTGCTGATGCTGACTTGGAACTGGCCGGGAAGAGAGGCCACTTCGACCATGTCATCCTCGCCGTCGGTAACAAAGATGGGGTAGATGAGCATAGACTAGAGGCAGAGAGTCAGTAAAAGACGGATATCACGCCAAATTGTTGGGAATCCCGTCCTACCTTGGTCAGCTGGCGCTCAGACTGCCAGGATCGAGCCAGAGGGTGAAAGTAGCCGCCGTGAAGCTGGCTGCCAATGTCGCCAGCGATGCTCACGCTGGTGGCTGCGGTGCTGGCATAACCAGACATGGTGCGAGAAACGTGCGAGGCCCGGTCATCGAATGTTGAGACTGAAGGCGCAGGACCAGGCCGGCGAGCACTGTTGGCATCGCGAAGGCTAAGTTCCTGGACGAGACTGGAGAAGGACATGTTGCGCCGGTCAATTGAGCGACTTGGGCTCTGTGCGAGTCGTGGTGATGGTTTGGTGGGACCGGTAAACTGTGGACGGTGACACTGATGGCAAGGTCGCCTTCCGGTGGTGAGCACAAAATCTAGGACTCGAAAAGGCCGCAGGAAAACAAGAAGCCGACACCAAACAAGAGGCAGAGGCTATCGAGGAACGAAATAATAACAAGAGAAGTTGAAGTGTGGAAGAAGAAGAAGAAGAAAAAGAAAAAGAAAAAGAAGAAAGAAGAAAAGGCGAAACGATGTCGGCCCCAGAAGTTTCGAGGGACGTACCTGCAGTCAGATTTTTTGCCTGTGCGCAGCAGCGGCTCCGCGGAGGCAGGAACTTTGACGGTGCTGCAACTTGCCTCGGAAAGGCGCTGCAGTACGACTCCCGATACGCAGGCCGACAGCCAATCAGCGGAGGGGATTTTCCAATATGCGCTACGGGTTTAGCGGCTTTTTAGTGGGCTGGGAGAGGAATGTAGCACTCAAGCGCTGCTGCAAGTGTTTTTGGCGGTGCTGAGCCGAGCTGCTTACAGGTGAGTAAGATGAGATGTCGGAGGAACTGATTGATCCATGTGTCGTATTACGTGTATACGGTCATGATTATTGTTGCATCACTTCCAATGCCAAATGTGTTTGAAATAATGGAATATTCCAGTTGGAATGCGTATAACTAGTAGATACATACTGTATAACAGCCACACTAGACCGACCTCCTTTTTGCTCAATAGCGTGCGGCACCATTCGGGAATCCTCGTACGAGTCCGTGGAGCCGGATCACGCCCGGCATTTGCTCGGGGTGCTCCGATAACACCTCAATTCTGCTCTGCTCGGCGCGGTGCAGGGTGCGGCACAACTCTTGCCACCACTTCCGTGCTCTCCCCAGCTAGCTATTGATGTCATGTTCAGGGCCTTGTCTAATTTTATCGCTTCTTTTATGATTTGTATCATATTCCAGACCACGTTTCAATTTCTCTATATACGCCCAGGAGCCTTCCTCATCGTGAATAACCCGTCAACGCAGCATTATGGTCTCTCGCGTGAGCACTATTCACCACCAAGCCGGGGAGTGTCATCATATGTTACACAACCTTCGCCTTTCATCTCCGCAATGAGAAAATACCATCTTTCGAGATTCGCAACATGGTAGGGGATGTAGTAGTACATTGTAATGTCTATCTGCGCCATACATGAAGTAACAGATGCTTCCAGCCTGATCAAGTGTCCGCCATGACACCTTGCTCGGATTCGCCTTTTTTTTTTATATCACACTGCCAACAATCCGTAACCCTATTACAATCCTCGCAAAATTGAGTTGTCTCGCTTGTCCATTGGAACGTATCTCTCCTTGAGAATCTCCGCTGTTGTCCTTGTGTCTTTTGAAGGCTTTTCGTATCGTTGCTTCAAGGCCTGCTGCACGGGGCTCAGCTGTGACTTGGCCTTGTCACCCGTCATCTCTTCCACCTGGGCCTCTGCTAGACCGACAGCAGCCTTGGCCTTGCCCACAATCCCCTTTGCCTTCTCTCGACCCTTGTCCAGAGTGGCGCTAACGATTCCCTTGGCCTCCGTAGCCGTCTCCTCGATGGCCTTCTTAGTTCTCAGCCTCGCGTCCAGAGCCCGGTTCTCGGCAGTCATTTCAACGCTCTCGGTTAATTCCTTGGCCTGGTTAAACGCCCCTCTCGTAGCAGCTGCGATCTCGCCGCTAGCCTTCTGCGTCCTCTTCAAAGGCTCCAGAGAGCGCCTCGCCTTTTCCACCTCTTCTACAGATTGGCCCGTGGCCTTGGCCCAGAGATACGCGAGTCTACCCTCCATGCCCTCACGTACCTCCTCCCAGTCTGTGTGCTGCACCCAGCGCACAGCGTTCTCGACCTCGGAGTTCCATCGCTGCTTGGCGACCTCGACGGCGGCTTCTCGCTGGGCAGCGGCGACTTCGGATCGGGTCGGGGGCAACGGTTGGGGAATTGGATCGATGAGGTGCTGAATCATGAGCGTTTGGGTGCGCAGCGATTTGCTTTGAGCCTCGCGGGTGCGCTGGTGGGCGAGGACAGAGAGGTAGGCGAGGGACAGAGTGAGCGTCACGCCACCGGTCTATGTAGAGAGAGACATGTAAGCATTGTACCGTAGAATCGGCCGCAACGTGAAGATCAAGAACGGGAGGCACTGAGTCGACTCACGAAGCCGGTTGCGAAGCCCATGGTGTCGCTGGAGAGACGATGCGAATGCGAACGGGGGCGGCTGGTGAAAAGAGAGAGATTAATTCCTGGGGCGAATCTCGACAGGTGCGGCTGTGTATAATGCCCTATGCGCGGCTTCTCATGGTGCAATTGAGCTGCGCAGCTCCCACAAGATGCAAAACTGCGTGTTTCTCAGGCCAAGCCGCAGGGGAAACTTTGCCTGCGCCGGTGGGAAGGAAAAGAGTGACGATGTTGGAGCTTTGGTGGTTGGTTTTGACGTAGCTCGGCCGATAACCAGCGTTCGATGTTCCAGATTGGGCCCGAGATTCGCCGCCAAAAATTTAGACGTGCAAAAAAATTACAGCCAACCAGACGACAGACAGCCCACCACAAAGTCCCGGCGCAGTGAGACGTTTCGACCTCAACAGCCAAAAAAGCAGAGCAAAAGCGACCAAATCCTCTGGCAATTCGCATCTGCATTCGCATTCCTACATCCCGCAGCCCTCAATCGCACGCCGAGTTTCAGCTGGCCGCAAATGGCTGGTGGCCTCGTCAAGTATCGGCATCTGAGCCGCAAGTCCTCGGCCAGACAGGCTCTGCTGCGAGGTCTCGTTACCCAGCTCGTGCAATATGAACACATCCAGACCACATACGCAAAGGCAAAGGAGACGCAGCGCCTCGCCGAAAAGCTGATAACGCTCGCCAAAAGAAACAATGAGCCGTGCAGGAGGTCGGCGCAGGGTATTCTTTATGTTGGTTGAACCTCTCTTTGTTGCAGCTTGGGCTTCCTCTTCCCCTCCTTCGACTCAGCTACTTACCGCACGATATCAGACACCGAACCTGCTTCTGCCCAAGCTCTTTGGCGAGCTACGGAACCGCTACCTGACCCGCGAGGGGGGCTATACTCGAGTCGTCCGCACCGAGTCCAAGAACACATACGACCAGGGCGAGAGCGCAATCCTGGAGTTTGTCGACGGAAAGAAGGATTCTCGCTTCATGATGACGGCCAAGACTCTTGCGCGGGACCGGTTATTAGGACGCTCCTCGACCCCTGTGACGCTCCAGAACGTGAAGAAGGTGACCAAGTTCCGCGACGAGAAGGAGCTGGAGGAAATGGTTCAGCGCTTCATGATTCTCAGCACCGAGGGCGAGGGTGCGGTTGAAGCTCCGAGTGCGGAATCAGCCAAGTTGGCGGAGAAGGAGGGCGCTGCTGCGGAAGTTATGGCGGGAGATATTGTTCCTGAAAGCGCAAAATCTGGCGAGCAAGTCAAGAGGTGAATGATTCTATGATGCATGAAAGATGGATATGGGCTATGACGGGAAGAAGGGAAGAGAAGAAAAAAAGAAGAAGAAAAATCTAGAGCTGCGACACAACCTTACTGAGGGATGGACGCACCATGTACAACACAACATATTCATGTACATTTATATCTACAATAGTGGAATGACAAACCAACTGCCTCGAGGTATCGAGGCTTTGAATCACAATCCTTTGCGGGCAATCTCCAATGTAACAAAGTCAACATGCCAAGTATTATAATATGCTAACCATTATCCAAATCTATCTTTTGCGCCGAGGACCTATCTACACGAAATCAAAGGTATCGCCACGATCCTGAATCATCTTCCCCACCCTCTTGGAACCCGCAACTCTCTCCAGCTTCATCACATCATATTTAGAGAAGATGGCCCGCACCGTTCCTTGCCCGGGCTCAATCTTCATGTCTTTCTCACTCTTGGCTAGGTATCCACCTGCAATCTCCTTATAAAAGATGGGATTGTCCGGCAGCCCGTAAAAGATGACTCTCTCAACACCGCTGAACTGATACCGACGGAAGTGGTGAGCTCTCTCTGTGTAGAGCAAAATCCGATGTCGACCAGTCAAGAAATGAGATCGAGCTCGAGATGCTTCTCGAACCTCGGTGTATTCAGATATCACTCCGAAAGTGAGGCCACTTACTTCGTCGGCAGTGGCGAAGTAGTTTCTCACGCGGACAAAGTCAAGGTAGGATGGGATGAAGATGAGCGTGCCGCTCGAGTCCTTGGATCGCTTCACCAAAGATGGGATAATGGCAGAGGTAAAGTAGCCAAACCGAGATTCGGGATCTCTCTCCACGGCGCTCGACTGGAAGCGTGAAAATGTCTGCTTGGCCTTGACGCCCAGCTGTCCAATAACGCCGGGGTATTCTGGCTGCAAGCGGACCCTTCCGGCCCAATTATGACAGTACAGCCTCTGGAGTTCTGCCAGTTCGGGGGTGTTAAAGGCAGATAGGATGACCGTCTGTCGGAAATACTTTGCCCAATCCTCCAAGTACCAATTTCTGACACGGCTAAAGTCGCAGTCGTGAGCATCCTTTGGTTGAAGGTTCAGGTGTTCAAAGATGTACTCGACGTGCTCCCAATTCTGCATCAGAAGAGCATCTGCTTGATCCATGACAACCATCTCAATGGAGCTGAGAAAGTCAAAATCAGGCTTCTTCTTCTCCTCCTCAGATCCCATTGCCATGCGGAGACCAAGAGGGCTGGCAAAGAGGATATCGGAGCTATAGAATTGCGCAAAGTATTTTATCGTCTTGCGGGTAAATTTGACACCGATACGGAACATGTCATCATCGTTGCCGCCAAACAGATCTTTGAAGTCGGCAGGCCGATCAGCACCGAAAGCTTCGTCGCTCTCAGCGTATGATTCATTGAATCGCTTGAAATTCTCCTGTTGGTCTGGTTCGACCAAGTCTTGAATCACCTTCATCATCTTGGCGCACGAGTTGCGTGTTGGTAGAAGGAACAGGACCTTGGGTCTAGTGAAGCCCTGATCTCGGAGTTCAAGCTCTGAATCATCACCGGCCTTTGAAAGCTTGTAGTTGTTATTAATCACTCTGTCTCGAGTCCTGGAATAAAGTTAGCGTCCAGTCTTCTGAACTTTAAGCTTATTGGTCCATCTTACTTGAATACGTGGTTGAGCGCATGGAGACAGACCGCCTGTCGTATTTTGGTGGAGTTCTCCACAGAACGATCGCAAAACAAGACGTCCTTGTAGTCGAATAATAAGGGTGCAAATGCCTTTTGTGCTGCATCCAGGTTGCCCATCTTTTCCTTTGCCGTGTCTCGCAATTTCTGCTTCAGTTTCAGCCCACCAAGCCCTGATATTGGCTGGGGAGCGGAGACATTGTTATTCGTGCCAGGGGACGTAATAACTGCTCTCCAAGGCTGTACAATGGCGCGAGTCGTTGTCCACTCTCCATTCTTCGCCGCGACAACCGATTGCGAGCTGGTTTGTTGATCCGGGTTGGCGAAATGTGAATCGAACGGGTCTGTAGCGTCAATCTCGTCTTCGGAGTCGTTTTCTGGGGCCTCTTCAATGTTGGAAGCTGGATCTCCTCCCTCTTCTTCCTCTTCTTCATCGGCCTCATCGATGTCTTCCCGCCTAGGCTCGGGCGCTTCTTCGTCTTCTGACTGGTTTATGGCGGGACTTGGGCTCCGGTTCGAGGGCTCATCGTGCGCAATCTTCCTCCTCTTGGCGCTTGGCGCACTTGAATCGTGAAATTTCTGCATCAGTGCCATATATGGGCGTGCGGGAGCTTCTTGCTCGTCATCGTCGTCTGATGCTACATGTTGGAGCATTTCGTCTTCCACATCTGAGGCATCGAACCCAGATCCATTCTCGCTGTATGTGAAATGATTTGTTAGCTACAAGTGAATACTGGCCAATAGTCAAAGCAACAAATCTCAAGGTTCTTACTCTTCTTCTTCGCCATTTTCAGCCAAGCGAGCACCGTCGAATCTCCTTTCCGGGCCCCATTGACTAAACTGGCCGCCACGGCCTCGACCTCTGCCTGCACCCCGACCTCTGCCGCCGCCGCCGCCTCTGCCTCTGCCTCTGCCTCTGCCTCTCCCACCACCTCTTGAGCTGCCACCTCTCGAGCCGCCGCCTCTGAAACTCCCACCTCTTCTAGGACCAGCCATAATGCTTTATCGCAGAGGAACAAAATTGGCTGTAAATCAAAGCAACTCGTCGCAATGAAAGGCAAATTCAAGGACAGGACAAGGTCGAAAAAAAAAGTTTCGAGTGAAGCTGTCAGCCTTGCATGGATATGTGGATCAGACTCACCAGCCACACAATGGTGGGGTAGATTCCGTCTTGCGCCACGCAGCCTTGTCGCAAAGTGAGCTGCAGCAATTTTAGTGCGCACAACCCCAGCGCCGCCCGCCAAATCTGCAAATCACAAAATCGGCGAAATTTGGAGACTATCGCGAGGAAAAAAGAAAGCGAGCCAGTTTTCGAGAGAGCCGGCGCCACTCGTTTTTTTTTCATCCTCCCCCCTTCCCACCCCCACTCTTCGACCTTTGTCATACGCATCAGCAGGGAGAAGGAAGAGAAAAAAATCGTTCGACACTCTTTTACGTTGTCGAGACATTTTTTTGGCCCAGTATGGCTGCCGCAACGGAACGGTTTTTGCACCTCGCTCGCCCGCTGGCGCACACGAACGTCGGGCTCCAGACGAACATTGCCCCGCTTACTGTCCAGATCCAGCCTCAGGTATATAATGCACCATCACGATAGAACCCCTCCAGTTTGCCTCGATATAGGAGCGGGAGAGGCATAAAGAGGGGGGGAGAAGAAGGAAGAAACAAGTTCATTGGCTGATGTGTTACTGTGGCTAGGCTGTCCTCTCCATCCTCGATCACGCCGTTCGACGAGATGTCCGTGAAAACTCCCAGTCCACGCGGGTCATCGGCGCCCTGGTAGGCACCCGCTCCGAAGATGGAACCGAGGTCGAGGTTCGCTCGTGCTTCGCCATCCCCCATACCGAAGAGGAGGACCAAGTCGAGGTCGACGTCGAGTACCAGAAGAACATGCTCGCCCTGGTCCTCAAGGCCGCCCCCCGCGAGTCCCTACTCGGCTGGTACACCACCTCCCACGAGCTCAACAGCTTCAGCGCCCTGATCCAAAACTTCTTCGCCGCCCCTGACACCGGCACCTTCCCTCACCCCGCCATCCACCTCACCATCTCCACAGAGCCCGGCAAGGATATCGAGACAAGATGCTACATCAGCGCCCCCGTGGCCGTCAACGCCGAGCGAGCTGCCGAGAGCTGCCTTTTCATCCAGGTTCCCCACAAGATACTGTACGGAGATGCTGAGAAGAGCGCCCTCGAGGCTGTCGCAAGCGCCCGGGACCTCGAGTCACGGACCACTCCCCTGGTGTCAGACATTGAGAGCTTGGGTCGATCCATCGAGCAAACCATTAGCCTTCTGGACCGCGTCAGCGAGTGGGTCAACGGCGTATTGGACGAGGATGAGGAGCCCAACAATGCCTTGGCTCAGTACCTCCTGAGCGCCCTGTCTCTGGCCCCCAAGGTCGACGCTTCTCAGATCGAGCACGACTTCAACAACCACATCCAGGACGTTCTCATGGTCAGCTACTTGGCCAACACCATCCGGACTCAGGTCGACCTGTCCCAGCGACTGGCTACGGCCAACCTGGTCAGCAACGAGAAGGAGGAGGGCAAGGGTGACGGAGAGAAGGGTGGCCAGCGCGGAAACAAGCGTGGCGGACGTGGAGGCGGCCGAGGCGGCGGTCAACGGGGAGAACCAAGAGAGCCCAGAGAGCCCAGAGAGCCCAGAGAGCCTCGCGAGCCTCGCGAGCCCACCGAGTAAAGGACACGGGGAAAGTGATACTAGCAGCTATATATAACTGTTTCCTTGGGCTTAATTTGTTTTTTTCTTTTCCATCCCCGGCAACTAAAGCTCTAGAAGGAAAGAACCTACGAAGGAGAGGGGAAAGGAATATGGAAGTGGAAAAAAGGAGTCCGCCTGAGGCGTCTTTGGATGGACGGATGGGAGAGGAACTGGGCATGTATCGTGGCATTGTCCCAGCAATACACAGACGCACGAACACAGTATCATCACGGCGTTGTGGTATGCCAAACTTGATTTTGGCACTTGAGATATTAGATATGAATATTGATTCGTCACGCAGTCTCCTTCTAACCTAGTACTGCGAGCATGGAAAATTGAACTGCTCCTGATGTACTATGATGAGTTGTAATGCTGGAGAGCAAGACAAAACTTGAGCTCGCTAGCCAATGGCAACCACTAACACTGAAATGAACGTATGCTTAGTGTATGGTTCATTGAGAAATCCGTACAGAATTATCCATCCTTAATTCTCATAATATCGATATGTTTCTGGTCATGTATCTACGAAATGCAACAACTTGGTCCGCTTCACCATCTCATCGAGGTCAATCTCCCATGTAGTAACTGAAGTTTTCAATGTCAAATCTTCATAGAAACTATATGCGACTCATACGACGAGCCACAAAGTGAGTGACACAAGGTTCCTCCAAGTAGCCCCTATTGATTGAACTTCTGTATAGATTCTCTATGTCAAGCAATAACCTCTGTAGTATCGCTTTTCATGGTATGCCCCAACTCCATGCGCCAGTAGGAAATCAAACAATTAGACTAGATGCAATGTACAGTTTCCATAGCCCTCCTCAACGCCACCTCACGCAAATGATACCCTCTTCTTGGACGCCTTGGACGCCTTGGACGCCTTTGAGCCCGTAAGTGATATGCTCTTCAGGTTGTCGTCTCCATCGCCCTTCTCGCCCTTTCTCTTGCGCTTCTTCCTCATGGACTCCTTGGTGTCCTCAAATTTGGCCTTCTTCTCTGCCGCCTTCTTATCAGCTTCCACTTTCCTGGCCTCGCGAATCTCCTCCATCTGGCGGGCCTTGATCATCTTCGACTCGATGTGGCCTTCCTTTTCGGCTTGCACTAGGGACAGAATAGTCGTCATGCTCTCCTAGCCGCACAATTAGCACTCAATGGGTTTCCCTTCAAGGCGTAATTCCGGGGCTTACCTTGTCGTCCACAAAGACCTTGCCCTTCTTCTTGCCCTTTGGCTTTTCGACACCAATGGGCGTAATCATATTCAAAGTCGGGATGCCCAGCTCTTCAGCGGTGTACGTCTTCTTCTTCGGCCGCTTCATCAGCAAGGCGCGGTTCTTTTCCTTGACTTGCTGCGACACAACGGGGCCCTTTGGCCCCTTGGACTTGGATTTGGGCTTGGAGATGCCATCGGTGGAAGACCGCTTTGCGCCGCCCTTTCCGGGCGCGCCCGCGCTGCTCTTCGAGCCAGCGTGCTTGTTCTTGATCGTCCGCGTCTTGTTGGGAGCCATTGTGAAAGCTCTTGCTGCGCGAGATGTAGCAAGTTGAATTCAGTGGTTTCGTGCGCTGTAGGCAAATCTCCCAAGCTTTGCTGTCGCGCCGCAGAAATTTTTGGGCTTATCGGCTCTTATCGGTCGCATCGAGGGGCGATAACAGAATGGCCGTGGATAAACAAGTAGCTCTGTACTTTGTGGGGTGGGGGATCTCGGTGGTATTGGATGAAGGCCTGCGGCTTCTAGAACCCAAATGCTGCATTGGACAGCAAGGATGCGTCTTGATACTCGGTGCTGCATCAGAAATGCAGTGTGACATGAGCTGTGATTTGAAGGTCCTTGATTTGCTAATTGGCGGATGATATCCAAGACCTGCTAACAAACTGTCCGACTGATGATGACCTCACCAGTGTTAACCCAGTGAGGTAGTAATATGAATGGCCTACCTGGGTATCTTGGACGCCGAAAGCAGCAATTTTTTATCTTCACACATATGCGCCGGCAACGTTATCAACACAGTAAGGTAGTTTTCTTCTTCTATTTGTCTTATTTTCACTTATTGTTTGCCAAGTGATGGTCCTACTATGCGGTCCAGTTTGCCAGGGTACGAAAGTCGCGTGCTTCAAGAAAACACGGCAGATTGTTTGACACATCATATCAACAAGATATGCACAGCTCCCACGCTTCGAAACCAGAGCGTAAGATGACCTGATCGATAACAAGGAGGTCATAAAGCTACCAATAACACCACTGCAGTACCTGTCAGTAGCTATTCTGGCAGGTATGGGGGCTGAGACATTGATTATGCACTTATATGCAGTCCAAGAGATCTACAACATCAGTGTTCTCGTCCGAGGTTAGGGCTATTCGTTACTCAAGACGTGGTTCCATGCAGAAAGAAAGAAAAAGATTTCAAATCGGATCATGCAAAGCCCCAAAAGTTCAATAGCTCGGTGAGGCCCTGTGACGCCCAATGGGCAGCCATCGGGCTATTATGCGGCCATTAGTAGCTTGATGATGGAGAAAAAGAAAAAGAAGAGAAAAAAATGAAGCAGAATGACGTGAGCCAAGTCCGTCTAAGCTTTGTACAACACCACTCACAACGGAACCTTTGTTGTAATTTTTTATGAATCCCCTTTCCCCTTGGGTAAACTCGGCATGATCATATAGTAAAAGTCATCCACCTAATTGATCTTGTGGCCGTTTATCAACATCCATCTCCCGTCTCATACCCAAATCCCCCACGGAATGGATCATCAAGAAGCCCCCCATACATCTGCGGGAAACACGTGTAAAACTAGACTTGCTTTACATTATTGGACAGATCAATTCCCAAGCACCGTTTCATGCGTCAGTAGGTGGCAGCTCAAGACTAATGGCGCACACCACTACCTTACCTGTATGCACCCGCGGTTGCAGTGCTCAGCCGCTACAGCACCAGTACACGCACTGACAGAAATTTCTACAGGCGTCTGACGCGCTGTCGGTTCCGGCTGGCCTGAAAGTGGGCCCAGGGAGGGCTTGCCGGCAATGTACCTGCTAGACTCGTAAATTTCACCAACCGTCGATGTCACGCAGAATTCTTTCGACCTCAAGAACCTCAAGATCCACAACCTCACTACATAATTCTCCCCAAACCCGAACAGCTTTTTTCGTCGACACACCGCGCAATCCCCGCCATCACTCCTCCTGCATCGCTATTTCAAGCATCCAACAACCCTCCTCGTCTCGCGACCGCCTCTTCGAAGCCCCTCCATCGCCGTTCCGAATCACCAGCTTTTTCTAAGCAAACCCCCCTCCTTGTCTCGCTCCCTCCCGCATCGCATAGTTTACAAGTTTTTCTCCCATCCTCTTACCGAGTTTCGACACCCGCGCATCCAGAAACACAGCATCGCCTCCTGCCACGCCTCATCCTGCGACATCCTGCGACCTCCGTCTGACCCTCGAAAAACCTTTCCCGAGCGAGGCGTCCCTCCCCTCCCCGCAGCACCGGCATCAAGACCAGACGAAACCCCCAACAAGGCTTAATGGAGAATCTATGGACTCGTCGAACCAAGTATGATCTGCCCACACACACGTCGCCTCCACGGCGAAGCCCTTGTTGACTGACCTTGCGGCGTCTAGCTCGTCAAAGCTTTCCCTCACTACGCCTTCCAATGGGGCCAACGGCTTGGGGGGAGGTGATCCCGCCTCCCGCAGTGCCACGGTAAAGTCGTCGCATGGCAAATCGAATCCTTTTAACAGCACCCCGGGGAGTGCGCTGGTGTCTCCGACGGGGGGAGCGTCCAGCGCCTTTGGTCTGGGCTCGGGGGCTTTTGCTTCGTTTGGCTCGTTTGGCTCTGCGAAAACGCCAAAGTCCGGCGGGAACCCTTTTGAAACCGCGATGGGCTCGGCCGTCGCCAAGCAAAACGCCTCCAAGGACGCGGTGAAGCCCGTGGCCAGACCACCCAACATGGCGCCCATTTCCGAGTCGAAGGCCGCGGAGCCGCTGCCCGGGGTCACACAGATACACATGCTGAAAGACGCATGGTCGTTCTGGTACAGGCCCCCGATCTCGAAGGCGCATGGTTTCATCGAGTATGAGAATACACTGCACGGCATCGCCACGGTGCGGTCGGCGGAGGAGTTTTGGCAGATCTACTCCCACCTCAAGCGGCCGTCAAGCCTGCCCGTCGTGTCCGACTACCACCTCTTTAAAAAGGACATTCGGCCAATATGGGAGGATGAGGTCAACCGGAAGGGAGGCAAGTGGGTTGTTCGCCTTAAGAAGGGTGTGGCAGACCGGTACTGGGAGGATCTGCTGCTGTCCCTCGTCGGCGACCAATTCGGCGATGCCGGAGAGGACGTCTGTGGTGCCGTCTTGAGCATGCGCAATGGCGAGGATATCTTGAGCATCTGGACCCGAACTGACGGCGGTCGCGTGCTCAAGATCCGGTATGTGTGATGTTTCTTCTTTTTTCCCCCCTTACATCACAACTTTTTACGATCTAGTCAACTAACCACTTGTTTTGCCACTTTAGCGAGACTATGAAGCAGGTTCTCAACTTCCCGGCAAACACCCGTCTCGAGTTCAAGTCGCATGATTCTAGTATCCAGCAGCGAACTGCCATTGACGAACAACGTCGCGAGAAGGCCAGTCAACATCACAATGACAAACGCCACACAACCAACGCAGCCAAGCAGACGTACGAATAAAGAAGAAGAAAAAGCTTGAAAATCAACTAGGCTCGCACAGCCTTAAAAACCTCTCTTGTGATCTTATTTATGCCGCCAAACTGTGCCATGTTTTTTTCGTCCTTCTTGTTCGGCTATGATGGAATTCTTCCCCAATTTATTTGTACACTACCGGGCAGAGCGCTTGGGTATGTTGCAGACCCGTTGTTTTGTTGCTCTTCGTTGTTTTCGCTTCCTGGTTTTCTGTACGTCCTCTTTGTTGTTTTTACTTCTGTCTTTTTTTTTAACTCTATATCTTGGGTGCGGCAGTTTTTCGTGTGATTTCTTTCCGCGGATGGAAAACTACTGGGATGTACACTGGGAGACAAGCTGATTTGCTCTACCTGGAAAATGGTGGGCGGAAGGGCGGGTTTTTTTTTATTATGTGGATAATGTACTATAGCTTGATGGTTTGAGCACGGCAAGCCTGGCGGCGGCCTGTGTCTACGAAACAGGAAAAAAAGGGACAAGAAGGAATGAAATAAAAAAGATGCTCTTGCGCAGGCTGAAGAGCCTGCGAGTGTCCGTTCTATTTCGACATATGGCTGAGCCCCCCTATTTTCGTGATGATTTGTCCTTGATCCGACGCCAGCGTTATATAGTGGTATTATATGGTGGTATTACATGCACAGCTCCCATCATTTACGCTGTTCCTTTTCCTTTTCCCGATCCTGCTGTCTTGGTGGGCACTCTTCTTCGCTCCCAGATTTGTAGATATGTCTCTCCGAGATACAGCAGCTCGCTCTGTACCTTGTCGACGAACAAGTCCTGGCACACAACCCACTCGCCCGTGGCTTTGTCCTTGATCTGAACCTTCCAGGTCTTCTTCTCCTCGCCGCTGTCCGCAACATCCTCCCTCTTGCGGACCGCCTCATGGACGACGTTGGCAACGAGATCGTACCATATGGGCTCACCCACGGGCCATTCTTTTGGATTGGGCTCCACGTACGGCGAAACGTCGAGATTCCTCGCGTCAAAAGTGACGATTGTGGGGTTTCGCTCGGAGACGAACTTGTTCTGTGAAAAGCGCTTGACGTGAAGCAAGAGATACGGCGGGAGCGGATGCAGCAGGCGGTAGCGTTTTCGCTGTGCGTGGTGCTCTTGCGCCCGCTTGCCATCGTATTTAGTCAGGATGGTGCTCAGGGGAACCTGCGGGATGATGTTCTTTTCCAGCTCGTCCTGGAACAGCGGGGCAGACGGTAAGTCGAGCGTCAGGAAGAGGAAGCGCACAATGTCGACCTTGACTTCGGCGGCCTCTTCGAAGCGCAGACGATCGCCTGCATCGGCACGGGCGGTGATGGCCTGGGATTCGACCTTGAGCTTGCCTTGGAACGTGCGCTGTATCATGGAGCTGCCCGGCTTCGTCTTGCTGCCACCGAGGCCGAGGTGGAGATTGTTGAGGAACCACGAGAGGAACTCGACGGGATCTGACTGGTTCGTGAGGGTGAAGCGTTTGTTGGAGAGGAGGGCGATTTCCTGGAGAAGCTCGTGTGGTGAGACGTGGGATTTGAAGGCGCGCGGGTTCCAGATCTTGCGGAACAGGATGCTGCATCTCTTGACGAGCTCGGATTTTTTGGAAAAGTCCTCCAGCAGGAAGTAGTTGCGCAGCGGAGAGACGTGTGACAGCGCCTGCACTACGACGTTGAGGTAGTCGTTCTCCTTGATGTTGTTCATGCCGACGAACCCTGGCGTGTACTCCTTGCCGTCGAGCGTCCAGCTGACGTGGTTGACGCGACGGTCCAGCTGGATGACTTCGTTCTTGGTGTACCTAGGGTCGGAGACGTATTTGATGTCGTCGAGCGACTTGCTCTTGACCTCGTAGCCCTCGGGCAAGACGTAGACTTTTTGCGTCTCGAGGTTGATGTAGACGTGGTGGTCCTCGTCGAGGGAGTGGAAGTAGGCGTGGGACTTTACGCCGCGGCCTTGAAAGTATTTGCCGCAGACGAGGCATGCGTAGACGTTGATGTTGGAGAGAGACACGGAGCACAGCTTCTCAAAGTCAAAGTCGAGGACGTTGCGGTCGATGGTGTCGAGATAGAGGTCGTCGTATCCGTCGGCCGGGCCCGATTGCCGAACAGGAGCCGGAATGGGCACTTCATCGTCTTCTTCATTGGATCCTTCGCTGTCTTCATCGTCCAGACGGCCGTTTCTTGCATCTCCGTCTTGCTCGGGGCTTTGCGCATCGCCGTGGCTGTTTGCGAGGGGCGAGTCGAAGTCGCCCATTCGAGATCGCTTGGACGCGGGCGATGCGACGTCCTGAAGCTCGTCGAGAGCTTCGGAAGCTTGTCGTTTAGACATGGCTTGTGATGGAATGCCACGGAAGAGAAGCTGTGTGCTTGGAGAAGAGCAATGCTATGGTATGAATTGGACAATGGAAGAGGTTGTGGTTGGTTGGCACAAGGCTGAAATGGAAAATGTCAGCGGGTCTAGGAGCCTAGAAGCCAGCGACATGGGTAGCTGCTAATATAGAGGGGACGACATCCCATCTTACAATGGTCACTTGAGACTGAGACTACTCATCTGTTGTACCTAAGCAGCGGGAAGATGCTTTATAGAGTGATTTAATGGAGTCTAATTATTCGCCAGATTATAACGAGCTGGAAGTTTTCTGGAATAACAAGTACCTTTTGCATCTTTTACCTGCTTCTGTCAACTCATGATGTCCTCCTAACCTAGAGTACAATTTTATCTTCTCGGGCCTCACATTTCATTCAGATAGAAAAAATCGTGGAGAGATCCAGCAGTGCCAAGCATTACAATCATTGACAGTATGACCACGCAATCAATGCATTACTACCTTTTTGTTTATCTAATCCTTTCGCTATAATATGATGACTTTGGAAATAGCCACTTACATCCACGCATCCTCCAGCCGGTAAATACCAGCTTAGTACCTGATATACTACCACATGTATGCTCTTCTTTGTAATTGAAACTCTAACCACTCATGACAGTGTCGCCCTGGAACGTCGGGGCGAGGCTATCCATTTCCTGCAGGGTATACTCTACTAGATAGCTTTCGTCCACCAATTCCTCCATGCGCTTGTAGTGTCTTTCGGTGTACACCCTCAGACCGTGCAGCACATCCTTCAAGCTCTTCTCTCCCCTCGAGCCCTTGACAGGCAAGTTTGAGAACTTTGAAGCCGGGTAGCTCTTGATCAGCGTCCACAGTATGCGCTGTGCCACTGGGGCTGTGCGAGCGTTTGTGTTCCAGTCTCGCAGCCTCAACAACAACAAGTAGATCTGGTCATCAGAGAGGGTTGCAAGAACTTCATCAACTGCTTTGATACCGCATAGACTGTCCTGCTCGGGGTTGCTAGTTGTGACAACAGAGGTAAAGAGGCCAAGCAGCCGCCCGGGATGATTCAGCTGGAGGGCCAAGGTAATGGCCTCTCTGTAAGATCCAGCGTGCATGTGGTTCTCGAGCTCCTGTTCTTGCTTGATGAGCTCCAGTGCTGCCTGAGATGCTGCTGCTCGAGTTTCGGACGTTGTATCTTTCCAGAACGTAACGGTAGAATCACCGCTTCCAGAGACGACCGCATTGGTCTTTGGATGCACAGCCAAGGCCCATACTCGATCTTCGTGGTTGTCCAAAGTGCACTCGGTTTCTCCAGAGTTGGCATTCCAAATCTTAACAAGCCCGTCACCACCGGCACTCGCAAACTGCACCAGTCCTTTGGCCTGTTCCGAACGCGAGGTCATGCTGAGCCAAGCGACCTTGAGAATGGAGTTTGAATGCCCCTCAAATGTACGAATGCACGTATAGTCTGAAAGATTCCAGAGCTTGATGCTCTTATCACCACTGCCAGTTAGGATAACACCCTTGCCTGTGACAGGGCCATCTTCTCCCTGTAGAGCGGGCATTTGGGCAGGCGAAAACTGCACAGTCCATACTCCTCGCTTATGGCCACGAAGAATACCTTGAACCTCTCCCTCCTCTACTGACCACACTTTGACAGTCTTGTCTTGCGAAGCAGATGCAAAAAGCTGGCCGGCATGATGTACATTGATTGCGTTGATATCTTTGTCGTGGGCTTTTCTCGTAAAGACAGATCGGGCGTTGGTTTTTTGACCTTGTGGCTGGGGTGTTCGGGAAATCTCCCACTTCTTGATCGTTTGATCTTGTGATCCCGTCAAGAGGAAAGGAGGTGGATGGTTGAGAGGGTCGGTTCGTGCCGCTGAGCCTTCGACGGGAACAGTCTTGGGCAAGGCCACAGCACCAAGAGATTCGGCATGTCCCGAGAAAGTAGCCCAGCACACATGAGTGTTGCTGGCGGGATCGATTCTCCAGAGCTTTGCAGTATTATCTTTAGCTCCAGTGGTGACCCAGTGCCCAGACCAGTCAACATCCAACGCAATTACAATATCGTCATGGCCTCGTAAGAGGGCCACGTCTTGACCAAAGAATGGAGTCTCCGATTTTGTCCACGCCATCTCCTGCGCATCATTTTTCGACTCAGCTACGGATACCAAACGAATATCCTCGGAGTTGGTGGCCAGAGCAAGCAGTGAGTGGTCGGGCAAGAGATAGGCCATGTCGATGATCTCGTCATGTGTGCCGGATATTCGGCGGAAAGGCTCAGGTGTGGGAAAGTTTGTTGTCGTAGCCTTTGATGATAGCTCGTACAAAGCCAACGTATGATCAACCTGCACTAGGAGAATAAAGGGAAGTTCTGGTCGATAAACGCCGGCAAGGATTCCCTCCTCTTCGCTCTTGGAGGATTGCTTCGGTGTCAGCTCTGAGCCTTTGTCGGTATCCCAAATGCGAAGACATCCGTTGGCTCCGGCAGAAAATGTGAGATTTCCATCGTCGATGAATCCCGCTGTTTCGACGAGCTCGAGACATGGGACGACTTTGCGGATTTTCCACGATTTCGTATCCCACCAGATGAGAGTCTTGTCCCTGCTGGCTGTGACAAGAGCGTGCTGTGCTGGAGAGTAGTCGATCGCCTGTACGTCAGATACGTGGGAGTCCAAGTTGGCGATGCAGCTCCTCTTGTTCAGATCCCAAATCCGCACTTTACCATCCTGGCTACCCGAAGCCAATCGAAAATTTGTAGTGGTAGCGGCTTCTGCCTCGTCCTCGTCCTCGTCCTCGTCATCTTCCGTCGTAGACCGGTTCTTCGAAATCTTGGGGTTTTGACTGGGCGTTGCTCGTGCTGCAACCTCAAAGAAGCGCAGTGCGGACACCAATACTGATGGCCCTCGGAAGGTATGTGTGACATACCCACCAGCAATGTCCCAGACCTTGATCACACCATCGGTTCCACCTGTCGCCAGGAGGGTGCCCGTGCGATCAACCGCCAGAACAATGACTGGGGTTGCATGTGGCTTCAGTTTACGGACCAGCGATGCTTCGATCGAATCACCGTCCGAGGACCATTTGAGCACGAAAATTCTCATAGACAGCGATCGGGAACAAACGATGAGATGGGAACCGGATGGCGTTACTACACAATGTCAGCCTCTGCTTTTTACCAATGTCATGCGGGATCCACGAACGTGTCAGTGTCGAAATTGAGTCGCCATCCTTTGTTCAATTAGCTTTCCATCCAAAGTCGCCTCTGTCCATAACATCACTTACGCCTTCAATCTGTGCCAAATGCTTTCCATTGGTGGGGTTTGTTAGAACAGCATCCTCGCCCAGAGTTGTGGCTAGAATCTGCGCCTTGTTGTCAATGGCAACAGACCCTCCGGTATAGATTGGCCGAATGACGCGCTCGACGTCGAACGTCGTCTTCAAGGGCTGTTTCGTCGCCATGGTGCTGAACTCGGCTCGTCGTGAAGAGGAATCTGGAAGCGCAATGCGCCTGTCTGGGAATTATTTTTTGATGCTCCGATAAGATAAGAGCCGGGCTAATGCGCAAAAGCGACGCCGCTTGGACATGATTGGTCTCGCTTTTGTGCCACAGTTTAACCGCTGACGCACTTCAATTACAGGCAACCTGCTCCTGCTAATCATTGCCAATCCTAATGTACTACCTATATATAGTGAGAGAATCCTGGGGGGCAAAATACATCCTTTAATCATCATACAGTATAGCTCCGTCTATATCGATATCCGCGTCCGTGGACTATGTCTGAATGAAGTGAGATGCTGAGGAGCTTGTCCGCTTCAAAAGTCATTCGCTATGGGGATGCAAGGCCCGCTCGTGGCCCAGGCCCTGGTATGAGATGAGATGTCGGCCCATTACCTATCACTTCTGACGCTGTTAGGGCCGCTCGCCATTTGACGATGTAGTTCAAGGCGAAGGGGATGACGACCCGCGGATACCAAGTCAGCAATACGATCATGGTGGGCGTCCAATCAACCCCGATACTATGAGGATCAACAGGGACATCATCCGGTCACACAACCAGGTCATGTTTATTATTGGTATAGCTGAACCTGAAAACCCGGGCCCTGAAGTTGATTCGCAGAGACGGCATGGCGCCTATGAAGAAGCAATTGGGCTGAAGCTGGCATCTTCTGCTAAGCGTTGTGTGGAGGCAGTTGGGCTATTTGGTGTCAATGGTCTAAGGGATCGGATCCTGGTGAAGCGCCTTTCTCCAATCACCAAACTCTGCACTATCCATGTCGTTGTGGCTAATTGTGTATTGCTAGATTTATAAACGATATTCCCAAATTCCATTTTGGGAACTATATCAGCAAGCGCGACGAGATTTCTCAATCTCTAGGGACATTCTTGCTGGCGCTCCCGCAAACTTGTTGTCAAATTATATTGAGTTCTCAGTCGCCCGGTTGTGGCTTGGTGAACAGGAAAAACTGACTGCTCGGCGCTGGTACGTACCGGAGTTCTCTTCGTGGCAGAAGACTTTGGTTTGTGTGGAATTACTAACTCATTCCCTTTAGTGTTCACGAAGTGTGGTCATATATCCGAGTTCATCTAGAACTACACATATCCCTACAAAGACTTGGCTTGATATCGAGTAGTCAATGGCTACCCAGACCCTCCTTTTTTATTCCCTTTACGCAAGAATCACCGATTGTCGCCCCGCCGCCGCCCGAAAACTTTGGAGTCTTTGCAATTTTGCAGTGGCTGGGTAGTGCCTTAATAATCAATGCCCCGTTTCTTGTTTTTGTTATGACCCAGCGAATGGTTCGTGATTGGAAGCCGCACATATGGGCCGAGACGTTCAAGCGCCTTCCCAGCACCGTCTTCCGTGGTAAGACGATACCGCAAGCTCCGCCGTCGATGTCACAGTCTTTCATGAACGAGGCTCCTAGTGAGATTCACAGCAATGAAGGAGGTTCGCCTGTGGCGCCTGTGGATAACCAGATGCCAACTGACACGGGGAGCATGGAAGTTGTTCGTCGGCCAAGTATATTCTCGGCCAGAGGCGATGACTATGGGAGCGATGAGGAGGACAACGATGTGATAAGGGCGACTCTAATCAGTTTTGACGTCGAAGCGACTGAGTCTACGGATGCTCCCCAAGGGCTATGGAGCGCAGAATTGCGGCCAAGCGTTGCCAACACAGATTCAAGAGCGTCTGTTAGTTCTCAGCCAACGTACTTGGATACATTGCTCACCCAGATCCCGGCGCTGTTGGCATCGCATATGCTTGCCAACTCCATAACACGGCTGTTGATGACTCCGTATGATGCGGCGGCCCTGCGTCTAGTGGCACGAGCATTCTGCTTGCGAAATGGCCTACCTTACCAAGACATATGCGAGACTAATCTTCTCAGTAATTGTTCTTGGACGTCACTCATGAATTATCTGGGGACAGAGTTTTTGCACCTCTCCCTCACCACAGAGGTTTGGGCGGTTTTCACCGGCCTTTCTCAGTGGTATCACTTTTCCGAGGAAGAATGGACAGCTGAAGAAGCAAAGAACTAGTGACCTGCCATTGGCAACAGAATCGTGTAATCGCGACGGAAACAACATGATTACTATATAACATATGGGGATGGGAGCTTTTGCCCTCCCTCGAGCATAATAATTGGGAAACCTGTGGTTTCCGACTGTAACCTCCTATATATAAACTTAGCGAACGGAGAAGCGAGGGAATTAGTTTTTAATCAATCTAAAATAGCATTCGGTCAGCTGCGAAGAGAGAAGTCGGGGTTATTTGTGTGGAGCTGCAACGCCTTATCGAAGGAGATGGATTATATACGGCCGAAATCAAACATCGTGTGTATTAACTCGAAGGGTTGAGCTAAACCTATCTATTAAGGACCTATATCCCACTTTTGCTCTTTTGTCTATATAACTCATAATCTTGTCTATCCGGAAAGAGAAAATAATGTCTAATGCCTCCTAACTCCGCACAATGTTCATTTTTCGTCTCATTGGGTCATAATCAGAGCCCGAGAACGCTTGCGATCTAGCGGGATAATCCATTGGCACGACGCTATCGAGATCAACCTTGTACGCCATATGGTTAAGAAAATTGCACACCTACAGTGGTTTGTTAGCATTTTGAGTTCCCTGGACTTATTTCCCTTCTGAGAGAGAGGTAAGGTAATACATACCGGACGAGGGTGCCAACGGGATCCTCCAGGTTCAAACCAGCACAAGTGGCCGCCCAAAGATGTGGTGAGCAGAATTGTGTTGGGGTTCTGACGGAATTCTTCAAATGGAATGGCTTCTTTGACGGCAATCTGCTAGACTGTTAGTATACAAGCTTTTGTCATTCTGGTGAGAAGAGAACGCACCGGGTCATCTGTTGCTGAAATCGCCAAGAATGGTATCTTGATTGAGAGGATTGCATCTGACGAAGAAGCATCGCGGTAATAAGCAGTCTCGGTTGGGTATCCCCATGTGGGACATCTGGGAAAGTATCAGCATGATATCTCGAGGATGCGATTGAGAGGTATTCTTACTGGATTTGCCTATCAAACTCATATAGATAGGTAACATTTGCAATAGCAGCGAGATCCAAGTTGGTGTGTTGCTTGAGCTCTTTTTTGTGCCTCTCAATCAGGGCTTTCATGGCAGCTACAACGCGTTATGATTCGGTTCAAGCGTGTACTTTGAGGGGAAAACTTACTGCCCATGACTCTGCTGTAGACCTCTTTTCCAATAAAGGAGCTTGTCATTGTCTTGCTCGCAATATCTAGACTAAAGGGGTTTGAGCAGGCGATAGCAGCCTTGAAAAGGCAATCCGAACCCTCTTCACCGCAATACTGGCGGGCAGGTTAGCCGCTGGTGCACTCAAACATCTAGATTCTGGGACTTACATTGGTTATAATATTGGCACCGAGTGAGAAACCAATACCAAACAGTGGGCGATTTGGAAATGTCTTCCGAAGCCACTTGACCGTCTATTTTTGCGAATTTGTTAGTAACTCTTCATGTTCGCGGACCAATGCCGAGGAAACTTGCTTGTCTGATGTCCCACGTTGCCCGAGCATTATACAAGATGCCACTCGTGATTTTGCTGCCTGCGCAGCCTCGGGAATTTACCACGCAAATCTCCCAACCCTGTTCGAGTAGAGGAGCAATTGTGTGTCTCAGGTACACCTCATGAGAGCCACCCGAAAGGCCATGCAGCACCACCAGCATGGGCTTCGCATCGTCCGAGCTGATATTGGCGAACTCTTCTTCCGAGTAATGGGTAGTACGTGGCGGCAGGCCCTCATCTCGACTATCGTGAGGCTCCACGACAAAATCGACAGCAAAAGATCCGTCGTAGAGTTCATGTTCGGCGTGGAAGATTTTGCGCTTGTAGAAAACCAGTGGCCCATGTGGCTTGGTTGCGGTCCAGATTGTCTGGATGTGGCCGTTGAACAACAGCGGGTTTAGCTGGCATGGCGGCGTGTTTGATTCGCAAATCTTGAGGAGGTCCGTCTCATTGCCATCCTTTTCCTTGATTGGCCTTGGATTTGGCGAATGAGTGAACTCAATCTTGGCCCTCCCGAGCCACTCCATTGCTGCGAATGTGGGAACAGTGTTGTAACCCGATGGAAGCTACAATCACAGAGAAAAGACCAGAAGGCGGTACGGTTTCAAGGGCAATAGGGGTGATTGAATCTAGAAATACGCCGAGACAAGTAGCAAACCTCGGATGTTTATCCAGATGAAAAGTGCAAAGCCCGCTTCTTGATAACGAGGGTTGCACATGCAACAGTGTCCATGAGGCGGAACCCCTGCGGGCTGGGTAGACAGTACAGCCATGGCGGTGGCAATAACTGGCGAGGGGAGGGTACACCGTACAGCGAGGTACTGCAGGGGCCCACTGGCTTCCGAGGCTGCGAGTCAAGTGGCGTGCGGCATGGTCTATCGCTTTAAAATAACCCATACTCTCTGATACACTTATAAACAGCGAGACTGCCGCACTGGCACAGTGGAAGAAGGATGACAATAAGGCTATGGTTTCAATAAGGCTGATGTCGGCGGTGCACGAAGACACCGTCATGCTGGTTACAACGGCTTCGCCCGCCATCTTCTGAATCACCATCTGGTCGAGGGACTTTGAGAGAAGCTCAGACCCCCAAAGTACGGCTAAGAAATCTTTATTCTAAATTCAATCATCCCATATTATATTATCTACGACTTCAACGCGACACGCAACTAACATTTGCTACTGACTTGCTCTTACCAGAATTACAATTATACTATTGGAAACTTAGTTTGGCAAACTGGGGAATATCTTCTAGCTGAGGGGGAGGCGCACTGAGTTGATAAGCAAAAACGCTGAAATCACAGGAGGGGGGTGTCACCTGTCGCTCGTTGCCAGCTGAACTCGAAATCATAGAGACAGAAAAGACCCCGACCGCCATCACCTGGGAAGGGGGGTTTCCAAAAAAAAAAAAAAAAAAAAAAAAAAAAAACCTTAAGGAAAACAACAACCCCGAGAATTTTGCAAACTCTTTCTTGGGAAACCATTTTCAGAAGCAAGAACTGTTCTGAGCACGACAGACCACCGTACTACCAAATTATGAGAAACAGCTATTCCGCTGGCACTCCTTGTGAAGCCGAAGTACAGCGGATACTGGCGATTTCCTGCATCGTGGGAGTGCTAGCTAACCTAATCTTGGTGACTTTGTGGAATGTAACTTCGTGTTTGTGACATATGTCCACAGCTTGGTCGGTCTACCGGGAGTCTACCGGCGAGCTGACTCCATCATCAAGATCATCATCTACCTTTAAATAATCATCTTTAAGGACGGAGAACCCAGTGTTGACGAGACCCGGAGATTTCTTTGACACTGAAGTGGCACCGCGAGAGCCCGAAAATACAGTATTCAGATTACCGTCACCACAGTCCAACATTACAATAATTCTCTTTTCCACAGAGTTTGCCGTTGGGGGCACTGGCCTACGCTGGCCATTCTAGTGACGGGGATTCCAAAGACTACGTTGAGATGTGCAAATCCAACGTTGCTATCCTACCAGTGGACCCCGAACACAAAGACATGGTTCTACGACAGGTGTTCAGATTAGGCTTGAGGGGATAGGCTATGGTGTAGTATGAAGAATTAACTCGAGAGGAAAGGGAATAGCCAACCTTGGAGTTACTGTTTGTGGCAAAGTTCAAGGACCCAGACCCTGCTATACAAAACAGACTTATGGCCATGCTACATATTTTTGGCTGGGGATCGGGAGAGGCACTGTCTACGTATATCCGACGAATGGAAAACCTCCATCACAAAACTAAGACTCGAAGCTCGGAGAATATTGTTGTCTTGCTTTATCCTCCACATGCCAGACGGTAACGAGGACCTCCGATTACAGGAAAGAGTGACGGATCGCCTCTACGCAGTGGGAAAATGGCAAGCCGAGTTCGCAGCTCCGGCCCTCATAATAGAAGATGTCTTGGCAGCATTATTCGCATATCGATCCTTAACCTCTGAACCAGTGGCTCAGAATAATAATGTAAATCGGCCTGCTCGGGAACTGGATCTAATCCATATCTTGATCTAACAACAGGCCACTATGGCAGAACTGGTGAAGCATATGGGGTCTTACATCCCTTTGAGTGCCGTAAGGTGCGCTCTGCGTACCGTATCCGCTTTTTTCTGCTCTGGGTAGAGATTTTCTCCTTTCTGTTTATCTGATTGGTTTTAGGTATTAAAGGTACATAGAGCGCACCTTATACTCAAAGGGATGGTAGGAATTCGGGGTCGGAGTTCGAGTGGGTGTGATAATGTCTTACCTCCTTTCGTTGGAGCGACTAGTGCGCATTAGGAAGCGACCCCCGTTGCCTTGCACGAGATAAATCACGTGGATCAACCTTCTTTTTGGTGTGGGTTCGCACGAAAGAGACTCTACCATGCAAAGCAAGCATCACCACGCAACGAGTTCGCATCGACGCTCCACGAGATGCGATGCCTGTCGCTGTCGGAATCTTCTGGAGAGTGAGAGCCATGATCATTTTCTGGGATTCTATGGCGCTGCCTATCGGGCGCGGGGGCAGTGCGAAGAGGAGTCCGGCGCTTCTGACTCCCTGACGAGCGATTTGGAGCCTTGCCCCCCGGAATATCGTTTCCCTACACGAGCCGACACGTTGGATGCGGCCCACTGATCAAGTATGGGCTTGCTAAGGCTTACGAACAAAACATGATATCAAGCCGCCAACCCGCGGATGAAGTTGTCGCCAATACCCCACCACATCCTTATTGTCTACGTCGCAACAAGGCACCTGTAAATCGCCCTCGCTGTGCCCCTTCTTCGCACGCCTACGGTATCTCCCTGTGACGGCTAGCTTTGTTGGAGGAATCGACTTGGCCGCATATGACGGATAAAGCCCTACCCGGTCGTGCAGATACATTGTGCTCTCAACACCAGAGCCCTGTTCAAGCCGATATGGCGTCTTTGACCCGTCGAGAAGTCTTGTCACATGCCCGGGCGCCGGATTTGGCGGGATAGAGGCCGTTTGCGCATCATTTGGACCCGGATTTTATTTCTCGGCTTGCTCAGCAGCCTTTCTCTATAGCCTTGAGGCAGCGGTTCCGTTTACTTGGATGCCATCGAGATGCTGCAGTGTCGACAGTGACGCTGACTAGTTCTGAGGCACCCTGAATGATGATTGGCTACTTGACTGGAGGGGGAATGAACTTCTTAAAAGGAACAAAGGGAAGAAGGAGAAGAGCTTCGACACGGGGATCAGGTTAATGACGCAAAACTTGCGCGTTTCATCCCTACACACATGTTACGTGGTGGTCAGCTCTCTCACTTGACCTATGCATCACATATCGACGGTCACGAGATAGCTGGCCAAGTTGCGTGGCAGAAAGGGATAGAATGGCGATTGATGCCCATGGTAAGTCTCGTAAATGATCCGCCAGGATACGTACATAGCGATTTGTTGCTGGTTGATGGCGGCTAGAGCATGCTCTGCTCTGGCTGGTCGAGGTGATTGGCAGTCTTCTGCATGTCTTGGGGCTATGAAATGACGGGGAGGTGTATGAGAAAACTGCCATGATGGTGCAAGCTTGCAAGTGCATGTCCGGGAGAATTGGGTGGCTATTTGGGCGTGGCGGATGCCGGGACAGGACTGCTTTGGGGAAGAGCCACGGTTGAGGCTCAGGGCATCCAACGACGGCCGCGAAAAATTCATCATGACGGCGGTCAGCTCTTGGGGGGGATGGTCGGGGGCTGTGGCACCAGGCCCCCATCGCCCTTTTTCTTTTTTCTTTTCTTCACCCTCCTCTCTTCTCTTCTCCTCCCTCTACTGCCCTGCACTCACAACCCTCATTTGCAGCGCCATTTGTCCCAGGCTGTGGGACGCGGACGTCGCTCGACCCTCGCTCCTCCGGCTAAGGTGCGGCGATTTACCAGCGCTGCGACGCTAAAAACTCAAACAAGGTGCAGGTCCCAATGGGGCAGACTACATCGCCTCCGCGTCGCCCTCGACATGCTGCCATGAGAGACGACGGAGGAAGCTATGATTACAGAGAACGGCCTCGATCTGGCAGAGGAGTGACATCCTCGGATCGACCAGGATCTCCTCCCCACGGGGCCCGTCACAGCTCGGATTACGCCTCTCGCCAGCACCATCGCCCCAGAGACTCGGCGCCAGCGCACCGGCATCGCTCACGAGACCGCAGCCGGGAATATTCCCGGCGGGAGAGGCCTGCATCCTCGCGCCCGCTTGCCGATTCGGACGACCTGATCCCTCGCTATCGTGAGAGCAAGGCGCGTTCCTCTGAAGCCAAGGCCAAGACGACTCGGGGTAGCCGTAGCCGTAGCCGTGAGCGAGGCCGAGATCGAGACCGAGATCGTGACCGTGGGGGACTCGGCTCGCCGTCCTCCTCCAAGCGACATAGAAGTCGAAGCCGCAGCCGCAGCCGGTCTCTGAGCTCGTCACGTCGGAAACGCTACAAGAAGGCGCACAGTCCGCCACCGCGCGGTCGAGATCAAGGCTCCAAGCCCGAGTCCAAGAGACGAAGACACCATTCTCCCGATCGCCGAGGCCCCTCACCGCGTCACCATCGCTCTTCCCACAAATCTCCTTCCCGAGTCGACGACGAAGCCCGCCACCACTCGAGACGACGATCTCTCTCCCGCTCTCCGACAAGATCTGAAGCCGACAGGAGACATTCCCGACGCGACTCACGTCACCGTCACAAGCCCGAAACAGCTCGAAGCCCATCGCGGAGACGGTCGCCACTCCCTGCCAGCAGTCGGCATTCATTGTCCACCCGTAGAGATTCGCAGTCACGTGTGGCCGAGCCAACATTGACGGTCCGCACTGCCACTGACGACCGGTCGCGAATCGACGGCGACTACCGACAAGCCAATCGAGACCAAAGGCCTGCATCTCCTGTCGCCCATCGTGATCGAAACCGAGGCAAAGAATTTTCCGAACCGCATCACGCATCGCGGTCCGACATTGACGACGACATGACGTCTCGGAGCAGTTACCGAGGAGGATACAACCCCACCTATACACATCAATCCCACCACAGCAATGACCCTCGAGGATATTCGCAGTCTCCTCAGAACTCGGGTTCTTTTCACAACTCGCCATCTCCATCGTCATACGGTGCGGGTCGTTCCGGCTGGAATCATCAATACTCCCCCCAACAGTACGTTTCTGGCTAACTATCTACATTTCATCACGGCTAATGGGAATAAACAGACAATATCCTCCCCAATATGCTCACGGTGGCAGCGGTTATCCTGCCAGTGGCCCCCCTCAGAATGGATCACAGAACCATTACCACGTGAATTCGCTGCATTCCCCCCCTTATGCCGCACCCACTGGGCCTCAGGGTAACTACCGAGGGGGTCATCGAGGGAGTGGCTTTCGTGGCGGGCCCACTGCAAATCGAGGTGGCTATCGTGGCACTGGCTTCAAGAGCACCTCTAGGAACCCTTCATTCCAGGCACCGCCGCCGCCGCCGCCTCCGCCTCCCCCTCGAAGCAATGGTTTCCCGTCAGATGAAGAAGTTGACCGGAGGTCCACCGCCGCGGATGCGGATGCGGATGCCGTGGCAGACACTGATACCATTGATGCTCATGAAAATGCCTCTTTGGAGCGCTCAGACGATGCACCATCAGCTCCCACCAACCATACTACGTCCAAGGATGGAGCTGAAACTTCATCACAAACCGCACCCAAGCCGGGGAGTGGTGCTGGCAAGTTCAGCTTTGCGTTTAAACCCTCCTCAAAGCCAACACCTGCGGCTCCGAAGCCCGAGATTTCCCAAAAGTTCAACGCCGCACCCCCAAGGAGAGAGTCAGTACAGCAAGCCCAACCCTCTAACCGGGACCGCGATCGGGACCGCGACCGCGACCGCGACCGTGATCGTGATAGAGATCGTGATCGGGACCGAGATCGTGATCGCGATCGAGACCGAGACCGAGAACCTCCTCCAAGTGCGCCCACTGAGCCGTCTTCCGCACGTTCCCGGCGAGAGTTTAGGAATCCTCCCGAGGGACCAAAATTGGCACCGAGAACGCGGAAGGTGATCAAAGTAATGAAACGACCAAAGCCGCGACCGACTCTCCCCGACGACTTGATTGAGTCCGACTCGGTGTTTTTCAGGAAGCCTGGAAATGAATCAGTGGTCGGCTCAGGGACATACGGAAAAGTGTTCAAGGGGCTCAATGTATACACGAAGGGACTCGTTGCTCTGAAACGAATTCGCATGGAGGGCGAAAGAGATGGCTTCCCCGTGACGGCAGTCCGTGAAATCAAACTGCTGCAATCGCTGAGACACACCAACATAGTCAATCTTCAGGAGGTCATGGTAGAGAAGAATGACTGTTTCATGGTTTTCGAGTACCTCTCTCATGACTTGACGGGTCTGCTCAACCATCCTTCCTTCTCGCTAGATTCAGCACAGAAGAAGCACATGGCCAAGCAACTTTTCGAAGGGTTAGACTATCTTCATGAGAGAGGTGTCCTTCACCGGGACATCAAGGCTGCCAATATCCTTGTTAGTAGTGAGGGAATATTGAAGCTGGCAGATTTCGGACTGGCTCGGTTTTATGCGAAACGACACCAGCTGGACTACACGAACCGGGTCATTACGATCTGGTACCGCTCACCGGAGCTCCTGCTAGGAGAGACCAAGTATACCGCTGCCGTCGATGTCTGGAGTGCCGCCTGTGTTATGGTCGAGATTTTCACTAGACTTGCCATCTTTGCTGGAGACGGAACAGAGCTCAGCCAGCTCGACAAGATATACAATGTTCTTGGGACCCCAACCCGCCACGATTGGCCCGGAATCACAGACATGGCATGGTTTGAGCTGCTCCGACCAACTGCTAAAAGGAAGAATGTCTTTGCGGAGAAATACAAAGACAGGGTGTCTCCTGCCGCCTTTGACTTGCTAAAATCCATGTTCTGCTACGACCCGGCGAAGAGGCCCACGGCATCCACGATCTTGCAACACCCGTACTTCACTACCGAAGAGCCACTGCCCAGACAGGCAATAGAGTGAGTCCAATGCCCCCTCTGAGATTGACTATCTTGTCATAGACATCCTGACTTACTAACCCATAATGACAGACTAGCAAATATTGGTGGCGATTGGCACGAGTTTGAGTCGAAAGCTCTGCGAAAAGAAAACGAGCGGCGAGATCGGGAGGCTCGAAAAGCATCCAAGGACACTGCCCGCGAAAAGGACAAGAAACGCGTCACGGAGTCTCATGATCGCGAGAGGAGTGCCAAGAGGATACACGTCGACCAGAAGCCGGCGGACAATCGAGGTGGCACTGCTACAGCCACGGCAACGGCAACGATAGCTACGAAGGAATGAATTGCACAGCTCTCTACCTTCTTCAAGGTGGCATGCGTGAAAAATCTTTTACTTGTTTGATATATAGCCGGCTTTCCCTTTTCCTCGCAGCTCCCTTGAAGCTTTGAAGATGGGACGGCGCTGTCAATGTAGTTTATATTGCCGTACATTTGGCATGAAAGGTTTCCTTTTCATTTCCATTTCCGTTTTTCTTCTTCTTGTTCTCTCCAATGGTGTTCAAAAGGGGTATATCTGGCGTTTCGTGGACGTGGAAAGCTTTTCTCAAAGGGAGAGGTGGCACTAGCATGACAGGTAACTGGCTCTGCGTCGTTGTTTATGGCTTTTGGGAGGGATGTAGAAGAGAAGAGCCCCGGTCTTCTGGCGGGGAAGTTAATATACGAAAAGCTGTTACGAACGAATAGAAGCTGTGTTGTGCACTGTGCTACTGGAAATCAATCTTCATTCCGGCTATAATATGCATCGGATCTCTAATGTTCAAATGCATGAAATTCACTTATTGCCTCGTGCTATGTACAGGCAAGCCAAAAGAGAGGAGACCAAATACAAAGAAATCTTTCGAGAATGTCGTCCCATCGTCATAACGTCATCAATGAATTCATCATAAAGTGTGGTATCATAAGCTCTTTTCTCGTGTGCGGGTATCCCATCAAGTAATCCAAACAGCCAGCCATAATAAGGAAAAAAAAAGAGAGAAACTATCTAGGTAGGCAAGAGGGTTGTTCTGTGTTCTCCTCCTCTTCAATTGGTATCATAATCGATCATTTCTGTAGACAGACCATTATCCACATGCACTTTTTCAACTGTCCCATCCACTATCTAATGCCTCTTTGCGGTACCGATCAAGCAAGGGACTATTGAAGGATTCCCTTTCCCTTGTAGTCGGTTACCTTTAAGAGGTCTCGGAGACTTCCCTCAGCAAGGCCCTTGTTATGATGGGTGGACGTAATGGAAGATGGTTTCCATGGCATCCAGCCGTTGATCATGGACAGGATGCCACTGCCTGCAATGTCCGTCTTGGTGTGCGTAATGGCTCCCTTTGCAACAGAGAGGCCATATTGCTTGGGAAGAGCAGGCGTCTCCTTGACTAGAACGACAGGGGGACCCTCAAGAGGCTCCTCCAGGGCCGTGCGTATCTCGAGCTGGCTCGTTGATTCTTGAGGCCGCGCTGGCTCACTGACGAGGCCGGTGGCCGATGTGCGTGGAGAATCTATAGCCGCGCCGTTGAGTCTGGTAGAGGCATCAATGAGAGCAAGGGACGATGATGACTTCTTTGGAGCAGCCTCCTCGTGGTGCAGGTCACTTTGCTCATCAAGGGTTTCGCTGGAAGAGCTGCTGTGGGAGGAGTGTCCTGAACCCTTCAGCACCGCCCGACCACGGATTTCGCCCGCAATCTCGGCCGCAGCCTTTTTCCTGCCAGGCTGTTCTTCATCTGAAGATCGACTGGACGATATGATTGTTTCCAAGGTGCCTACAGCTCTGCTATTCCTGCGAGCCATGCGTCTCCTCCTACGGGTTGATGCTCCTACGCTGTGTTCGTCGTCTGCGGAGACTGCCTGCAGGGTCGGGCCTTGGGAGTCATTCAACTGGGCCGAGGAGGTGAAGAAGGAGGCCCCGTCTCCATGGGGAGTATAATGGACTTCGTATTGATTGCTCAGCGAGTACCTGGATCTGGCACAAATCTCGGCAATCCGGTCTAGATCAGCGTTGATATCACCAACAACGCCGCCACCCTGAGCTTCGATATTGGCCATGAAGCTTTTGAAGCTGAAGGCTTCCACCGGGGGCAGGCGGGCTTCGTCCTCGGCACGGCCGTTTACGGGTTTCTTTCCAAAGGATAACACCATGGTGCTCAACATGCCGGGCTCTCCGGACACAAACCTGGAGGGGACGCCGGCGACTGCTTCGGCAAACCGGCTGACCTGGGACCCGGGGCCGGCACCAGGACCGGAGACGGACGATCCGTGAGCGATGGGGCCACGAGACGAGCTGGACGGCCTGCTGGACGGCAGCGGAGGGTAGTAGCTCCGGACAATGACGGGCTCCGAGTATGTGCTGTTCTGGGCGCCGGTCGACTTGGCGTAGCGATGGCTCGGGAAGTTGTGGTTGAGCTCTCGGAGGGCGGTGGTGCGGTACTCTACGGTCGAATCATCGACGGGGATCGGCTTGCCCTCGGCAGTGGACGGCACGAGGCTGGTCGGAGACGGATTGGGCTGGATGGAGCGCCTGAGGGAGATGGGAAGGGGATTGCCACCACTACGAGGCTCGGTGGTGGCGGACGAGCGAGACGGCGATAGCAGAGATGAAGGCTGAGGCAGAAGCTGGGATTGAGGCTCAGGCTGGTGTTGAGACTGAGACTGAGATTGAGAGTGGGAATGAGAATGAGAATGAGAATCAGGCTGAGGTTGGTCCGAGTCTGACGGCGGTTCAAGGCCAAAGGTGGGTAAAGACATGATGGGCTGAGAGATGCGTATCGGTGGTTAAATACGATATATATGTAAGGCAGGCCGGGCAAGGTTGGGAGAGGTAATTGGGGTGTTGGGCTTCGGCGACGATCGGTCCAGGGTCTCAGCAAGACATCGGGCGCGGCAACATGCAAGCTGTGCAGCTCCGAGGCACTCAAGGCATCAATTCGTGTCGTTCGGACAAGGTCCCTGGCCAGGCCTGGTTTGGACTGGTCCGGTCTGGCTTGGTCTGGTCTGGTCTGGCTTCGACAGGAATAGGATGGGATGGGATTGGGATGGGATGGGGGAAGAGGGAGGAACACGGACGGATACGTGGGAGGGCCGTAGGGTGTCCCTCGCTAGTGAGAGAGTGGCACGACAGCGACTGTGCTGTGCTGTAGCGTTGGCGGAGTCTCACACAACGACTAAGGGCAGCGTAAGGCAGAGGAGATGCAGATGCAGATGCAGACGCAGACGCAGACGCAGACGCAGACGCAAGAGGGTGCTTGAAATAGCAGTGGCAAGCAATCAAGCAAGCGATGGGGTGGGTGTGGTTGGTTGGTGTGTTTTGGATGTGGGAATAGTGGCGAAGCAGCAGCAGCAGCAGGACGAAGCGAGGGAGAGAGGCGGAAGATGACAGAACGAAACAAACGCTCAACTCTCTTCAGCTGTCGATGTGGTGGATGGTGTAGTCGTAGTAAGAAGGGCAGCGCGTGAGGGGCACGACAGAGACGCGCAATTGGGCCAAGGCGATGAAATTCACATTGGAAACGCAGCAAATCGCCAACAAGGCGTGGGCGGAGCGAAAAAGAAAAAAAAAAAAAAAAAGACTCGAACTGGAACTGCACAAGCTGCATAAGCATGGCATATGCGAAGCTGCACGACCGTCGTGGCCGCTGCTCAAAGGCGCTTCTGCCTTCCGGCGCCGGCCGCTGGGGGGGGGGGGGGGGGCCCCAAGCGTCTCGTCTCGTCTCGTCTCGCCTCTGTCCACGGCTTTTTCTTCTTCTTTTCTTTTGGCTATCCAATGTGATTTGCCCTCCCAACATCCCTGCCCGCAGCTGGTTTTGCTGCCGTGGGCGCCGGCGATTGGCTGGCGGCGAGGCATCTCGACGTGTTCGCCGACTGAAGCGGAAAGGCGCACAGCAGCAGCGGCGGCGGCAAAGCGATGCGCTCCAAAGAAAGCACTCAAAGCTGCTGTTTTGCATGGCCGAGATCCAATCACGGCGCTGGGAAATGATGCTCATCACCAATTGCTTACAGGGTACATGCACGGTTTGATGTTTTTTGATGTCGATGTGGGCACTGCCCTGATGCTTTTTGTGGTGAGATGAAGAAAATTGATATGTAGGATATCATGCTTGCCAATTGGCTTCCCAAAAGACTCTGCATATATCCAAGAGCTTTGGCCCGTTCTCCCCGCAGTCGTTTATCTGTAGGTAATCAGCCGTATAATCAGCACCAGCATCAGTTGCCCGTGCTTTTCTGTAAACAGACCCCAACACCTTGCTCTGTGCTCTTTTTTTTTTTTTTTTGTCGTGCTTCTCTTTATTTCTCAGCTCGCATCTCGGTCGGAGGTTGGGGCAAGTTTTGCGGGAGCGGGGAAGCTCGACTCCAATTCGCCAAAATCCCAAGCTCTGCTCCGTCGACGCACATTGACTCGACAGCTTATGCTGGGCAATAAATGCATGATTCGCAAAGTGTTTCAGGCCAATGCATCTCGCGGTTTATCGCTGGCATCCGATTGGCGCTGAGAATTGCCTTGCTGGCCGTCTGTGCTGAATCTGCGGACGAGATATTCCGTGGCAGAAATCTTCAGACAGAAGCGCAAAGGCGGAGATGCTCGGCCGGGCTGATGTCATCCCCCAATTCTTCGCCATGCTCATATACGGATACTGTACAGCGAAATCTAAATGATATTTCCATGACCATTACTATTACTACTGCAGGTAATGCTATTTCTGCTCCGGTTTGAAACACACTTCACTCGAGCAGGACACAACTTTCAGCCAAGACTTTCTGAACCAAATTGGCCAGGATGTCAACTAGGCACTGCGCGCCTGCGTTGCGAGTTGATTCGAATCAACTCTTGTCCCTTCAACTCGACTCGACTCGACTCGACTCGACTCGACTCAACCCATTCCGATCATGGCGACAAAATCCATGTCGGTCGACGTGGTCACTCGCAACATGCTTCCTGGATCTTCTTTCCTCTTCATTGTAAGTGCACGACCACTCAATGCCCCATGCTGAAACAACACGGCATTTAGGCATATCCCTGGTTTTGACCTTGGTTGCTATAACCTTGATTTACATAGCCTTGGTTGTTGTTATAACCTTGGCTATCATAGGGCGGGCCACCGACAGGCGCACCGGCAGGCGCACCGGCAGCCGGCGGTGCCATCGTTCCATAGCCTTGTCGACGGCCTTGTCCGCCCGTTTGCACCTTGTCAGAGTAGATGCCGGGAGCACGGCGCGGCGGATAATGGCCCTCGCGGGCTTGTTGTCGACGGTCATAATAGACGTATTCGAGATAAAACGCATGTATATGACCCGGGAAATATCCAAGTATCGTCAGGCATACGTTGATGAGTAGGTCTAGAGAGCCTCAGCATGTCATTCTATTACATTCACAGGAGATCGGCATCAACGATCCAAAGAGAGAAAAGAGGGCATACCCATTCCGCATCCTGCCACAGCCCATGCGCCGAGCGGAGGGACTACAGTATATGATTAGTAGGCATTCGTCAACTCTCATCCGAGACGGTGCTCTTATCTGGACATACAGAAGATGGTGACGATGACAATCAGTACCGCGGCACAAGCACCCATGATGGCGGTGGAAGTCGTCGCGAGTTTTATAAAGGTTCTTCAGGAGATTGATGGCTTATTGACGTGTAATGGTTACAAAGAGCCTGTCCGCGTAAATTTGAGTGCTTCTTTCTGGGGCCAGGAGGCGAGAGTCTTTACAAGGTCAACTGTTGCGACGGCAGTCAATCCAAGCGACGAGAGATTGGCTCTTTTTATTGCAGATTGGAATGCGACAGCAGGTTAAAGTTTTAGCCTCTTATTGCGTAACAAGCTTGCGTACAGATGCTGCCGATATTGAGTTCACGCAATCAACCACCCTCAACCGCCTCTCTAGGCAAGTGGCTAGGCAGTGGCTACCCGCGATGTGCCAACAATGACGCAGATTTGGACGAGTGGATGACGTATGCGCACGTGGGCGACTTTTCCGTTCACGATCAGGAAGGAGCGTGGCTGCCTCGTAGGTCCAAACTCAATTGATTAATGGGAGAACAAATGGAGCTGTCAAGAAGAATTTGAGAAAAACTTTAAAATTTCTTTTCTTGAACCGGATATTCACAGCTGGCATGTTATTACTTCTTGTCCCCGGCTTCGCACTGGTGGATCAAGCGTGCATATAAAGCAAAAGACAAGACATCAAGTTTCTTCCAGAGACTGCAAAAGTCGTTCCCAATGCTTCTAAACCCTTCAGACCTTTTCCCTCTCCTCCCGGAAGAGAGCACGGTGCAAAGGATTGCCACCAGCAGCCCATCATCTCATGGTAGGGGTGGTAGAATGGCCTGTATAGCTTACAATCCCTTCGTCCAAATGGGTACTTGTCCCGCAGCATTGCAAGGTAGCCGACCGATAGCCGGACCATGTTGCATCTTTCAAGCTGAGACGTGCTGACTTCATTCTCTTCACAATCCAGTCCAGGCAAGCATATCCTGGCGAGTCAAGACTGCACCGGTCTTCAAATATCTGGCCTTCCGGCGACTTTCATAGCTCCGACGGAATCGAGCCGTAACTCCCGAGTTATGGATATTGCTCTTACAAACAAACGAAATTCCCGACCAGCCCCTTGGCTGGTGCCAGAACAATGATGTGCGGGGAGCAGAGGTGAAACACTGCTGGACATGTCTCAGCTGAGAATCGGAGTAAGAAGCAGCCAGTCTCCGGCAACCCCTGCGGCATGCGTCGAAGCTAAGAGCATGACAGCCAAGCAATGACGATTGAAAACACTGGCATTCAGTCGAGCTCACCAGGGTATCTTTTGCAATTCCCAGAGGCGACGACGAACATTGCTATGATTATGAGACAGAGCATCAAAGTACTGCGGGACTAGGTCAGTTGCAATGCCCATCGTATACGGGCATCACTACAAGACACTGCGGTTCTGACATCGTTCTAGAAACTGATCTGGGTCAGTCGGCAGCCCGCCACTGTGCAGGCCTCGTGGTTGGCCTGAGCTCCGAGAGAAAATGGAAATGCCAAGGGAGGAAACCCCGCTGCTCACCCACGACAACTTCAGACGCGTCTGAGAGTCTGCCTTGAAAGTACGCTAAAATCAGAGCACTTTGTCCAAACGAAAAAGTGATTTTTTCTTTTTTCTTCCTTTTCTTTTTCTGACCCGTCATCACGACATTACAACGGGCTTTGCCGACGCTGAGCGCTGTCCGAGGTACCGGGAAGCTTAACCTTTCACCCGTGACTCAAATCGGATCATTTCCCACTTCTCAGGCCTGCCAGATGGGCTCCTCTGTGAAGTCGGTAAGGCGACTCTCCTTTTTTTATGTGGAAACAATGACGAGAAGAGGCCACTCCTCTCTCGACCTTGCTTCGAGACGTCTCGCAGAGCGGGTATTCCCGACATACCGACGCCCATGCGGGAGTAGATACCAGCTTAGTGTGCCGACTAAAAAGGTCGGGTTTGTGACGGACACTATTCTTCTGGACACTAGCCGCTGTTCTAGAGAAGAGAGAGAGAGAAAAAGATGCCGTGCCCTAGTGAAGTGTTGTTGTACGTAAGTCGGACTCAAACGAGCGGCTGATGATGCTTATTACCAGCAAAGCTGTGTTTGGTATAAAACAAACGACGAGCTTCCGTGGATCATGCCTGTATACCGAGCATGGAGGACAGGAGTGGCTTTTTTCTCAAGAAAGGCTTGATTGCATGAGACTGGTCATTTTTCTCCCAACAGAAGCTCCTGTCAAAACCTGATTCAGCATGATGCCGCTAAGGGTGTCACACACTGTCCTGTACAGTATTGACCTCCTCCGCGCACAAGTGGCCAAGCGCATGACTCTGCAGCAAATCTCAACGTGATACGTGGGATAGATACTATTACTCGTAGCAGCAAGCACCAGAGTCCTTGGCCACGAAACAATGGAGAGCCGCCAGAGATCCGCGCGATAGAGACCAATTCTGTCTCGCCACACAGCGCCGGTGTCTTGGTTCGACGCCGCTGGCCTGCGAGTGCATTGTGGAACTCGTCTTTCTGTCATGCCAGCTAGCAGTCGTCTATTATGCATAATACGCCAATGGCTGCCGACTGATTGATTTGGAAAGCTGGCGGGCTTCTACTCGCAGCTTGCCTGTCCTGGGCCCAGTCCAAGTACTGTAAGAAACCGTACTAGCAGGATTACAAGATGCCAACCTGCTTGCGGCGGTGAGAGACGAGGTCCTCCTATTTCCAAACGGAGCGAGGATCAAGAAGCTGATGCTGCTGCTGCTGTTGTTTCCTGCGGAGATGGTGGTCGTCACCTGGCCATGCTGATCATTGATGAGACGATGTGATACTCGCCCATATTTGTATTGGTTTGTATTGGGTACTGTACGGAACGGCATTGGACGGGCCCAACCCAACAGCAGGTACCGGATATCAATGCATTCTCAGTACTTTTTATTCGACTGACAGAACAGACACTCTACAATTCTGGTCCTCACAGTGCCGTGCCCAGATACATGTACACGGGCGAGCCAGAGGACGTGCGATTGGTGTGTACTCCAAGGTGGAACAGCTTCTCCTTGCTTGAGATTCGCCTATCGAGCCAAACCAGCTGTACATACTGCGCATAACCTAATATAGATCTGGGGAACTTACATGGAGTGCCGTGCCTGTACCTGAGCGTGGAGGCAGTGAAGTTACGGTGTACAAGTCGCAGTACATAGGTAGGTATGTGTGTAGACGTGCCGAGACCAGCGGCGTGGCGGCATGATTCAAGGTTTTGATGGACATTGCCCTGGGACGCCCCAATGGCTTCGGGCTCCGTGCATCAATACGAATTGGCATGAATACATATAGCAAGGTTTCAATTAGCCTCCATATGACAGAAGGACGGCATCATTTGAAAGGTACATTGCCTTGCCAGACCCGAGCCCGGTCAAATACCTACCTCCGAGTATACTTGATGCTGTACCGGGCTGCCATTCATTTTGCTTTCCAGGTACATGTACCATGGAAGGGAATACGGTGACAGGTATTGACGGCACGTAGCGATGCTTGAGGGGCTCTACCCACCTCATCCATCTACCTAGTAGCAACTTTGAAGTCCCTGTACCTGTCTGTACGAGTACTGTAGACACTCTGCTGATGAATTCTCTCCCAATATTGCCGTCTCCGACTTGCCGGATGGCCCCCTTCTGCCAGGCCCCATTGGGTGGGACGCCGCCAGCCAGCCAGCCCCGCAAGTGAAGGTCAGAAAAAGCATGACCGCAAAATAAATAAGTACATATATACAGCAATATAAGCACTCAATTAATAAATTTATCTAGTACCTTTGTAAAGGAACACCTATTAAGCTAGTGCCCAAAGTTAACTATATAAATATATAAGTAGTAGCAGTTACTATAAAAATATAAATATAATAGCAGTTATAATATAAGAATATATATAGTAGTAATGACTAAAGAAATATAAATATAGTAGTGGTTAATAGAGAAATATAAATATAGTAGTAGTTAATAAAGAAATGTAAATATAGTCGCAGATTCTGAAAGAACGGGCTGGTGTATAATTCATCGTGTAGGTGTTCATAATCTTCCTTGTCTCGGGTTTTCTGTCCCCTACTTGCCCCGATAAGCGGCCCAGGTACAGTAGCACCGCCGTAGGGTTCATTGTTTCCCGCCAGTTTAGTTGGGGGACGCTTAGCAGGGCTATGTAGCAGGGTTGCGGCACGTCGAGCGCCTGAGCTGGCCCAGCTGGAAGCAAACCCGCCGTAAAGGCGCTGAGACGGGGCCCATGTTGCGCTCCACAGAGGCCCTGAGCCAGGCTCGTCAACCGTCCTTTGTCCTGTACCGCCCGCTGGAAAGGTACCTGAGCTAACTCGCCAGTCCTAGCGAACGAGAGAAAACTGCTCCAGCTAGAACCACCAATTTCCCGCTCTCTTCCAATCCTCCCCATTCTCTCTTTTGCATTGAGTCTTTCTTCATCTACTTCAAAGCTCGACTGTTTCGAGGGTGTTGTTGCGCATTCTGGCAGGGCGCGGCCAATCTTTTCCCACTCCGTCGACCCTTCATTGTGTGCTCACCAGTTCTTCTCTTCTCCCGGCCGCCACCCGAGCTTCTCGCTTTTCCCCGGCAGTTTTTTTGTGTTTTTCTGACAACGCCTCCTGAAGCCTCGTCACGGCCTCTCCCAATCGCCCTTTTTTGCCCGCCCGTGAAATATTCGAGTCGGCTGGGGTCCAAGGCTACCGTTCGCCGTTTCTGCACTCCCATCCCCCCTCTCGACGACCCATTGCGAGTGGTCCGGCGATCGCTTCACCGTCGATAGTCGCCGCTCTGCGTCTTGCATACGTTTGTTGGCTCGAGCCGGCAGACCCGTCGCCATCATGTCTTCGCAGCAGCCTCAGCTCAACATCGACCGCTACGTCGTGATCCATGTTGCGACTACCTGCGATGAACACGGCGTCTACGTTACCAAGGATTCCGCCGAAGTCATTGAGCTTGGATGGATTCTCCTTGATGCTAACAGCCTGGAGGAGGTTAGAAATACCTTTGCCCCCCCCCCTGCGCCACTACCTGGCCACACCATTCTGCACACACTGGCATGGCTTCCCAGCTGAAGCATCGCTAACCCGGCGGCCATCACAACAGATCACCCACGAAAGCGTCCTTGTCAAGCCTGTCAATACTCCCATCACCCCGCTATGCAGTAAGTTTTTCAGTGCCGTGCATCCCTTTTTGGCCTTTTCCGTCGCGACCTCCCCCTATTGCCTTGCGCTCGTGAGGGCGGGCACGGAATTGGCGTCCAAAAATTCTAAGCTTGCGGGCGAATCGTCGAAAACTGGGGCTGACTTGTGATGTTTTCTCCTCGCAGCGAGCCTAACGACTCTGACCTGGGAACACGTTCGAAATGCCGGTACTTTTAGGGATGCTATCAGTCGATTCGACACGTTTGCTACCGAGTATCTGACATCCAAGAACCTCGACTTTGTCTTCGTCACGCTCGATGCCTGGGATCTTCGAGTTCAGCTCCCGCGAGAGGCTCGCGACAAGGCCGTCGTGCTGCCTCCCTATCTGCAGCACTCTCGCACCTTCGACCTGCGAACTGAATACCAACGCTGGCAACAGCACCACCCAGAGTCTCTGCCGTTCGGCCCCTCGATGCTGTCAAACATCTGCGCTGCTCTCGAGGTCGAGCCGGTCCAGTCCAGTGCACCAATTAAGCATAACTTGCCTTTCCACCTGCAGGCTCTGGCTCCCGCCTCTCCCCGCCGCGCAATGGAAGAGGCCATCACCTTGGCCCGCGTTCTCCGTGGCTTGATTCGCAAGTCTCAGCCCGCCCAGGAACACCCCGATGTGTTGACTCGACCTATGGATGCGAGGGCAGATGTCCGGGCGTTCCTTTCCGAGAGGAGCAAGGTTTTGCACATGTCTGGCCTGCCGCATGATACTACGCAATCCGAGCTGGAGAGCTGGTTTACCCAGTTTGGTGGTCGTCCCATCGCTTTTTGGACTCTTCGAACCCCCGAGCAGCACAAGCCCACTGGCACAGGTTTTGCTGTTTTCTCATCTCATGAAGAAGTGAGTCCCCTTTCTCTCTTTTTTCTCTCCTTTCACCAGAGTCACAAGGAAACTTGCACACCACTCGCCCATTTTCTGTTGTTTACAAATACCAAGTTGGGGACCGTCCTAGCTAACCCCTCGTCTAGGCTGCTGAGAGTTTGTGTATGAACGGACGTGCGCTGAACGAAAAGGCTATTGAAGTTTCTCCTTCTTCTAGCCGTGTATTGGATCGAGCTCAAGATATTTTGACACCCTTCCCGCCGAGTAAGAACCGTCCTCGACCTGGTGATTGGACTTGCCCCTCTTGTGGCTTCTCCAACTTCCAGCGCCGCACAGCTTGCTTCCGTTGCTCGTTCCCTGCTGTTGGAAGCGGTGCCCCTGGAGACATGGGCCCCGGCGGCTACCCATACCCATACGGCCCCCCTGCCATGATGACCCCTCCTCACCATGGTGGTCACCACGGTCCCATGGGTCACGGTGGACGGATGGGCGGTGGCGGCGTTGTGCCCTTCCGTGCCGGTGACTGGAAGTGTGGAAACGAAGTCTGTGGATACCACAACTTCGCCAAGAATGTCTGCTGTCTTCGCTGTGGCGCCAGTCGTGCTGGTGCTGCCGTTGTTGCGGATTCTGGCTACCCCTCCCCGATGGATAACGGCTCGCAGTATGGCATGAGCCAGGGTTCGATGGCTGGTACGCCAGGTCCTGGCCCGTTCTCTTCTGGAGGATCCTTTGGACCGGGAGGCGGCTACGGTCAACACTTTGGCGGCCCCCCCAGCCATTTCCTTCCCTCGGGATTGGGTGGTGGCGCCGGCGGCTATCCGGGCTCTCTTAACACGCAGGGCTTCGCTTCCGCCCCCGGCTCGCATTCTGCAGGCCCCTTTGATAGTAGGGCTGCCGAGGCGGCTTTCCAGTCTGCGACCAACGGTCCCGTCTCTGGTGGGCCAGGCAACAACTTCTACAACAACGGCAACCCTGGCAACGAAAACGATCCTTTTGCCTTCCTGAGCAGCGGCATCGGTGGCCTCTCTGTCAGCGGCGACGCTCGCCAGAACGGTGCCGGTACTACTCCTAACAAGTCACCCGCCTAGAGGTGATGTTGTTTTGGAAACGGTGGGGCCAAAGCATCTGCGGCACACACGCCGCCTTTTAGATGATGATTTAACTCAACTGGTTACATGTACCATCGGTATATCTTTTTCGTTCCCGTGCGACGAACTTTGGAATGATGAACATAGAGCATTTGACCTTGGCAAATACCTTCTGGACCTGGCTTGCTTGCTATTTCAAGGGAAAGGGGTTGGTGTGTATTTGGTTTGTTTTTGGAGGACTTAGGACGGAGTGTCGGATATGTTTTAGGCGGGGCTGTGATCTTGTTTCGAGGGCTGGAAGACAAAAGTGAAATACACCACGGCTATTCTGGGTCAACGAGTCTTGTGGTACAAAGCTTTGCTGAGGGAGAAGAAAAAAATTATTGGTTCTCTTTCGCGCTAGGGGGGCAAACATGGTTCTTGGCAAGGGATATAAGGTTGTGTGGACTCGATTATCGGTCGGACGTGGCATCTTTTTTGCTGGAATCCTTTTGTCCCGGTGCTGGTGCATAGCGAAAGGGAGTGTAAGGGTATATCATGGCCTTGTTTGACTCAATTATCCAGTTCGCCGGTGTCGGATTTATCACTCAGATCTAAGGGGGTCTTTGATTTTTGTTTCATCTCTTTCTCTCTCTTGTCAAACTTGCTTTTTACTTGGTCTGAAATCTCTTGTCTCCGTTTTCCCCTTTCTTCCTTTTTTTTTTACTTGATCTCTTTGTCTCCTTTTTGCTAAATCCTTTCTTTTTTTACTTACATAGGACATTCTCTCTTGTCGCATTTGTACTTTTTTCGTTCACTCGTTTTTTCTCTTTTTCTTTTTCAAACAACGTTGGGAAGAGAAGGTGTCAAGGTAGCAGCATTTCAGGAGCGGGGGAACAATTCTCGGCGGGAGTTGGGTTGAAATCGAGCTTTGAAGGGGAAACAACACCTTTTGTTTTTTTGGGCCAAATGAAATGGAAAACTTTTGAACGATGGAAAGGGGGCGAAGGCGGATGGGGAAAGGAAAGGGGGGAGGTGCTTTCAAATTGGCGGGGAGTGGTGATGGTTGGCTACGGTTGAAATTTTGCTATTGTGAGAATGCTCTGATGTTTTTTTTTTAACAGTCCAAAGGATGTGGACATGAAATAAAAAGTAGAGTGAGATGGGATGGGGGGAGGCGTGTCCTAATATATTGTGTGTTGATTTTTTTTCTTTGTAAAGTTCGTGGACTTGGAGATTTATTGTGTGATTGTCTGTTTTGATGGTGATGTGTATGAGACGTGAGTCAGTACACTCCGTTTGACTGAATTATCTATAGTACCTTTATAGATGATCATGTACTCTATGAAATCTTGCTGTTGGCATAACTTGAATCTTATAAGTTTACAAATAACGGCATTGCCGAGCCTTTGCATCTATCTATCCAGGAGAGCCTATCCCCCCTTGTGACAATACAAATCATCAAATCATTCAAAGCACGTCGCCGTAGTCCTGACCCTCTTCCTCGTCCTGCATGAGTTCGTCTTCCCCATCGTAGAGCCCAGCAGGATCCATTGGATTAGAAGCAGCAGATGTTGGCATAAAGGACTGTAGATCGAGATCCATTTGTGCGTCGTCGAAAGGGTAGTAGTAGGAGAATTGGGTATCAGAGGGTGGTTGGAATTGGAATTGAGTGCCCTGGTCGATGCTCTCTAGGTTGTTGCCGTTGTCGTCATCATCCTCGACGTCTCCTTCATCCGCCATTTCGGCATCTTGGCCAGCTTCTTCCTCTTCACCAGCACCATCATCTCCGTCTGCCTCCTGGGGCACAGACGTCGCCGCCCATTGTTGCTGCCGATGTCGATTTCCTAGCTCCGCCAAAAAGGCGTCCAGCAGCTGTTCGCTATCAATCTCAGGCTCGGGCTCAGGCTCAGGATGCGAAATCCACGCCTCAGCCTTGAGTCTCTCGTCTTCTCCGAGGTCGGGCACCATGCCTCCCAGTAACGACTGGTTGACAAAGTTGACCCAGCCCTGTGCGTCATGGGCCCTAGGAACGGTAGATTCGTGGTCTTTGGGCTGCGGAGGCACGATGTAGCCGCGGTTGATTTCCTCGTCGAGATCGAGCGATTCGTCCGAGTCTGTATCCGAGTCGTCGTCTGGACTGCCGGCATCGTCGTTTTCATCCAAGGTGCTGCCCCAGGCTTGAGCGCGTAGTCGTTCGTCTTCTTCGTCAAACAGGATTTCATCTTGCTGCTGGGGCGTGAGTTTGTCCCAGCGCTTCTTGAGGACGTGCCTTGGCTTCCAGTGCTCCAGCGTATCGACATTGGCGAGCACTTCGTTTTCATCCTCAATGTACATCTCCTCCAGGGAGGGGACAATATTCTCGCCCGTCTTCCAGTCAAAGTATCCCCAGATCACCATGTGGCTCAGATGATCGTCCAACTGAAGGCCTCTGCGCACAGCTTCTACAGGAACGGCTTCATCTGGGCGAAGGAGATGCATTCGACCCGCTCCCCAGCCTTCCTTGTGCTGCTGGCCGACTTCGTGCAGAGGGATACCCTGGATCTGGCTCAGCCCATGTTCTACCCAGTAAGTGCCCTCGTTGACAAAGTTGAAATCGTAGCGCAGCTTGAGATCTAGAATATCGGCCAGCTTGTTGAATTTCTTGCGGGTGAGCAGCTGCCAGAGCTTGAACAGGCCTTTCTGACCCATCATGAGTTGCACCAGATCAAACGTGCAGGGGCCGTAAACAGGGTCGTTGAAGAGCATGCCGAGCTTGATGAAGAACATTTGCATGTTGTAGAGATCAGTGTCTTTGAAGATGTGCGCCATCTGCAGCATCGCCTGTCTCTGCTGCGTAGTGGCAACGTCCATGAGAAGCCAAAGCCGCAGCAGCGAGTGATGCATCGTCTTTGGCATCCGGTGACCGCACCTTGCCATGATGGCGAGAATCTCCCTGCAGTACTTATCCCGACCCAGGACGAGCTGTAGATACTTCAGTCCAGGCACCTTGCGGACCTTGCCGTCCTTCTTTGGGGAAGTTGTCATGCCTTGCTTCAAGGCCATCCACGTTCTCTTCTGAGGATCGTCAACCAGATGCTTTGCGTACAGCTGGTAGTGGAAGATGCGGCCTGCTTCAGGGGCTTTGTATTCGATCCAGGCGCGGATGCTGGAGAGCAGATAGCCATTGACGGCTTCGTAAAAGCGGCGATTTGCGAGGCACAGATTCAGCAACTCTTTTCCGTTGAGATGCTTGCCCAATTCCACGGCGAGTTCCACATGCTGGCATATCTCCGAGATGAGGTCTCTGCCCGCGTACGCGATGCTGGACTTTGCTTTCTTTGGTCTCTCGTACGGATCAACGTTGCCAAAATAATCCTCAACGTCGAGGTCGTCGAACTTGAACTTCTTCTTGTTTATGCCGCCGACTTCGATCTCCTCGATGGTAACGCGGTTGATGCCCCTGAGCAGCTCAATGTGGTCGCCACCCAGATCCATGCCCTCGATGCCATTGCTGTACAGGTTGAACAGCTCCTCCATTCCGGTCACATCAACCCCCATATCTTCCAGCATGTAATCACGGACATTTTGCGTCAACGGATCATTCTTTGAGGCGTCGTCTTCTTCCGCTGCTCGGCGTCTGATATCCTCGAGCAGTTGGTGGAAGCTTTGCTCGTTGGCTTGCGGGTCGTTGCTGGGCCCAGCCCCTTCGTTGTTGCCATTCATCGTTTTCCCTGTGGAAGATATGCGTGGGGCAGCAGTGTTCTACTAAATAAGAATTCTCAGGGAGTATCAAAAGATGTAGCTCGGAGAAAGAAAGAAAAAAATGAGGAAGGGAGGCGACTGAGTGACTGTCCTTTGGTTTGAGGCGTCTCTTGTTTGGAAAGGGATGTCCCCATAAACCACAAACAGCAAACAAAGTTAAGAAGCAGAAAAAAAGGAAACGATTCAATGTGAGACAGAGGTGAAATAAAAAAATCTGTCAGCCAATAGAGACCGATAGAAGAGTAAAAAATCGAAGCATCTGTCCATCGTATCTGCCAGCTGTCAGGCGGCTGTCACTATAAACATCTTCTGGCTACCTTGGCCAATGTATCTCCATTTTCCTGTACAATTGCATAGCTTCACCCCGAGCGAAGAAAACATGTTTGCTATCAAACCGTGGCTCGTTTGGAATCAGAGATAATCACTCATCTCGTCTGCCTCTGAGTCTACTATGATCATATCCGAATAATGCCTGAGGTAAGAATCATCCTCACCTCGCAAAGTCTCCGACTCATCTCTCGTATCCTCTTCCGTGCAATTCAAAGTCTCATCCTCAGGTTTCGCAGTCACAATCTCAGGCTTGGTACGCAGGGATTTCATCTCCCTATCCCATTGTGCACGATATTGTGCCATCTCATGCCAAAGCTTCTCTTCACCTTCATCCTATGAAGATCGACTCTTCTCCCAGAACTTCCACCTCACCTATCGGTCAAGCTCATCAACCGGCAAGTCACCGTCGTCTTTTCCAACAATGGATTCTGCAACTTTCCAGATCTGTAGCAGATTGTCTTCTGCGGCGCTGGCAACCAACCACGGTTCATTGGGATTCCAGCTAAAGTCGGCCAAATGGTTCGTATGGCCGCCGTGCATGAATAGCCTATTATTAGAGCCATTAATTAGCTTGGTGCGAAACAAGTTGTACGGTAGTTTTCTGGGCATGTGGATGACTTACAGCTCAGGTGGGCCATCATCCTGATCATCAGGCAGCTGTTCCTCGCCGACGCGGGATAGATCCCAGAAAATGATTCTTCGATCATAGCTGCCGCTTCCCAAGATACCAGCTTCGGTAGGATGCCAGGCAAGAGAGGTAACCGCATCATTGTGACCCTCAAGGGTGTGTACCTTTTCCTTCACATTTCGGAGATCCCAGATTCCGATGGTCTTATCAGCGGAAGCTGTGGCAACAAGGACTTCGGACTTGGGGTTGAAGGCCAGCGCATTGATGGCATCTAAGTGGCCTCGCTTCGCAACAACAGCAGCCTTGCTCGTCTCACTGTGTCGCAAGTCTACGATTTGCAAAGTCTGGTCGTCTGATACGGAGCCGATGAAATTCTTTGAGATGGGATGATACTGAACATCGTTGACAATCTGAGCGTGGTGAGTGTACCTGCGAGCTGGCCGCAGTATCCTCGAATCTGCTTCGAGAGTCTTCAGATCCCTACACCGAAGAAAAGAAGAGCACGGTTAGCGGTGTCGTCGCCAGCGGCCATGGACAGTTATACATACCACAGGCACATGGTCTTATCCTCACTGCCCGAAACCAGGCAGCCCTCCTCGTGGGGGTTCCAATTGAGGCCGAAACCTTCCGCTTTGTGGCCGATGAGCTCAATCTGTGCATTTACCTTGCCCAGACTCGCTGGCTGCAGAGGATGCTTCGTTCGGTCGAAGATGAGAATTTTGCCGTCGACGCAAAGAGTAGCAATAATGTCCGGGTTTTGTGGCTGATAACGGGCCTTGTTGACTTCTCCAGGGTGCTCAATTCTCTGCACGATGTCGCACTTGAGCGCGGCAACATCGCCTGCCTTTCCATAGCCTCCAATCTCGCCTCGTTCCTCGTCGTAGTCGTTGGGATTCGGCGCCACGGCTTTGGGTATCTGGACATCGGCGATTTGAAGGAAGTTGGCACTATCGTCGGAAGTGTGTGTTCCGAGCAAAAGGCGGTGCATGCGATAGTTTTTGCCCTCGGGTTCCTTGACGTCAGGGAACCACTGAACGGTGAGCGTGGGCCAAGTCAAGGCCGTCCTGGAGCAGAAAGGTTAGAGCAACAATCCAAAACTAGAACCACTGCAATTGGAGAATTCACTAACCCAAGAATCATGTCGTATAAGAACGGGCTGTTCTTCTTCCATGTCTTGTACTCTATACCAAGTTGAGATCAGAAGGCTGCACAATGCGAAGCTCGGTCTCGATCGAGATAGCTGCTTACCCTCGTTGATGAGTCTTTCTTCCTGGTCATCTTCCTCGTCGTGCACCATGTCGACTATAAGCACATGTTAGCACCAGTTATCGCACGATACAGCTTCAATGGCTACTGACCATCCGGGTCGAGCTCAGAGCCTTGAGGAGCCATAATGAACGAGGGGCGTTGAGTGCAGAAGAGAGGCGAAATCCCAAAGAATGCAGTATTATCGAACTGTGATTATTAATAGAGAACAAGAGCCCGCGCTTCGCATCCAACAAGAGAAGCTTCCGGGCGTCGACGCAGCGATAGCGAGGGAGAAGAAAAGAAAAGAAAAGGCTGCGTTCAGAGAAGCTTGAAAAGCAGCCAAACTTGGTACCAACTGGGGCGCGTCGCGCGTTAAGTGACAAGCGGTTGCTCTGGGGCGTGCCGCTAGCAAGTCTCAGGCTTCGAACCGCAGCCTTGCCTGCCACCCCCCTCCCCTCAGTACGTACCTTGGTACCTGTGCTCAACTCCCGCTGGCCGCTAGAGTCATTCCATGCGAGCCTTTGTCGCAGCAGCTTTTGCCATCAACTCCCACCTTTCATCACCTCCCAACAATCTCGCCGACTCCAGCTCCAGCTGCCTAGAAGCATCCTAATCGGATCAGCTACGGGCTTATCTGCAGGAGTTCCGGAGCCTTCTTTTCCTTGGTGTCTTACGGGCGTTGTTCTCTGTTCCTGTCCCTGAGACACAGCGGACGAATCTGCCAGCTTTGCGATATCTGGGGTTGATTTTTCGGCGCTGTCGGGTATCTACAGCTGCTTTCTCCTACTTGTTCGACGTATAATTCTTCTGCATTCTATTTGCGCAAAGCTGCCCGGCTACTGGCATCATGGGGTTTGTTTCTCGGCTGCGGAATCCTCTCGCTACTCATGCTGATATATGCGGCCTATAGTGTTCCCAAATTCTTCAGATGGCTCTCAGAGCGCTATCCAGCTATCTCGCAAGTCATTGCCGAGAATCGGATTCCGGAATTCGACTGCCTCTATGTAAGTTGCTCTCGATACCGAACCACAACACAGAGTCCTAATCCGTCTCCTCCCAGCTTGACATGAATGGAATTATCCACAACTGTACACACAAAGATGCGGGCGAAGATGCTACTTTTCGACTCAGCGAAGAGGAGATGTTTATTCGCATATTCAACTACATTGAGCATTTGTTCGGTAAGATAAAGCCTAAGAAGCTTTTCTTCATGGCAATTGATGGAGTTGCCCCTCGTGCGAAGATGAACCAGCAACGTGCTAGGCGTTTCCGAACGGCCTTGGATGCTGAAAAGGCTCGCGATAAAGCGATCCAAGATGGAATAGAGCTCCCAAAAGAGGAGCCTTTCGACAGCAACTGCATTACACCAGGTTCGTCATGTCCCTCCACAGCCTCTTCAGCTCCAAAACTAACCATATGTTCTCCTTTGTAGGCACTGAGTTCATGGCCAAACTATCCCAACAACTCCGATACTTTGTAAACAAAAAGGTCTCAGAAGACACCGACTGGCAAGGATGCGACATTGTCCTATCCGGGCATGAAGTTCCGGGTGAAGGAGAGCACAAGATTATGGAGTACATCCGAAATGCAAAGGCGCAGCCGAACTATGATCCAAACGTTCGGCACTGTCTTTACGGCCTCGATGCCGATCTAATCATGCTGGGGCTTCTCAGCCATGATCCTCACTTCTGCCTGCTGCGTGAAGAAGTTACATTTGGGCGGGCGTCCAAGACGAAGTCAAAGGAACTGGAACATCAAAACTTCTATTTGCTCCACCTCTGTATTGTGAGGGAATACCTGGAAATGGAATTCCAGGAGCTTCAGAATAAAGATGTTTTGGCTTTTCCATTTGATCTCGAAAGAGTCATTGATGATTTCATCTTGATGGCATTCTTTGTTGGAAACGACTTCTTGCCCAATCTTCCAGGCCTGCACATCAACGAGGGCGCTCTGGCAAAAATGTTCAGAATATATAAATCTGTGCTGCCACAGTGTGAAGGCTATATCAACGAAAATGGTGTTATCAACATGCCTCGTTTGCACCGCCTGCTCGACGAACTCAGCAAGACTGAGTTGGACCACTTTGAATACGAAGTTTCTGATCAGAAATGGTTTGCAGCCAAGCAAATGGAGAAGAAGCTCGAAGAGAGAAATGGGACCAAACCTAGGTCTCAAAAGAACAACCAATTAATCATTACGTCGTTCCAGAGGGATTTGTGGAAGCAAAAGATTCGCCCTTTTATCTCCAACAGATCCCAACAGCCACTGGATTTGGGGTCGGAGCTCAAGGCAGCGGATCGAAAATTCGTCCAAGATCTTGCCGACTCCATGCATTTACAATGGTCTACTGAAGAAGATGAGGAGGGTAACCGTCGCCTTAAAATCTCATTCCCCCCTAAGAAGGAAACCAGCGATGATGACGACGATGACGACGAGGAGGGCAACCTCGCTGCCTACCGTGTCATGAAATCCTACGATAAGGCAACTGTTATTGATGTCACTCCGGAAGATGCCCAAAAGCAGTATGAGCAACTGTATCAGGAGAAATACCAGGGCTGGAAGACCAAGTATTATTTGCAAAAGTTCGAGGAGTGGCCTCAAGACAAGTATGAAGAAGAGCAAAAGAATTTGTGCGAGAACTACGTACAGGGTCTACAGTGGGTGTTGTATTACTACTACAAGGGAATTGCGTCGTGGCCATGGTTTTACGCATATCACTACGCACCACTTACGTCGGGTAAGCATTGCGACATTAATCTTATCGTACTATGGACCTCTCTACTAACAACTGTTTTCTTAAAGATGTTACCAAGGGTCTTGGTGCCGACCTGAACTTCAAGAAAGGCCAGCCTTTCAAACCATACGAGCAGCTCATGGGTGTGTTGCCGGATCGAAGCAAGAAAATCGTGCCGACGGTCTATCACGATCTAATGACTAACCCAAATTCCCCCATCATCGATTTCTATCCGAGAGATTTTGAACTGGACATGAACGGCAAAAAAATGGAATGGGAAGCGGTGGTCAAGATTCCTTTCATTGAAGAGACACGTCTCCTCACTGCCATGGGGCCCAAGAATGATCTTTTAAGCGACGACGAAAAGGCGAGAAATGGCTTTGGAGTTCCCATCAAGTTCACCTACTCCCCAGAAGTAAATTTCGTCTATCCTTCTCCTCTCCCTGGAGTCTTCCCGGAGGTCCAATATTGCCGTTGCATTGAGAATATATTCGACTTGCCCAATGTTGAGGGGCTTGACTACGTCTCAGGACTGACCAACGGAGCTTTGGTGAACATCAAGGCCCTTGCCGGGTTCCCGTCATTGCATACGCTACCATACTCAGCCCAGTTGGTGGAGGGAGCCGGAGTTAATGTCTTCCAGCAGGACAGCAGAAATCCAAGCGTCATTGTCACTCTTACTGATACTGAGTTGCGTACAAAGGTCGGAACTTGGAAAGAGAAATTGGGGAAGCGCTGCTTCGTCGGTTATCCATTCCTTCAAGAAGCCAAGGTTATCAAGGTGCAAGATGAACTGTTTACCTATGAGTTGGCTGAGAACGAACAAGACATCATCACAAAAGATCACAGCAATAGAGATGCTGCTGATTACGCAAAGGAGGCAGAGTTCCTGGAAAACTGGCATGCCAAGCGTCTGGGCATCACAACTGGTCAGGTTGAATGCCTGGTCCACGTTCACATGCTCAAGGGCCTCATCAGAACAGAAGAAGGTGCTCTGATCAAGGAATACGCCGAAAACCCTAGCTTGCGCAAAGTATATGCGGCGCAGACCGTCGTTGAGGAGGTAGTCAACGAGGACGAGCGCTTCATCGAGAGGCCAGCTCTCCCAATCGAAGAAGAGTTCCCGCAAGGCACAAGAGCTTTCTTCTTGGGCGAGTTCGCTTATGGCCGCCCGTTGGAAGTGCTGGGACATGTAGATGGCAAGGCAAATATTGTCGTATCGGTTCCGAAGAACAGAGAGCCAGAGATCACCAAGCAGATGATTTTCCAAGCGGAGCGCAACAACCCGTATACGCCTTCATTCGCGATTGCCAAAAAACTAGGCATTCATCCCCTCATACTTAGCAAGATAACATCATCCTTCCAAGTTATCAGTTCTGCTGGATTGAAACTCAACTTGGGCCTCAACCTGAAGTTCGAAGGTCGAAAACTCAAGGTCCTGGGGTTCTCACGCAAGTCAGAGACAGGATGGGAATTCTCTAACCAGGCTGTGAAACTTATTGCCGACTACATGGTGGCTTTCCCCGACTTCTTCGCGGCGATTCAGAGGGAACCGCAGAAGAGCGAGACTTATGAAATGGACCTGTGGAACGATCCCAGCGTCGCATCCCAGAGGATCAAAGACATAGTGGCATGGCTGAAGAAGCAAGAAACTAGCAAGTTTGAGCGAGTTCCGCTGGATGCTGAGCAACTGGACTCGGAGGTTGTCATGGCCTTGGCCAAAGCCGGAGAGCAGCTGCACCAGGCGAGCTTAGAAGCGACTACCAAGACTCTCAACTCTGTGCCCCGTACGGCCTTGCTGAAACCAGCGGACGCGGAAATGGTACTTGGCAACCAGTACTTCAGGTTGGGAGACCGAGTCACTTTTGTCGCCGCTGCTGGAAAAGTCCCCATTGCCACTCGGGGAACAGTAGCTGGCATTTCCCGCACCGCGACTGCTGTTCTCTTGGACGTCGTCTGGGATGTCCCCTTCATGAGCGGCACAACCCTCGGCGAAAGGGCCCCGATGTTCCGTGGGCAGACCGTGTCATCATCCACCGTGCTGAACACTACAAACTGGCAGGTCGTCTCTGCCTCCTCCAAGTCCCGGCAACGACGCACTGTTCCAGCAACCGCGTCCACCGGATCGTACGGCTCGGTCGGTGTCACGCAGTACAAGGATGCTCCTGCGCCTCCCGCTTTACGCGGCGGATGGCGTGGAGCCGCTGCGGGCGAGTCTGGCCGTGGACAGAACAACCCCAATCGCGGCGCGGCGCGCGGAGGCAAGCCAAACCTACTGCACAGCACATTGGTCTATCGACCAGGCCCGCAAGGGGGAAGCCCAGGCGGCGATGACGTGAACAAAGCCCACAATGGCAATCAAGTAAATGGGAGAGGTGGCAATGGCGGTGGCAGAGGCCAAGGGCGTGGCCGAGGCAATGGCGGCAACAGAGGCTCGGCTGCTCCACAAGCTGGTGGACGAGATTATTCCAACGTCCCACCTCCAGCTAACCTTGAGGCGTCGCGAGGCGGACGAGGTCGTGGCCGAGGAGGAAGGGGACGTGGCGGAGGTAACCCCAACCGCGGCCGCGGGGGAGCCATAGCGCACCAGGCTTAGGAAGACATACCTCTATGGCCCTCTTTCTCTAAATTGGAAGCTAGAAGAAGATGAAATTCAGCGGTAGGATGTTGGGGTGCCCTGTGGCGGGTGGATGGAGCTATGACAACATGTCAGATTATATCTGGAACCATTACTGAGTATAATGTGGCATGATAGGAGCAAGTTCAACCTGGGTGTAGCGGCACCTGAATATCATTGACAATTTCATATCGGAAAACGTTACTCTTAAAACCATATGCGTGCTTCAAATTTTACATGTTTTTATTTTTATTTTCTTTCGCTACTGTTCTTTTAAAAAAGTCAATGTCTTAAGGCTTCTTGCCCTTGGTCTTGTTCTTGGCGGTATTCTTGTCCTTGCTGTCCTTAGACTTGAGAGCAGGGAGCGAGAACCGATCACTGATACCCCCCTTCATGGCATTCCAGGCACCGAACGACTTGTCCAGGTTCCACGTCAAAAGCCCGACCCAGGGCTGGACGTTGTAATGTAGCTTCAGGGTCACGTCGGCAGTCTCTGCGATCTTGCCGCTAGGATGGGTGATTTGGTACTTGGGCTTCTGGTTCTTGAGCTTGAGGATTCCTCTGCAATCGCCAGCGTTAGTTGACTTTGGGGAACAATGCATGCACCTATAGAATGTTGGAAACATACCGCTCAGGCGCAATGCTCTTTCCCTCGGCGCTTCTCTTAAGCTTCTTCATGGCCACGGGGCCAATGTTTTGTAAGTGGTCGGCGCTGGGGTTGGTGATGATGCTGTCCCAGATGACGGCGGAGTTGTTGGTGTTGCCGGGGCCGGCCCAGTCTGCCGTTACGTATACGAAAAGTTGCTTCGTGTTCCATGTGAAGAGGGAAGAGAGGTCGGCCTCGAGAGAGAAGCGGATGATGGCATACTCTTCCTTTTTGGAAGAGTAGTAATGGGGTCGGCCCTTGACACTGTTGGTTTGGGAAAGACGAATGGGTTAGATGGGTCAATGTATACATAGTTCTTCTTCTGTTGGAGACCACACATACACTTGAATGTTGTCCGTCTTAATGACTCCGCTGGGAGAGCGAGTAGAGCCTAGATCTGTGGCGGCGATGAATGCGCCCAGGACGAAGGCAACAGTGGTGAAGAAGCCAAAGACATTCTGGAGACGGGTGAAGGAGCTGTGCATGCTGGGCAACAATCTGGAGCGCCGGCAGGACGCAGCAACGGGGTCGAAATCGGTCAATTAGCAGGAGTTGCGGCGTTGTGGAGAGAGTGAGGCTGCCGATGCCATGTGGATGCTGGTACTATCAATTATAGCCAAGCTTTAGTAGCTTAATAGGACACGTCGCTGGGGGGAGTGGGAGTGTCAGCCTTGCAGCTGGGTCCGGGCGGTGATTGGGTGATTGGGGGAGGCTGCGGCTAGCGATGGGCGCTGCATCTAATTTGATAGCCCAAAGTCACTTTGTATCGGATCGATGCCACTAAAGCCAAGATGGGCTGCATTTGTACATACATCAAGTACTTCGGACGGGCAAAATGCGAAGTAAGGGACAGCCCGCCCACCTTTTCCCCCCGGCCATCAAGAGCGAGACAAGACAGCGGCCTGGGCGGAGTGTCGCTTCACATGATTTGTACTTGCATTGCTCCGTCTCCAAGCCCAGGTGCTGAACAGCTGGAGCTCTTTATCCGCCTCTGTCCGTGATATCGCTACCTTACCTGGTACGAGTGACCTCTCTCTCTCCCATGCCAGCCCTCCCCTCCTCTTCCTCTTCTCTCCCTTTTCTCCGAACCAGGAGCCCGAGAGCCCTGGCAGTTGAACGCAACCGGCGGGAATCGCTACGGACGCGAATAAATGCCCTGCGCCCCGTTGCTTACTCGCATAGCATCGATAGAGCGCCGCTTGAACAATGCGACCACAACCGACGACGCCATGTCCCTCTGCGACGACGATAAGCCGCCCAGCGTGACCACGGGCGCGAGAGACGATGCTGCAGGGCCCAAGGCAAGTAAATAGAAGCAAAGCAAAGCAAAGCATGGAAGAGATGAAGGAAGCATCGTCACCCCAGCCTTGTCATTTCCAGTCTCAAATGCGCAGCCGATTTGTCTACATGACCCTCTCTATTTTTATTCAAACCTCTTTTTTTTTCCCTTGTCACCCTTGGTCTCATTTTCCTCAAAATAGCCTTCCATCCTGAGCGAGTCCCCCAGTGGAGGCTTCAAGGCGCGTGGGCCCTGACGCGCTGTGACGCAGTAGGCTATGTCCACTAACTTGCGCCAGCTCACCGGGCACACCACCTCCAGCTGCGCTATGGCCGCTATGATTTTCTGCCTGCCCTGCCTGTGGCCACGGGCCGATTTTGCCATTTCATCGTGGACCCCTCCACTAATGTCTGCAATATGCATAGACCCAACCACTATCGCCGTCGTTACCAAAGATTCACATCCATGTGCAGCCAGAGCCTGTAGCTGTCGGGGCCTCAAAGTAAGCCCATCGCCTCTCTTCCCCTTCACCTCTCGGTCACCCTTCAAGCATGTGCTGAACTCGACTAGGCTGCCCGAATCGGCGCCAAGCGTCGCTAGCCGAAATCCCATCGAAGCCGTTGAAGAAAAATTGCCAGACAGTCACGCGGACCAAGGCAGCGATAGGAAGCCGACAACGAAACGCCCAGAGTATGTGAACTCTAATGACGCCCAATTATTGCCACTCGCGGCTATGCTTATGATTTTCTTCTCCCGCTGACTTGTCTCAGCGCCTTTGCACGCTACCTATCAGATGCAAGCTCGTTTCCAGATTATGGGTAAGGCTTCGAGTCCATCTGATCACTTTCTTCCTTGATTGCTGACTTGAACAGGGACCGGAGTCGCAGAGCTACCATGGGTCCGGAACGGCTGGTTGGTCATGACATTCGGCGAGGGAGCGTTCTGCAGAGTGCTGACAGACGGCGAGCAGAAACAGATCAACAGGCTGGTAGCCAAACCAGTCAACACCCTCAGCGTGCGACGATTTGAGGGCCAAAACGAACCAGATATACCGTCTGCCAAGCGTCAAAAGAAAGACGGCACGCGACCATTTGACTCAACAATGAGCCCATATTTCACGACACCTCGGGCGAAAAAGAGCAGCGAGCTTCACGAAGTCCGCGTTGAGCCGGAGGACATATTTGATATCAGGAGCAGTTCAAGCACGGGAAATGCGGGCGCCAACAATCTATCAGTCGTCGAATATCGGAGCACACTACCGCAGAGTAGGAAAGGGGGTCGGCGACGTAGAAGCCGGACTGGTCTGAATTTGAGTTCCCAGCAGCGCGATGCGGTTGATTCCAGTCCTGGTCCCTATCGGCTTCCCGCGATTTCTACGAAACGAACGCTTATATCTACAATCTCGGACAGTCCAGATGTCCTCAATTCTGAGAAACCACCTTCTGGGCTTCCAGAGGTGGTTTCTGACATCTCTCCGATTCTCAACGTAAAAAGAGAACGGCCACATCGTCCTGGGGACAATTTTGGGCGTCAGTTCAAACGGCAAAAGCCGTCAACCGTCAAGGAACCCATTGATATATCTGAAGATGAACTTCAGGCCGATTCTGCCAAGCACATGGGCCCGAACGAAAGAGAAAGCGCGATCTCACGGTCATCTGGCACTTCGGGTGGCCTTAGCAAGAACCCTATGCGAGGTGACATGCATCACACAATTTTTGGGAAAAGGTCGCGCCGGCCACGATCCGAAATGATAGCCATAACCAGGGCAGTCTGTGGGAAATGGATCTATAATCGCGACGATCGTTTCGGTGCAGTCTTCTTGCATCGAGAAGGAAAGGAGAGTAAAAGACTTGACCCAGTCTTAGAAAACGGTCAAGTATCAGGCGACCATGCTTGGCTAGGCGTTGATCTAGACCAAGTTCGTTCCTTTGGAGTTTCAGAAGTACCGTACCGTTATGGCTTCGTCTTACGCTCGCAATCAGGAGATGCAGGCCCAAAGCTTTATCTGGAGTTCGAGAATCACGATGGCATCGAGGCGTTCTGCAGAATTCTCAAGTCTGTGCCCATCACAGAGAAAATCGTGTATGTCCTGTATGTTCCGCTCGGTGAATCGCGTTGCTAACTTGACCCCTACAGCGCTGGGCTAGAAACAAGGGCTGAGAGAGCATTCGACGAGGCAAAGAACTGGATAGCTTCAAATAGCCCTCCCAAGTATAGCAGCCTAGTATTTGCCAGAGACAAGAGAGAAAACGATACCGACCTAGCACCCCCAAGCTCAGACGGACGTCCAGGATCGACTCGTCCAAAGCTAAAAGACAACTTAATACAGTCGGCCAAGGATTCAAACGATTCCGATGCTTTGAAGCGAGTCGAAGAGATGCTGGATTCCGATATCCGTCCATCTACGAGGTCAGCCAAGGGTACGAATGATGCTGATGCTTTGCAGCGAGTCGAAGAGATGGTGGACTTCGATTTCCGCCGATCTACGAGGTCATCCGCTCCGTCTACCCGCTATCGCATGCCGTCCCCGGTAGGCTGGACACAAGTGAACCCAGACTGGCATGAATCGTGGCAGGCACCGCTCGTATTCCCCCCAACTGGAAAGAATAGGGCGACGGTGGATAAAATTGACATTCCCAGACTAGACGAGAATGAATTCCTAAACGACAACCTCATCAACTTTTACATCCGATACCTCGAGCACAAGATGGAAAGGGAAAGACCTGAGTTGCTACGCAAAGTCTACTTTTTCAGCACCTTCTTCTTTGAAAAGCTAAGGTCTACAAAGGGCAAAATTAATTATGACGGCGTCAAAGCGTGGACCGCAAAGGTAGATTTGCTATCTTATGACTACATCGTCGTGCCCGTCAACGAACATGCCCATTGGTATCTGGCCATTATTTGCAATGTTCCCAATGCCATCCAATCCACCTGGGAGGGGAAAAGCTCAGAAACATTGACAAACTCAACGTCCAATGCCATAGAAGGGACGGATACGCCCAGCTCCCCCAGATTATCGACGGTAGAGAGAGATCTGACAGAAATCTCCTTGGAGGATGGAACTGCGGCGATGGGAAAGCAAAAAGAAGAGACATTCGACGTATCGCAATCGCCTCCTAAGAAGAGGAGATCCGCAGGCGCTGCATCGTCCAGACTTGACCCTTCGCAACCGAGAATCATCACCCTTGACTCACTCGGTGGGCCTCACGCTCCAACCTGTAAAGCGTTGAAGGAATATTTGATCGAAGAAGCAAAGACGAAGAAGGGGATAGACTTGACAACGGTTCCCACGGGTATGACAGCTAGAGGCATACCGGAGCAAAACAACTTTTGCGATTGCGGTGTCTTCATCCTGGGATATATGCAAGAGTTCCTGGCAAACCCCGACGAAGCAGCACGTAAGCTCTTGATGAAGGAAGAACTGGGATGGAACATTCGTCCGTCTGAGCTACGAAATCGCATAAGAGGGCTACTCTTTGATCTTCAGGGCGAACAACAAGAGCACCACAAGCAGCTCGAGAAGGAGAGAAAGCTCCGCAAAGCCAAGAGAAGGTCTATGGCAGGAACGAGCCCGCGAAGTTCTTCTCCGGTCAGATCTGTTGTATTTTCGCCTCCAGTACCAAAGTTACCGGGTGCGTTTCCATCAGACTCTCCGGAGAGCAAACCAGTACCAGGGCCAACGCTTTCCTCATCAGAATCTATACAAGAAGCCGACGACTCGGAAGGCAGAAGCTCGAACAGCAAAGTGTCTCATGAAGCTCAGGAGAAGCCAAATACAATTGAAGAGTTCCGATTCATAACTCCCTTGCCGGGATCGAGCACTAGCCCCCAAGGCACAAAGGACAAAACCTCTGTCGACACTTCCTCTTTCTTCCCCAAGCTCGACAGCCGCTCCAGTAGAGTTGTTGTAGAGCTGAAATCTGCGAGGGGTTATGACAAGAGCGAGTTTGAAGAGCCAACCTTGGTTGACGACGACGAGGTCCAGATTGTGAAAGAGTTGTCAGGCTCCCCATATCCATACGCGCAAAAGGGCAGCTCAAAGGCTACAGAGACGCGCAGGCGTCGACACTCTTTGGTGGAAGTGGTAGAGTCGACAACAAGTCGACCAACTTCATCCTCTCGGGTGCAAAATCAGGAGATTAAGCCTTCTGTCCACGCTTCGCCTCAGTTGAAGCCGCGTCAATCCATTGAATACGACAGTGACCATGGGACCCGCGGAGGACCCAAATACGATGGCATAGACAGATCGGGTAAATCTTCTGGCCAAACAGTACTATAATTCATTCTTGTGGCATTTTATTTTACTTCTTTTATTCCCATTCTATTCTTTTCCTCTCTGGAAATACCAAGTGGCCCGTCATTTCAGTGCGAAGGGGTACACATTGCTGAGACAAGGGGAGTTGTGGACAAACTTTCACTCTGATTTGTTGCCTCCATGCCGCATGCGTTCGCGGGGTTGTTTTAGGAGAAATACGGTTGAGCATAGCAGGGAGCGTCCTTTCATTTTGCCTTTTCTTTTCTTTTTTTGCAGCTTTGTGGGAACTCAACTATGCAGATGAGACAGGTTTGCTAAATTCGATGCCTGGCTGACCAAATATCATGTTGGCGATATAAGTGCAGCCGGAAGCGAGGGAGAGAGATATAACACAAGATAGAGTAATAACAAAGAAGGAAACCCCCTAAGATGATCATCACGGTCTTGTATACATGCATATTTATGTGCCCCTCTTTCAAAAACGTGAAGAAAAAAAAATAGTATATACATGAACCGATGCTGTACGAAAAAAATTCTGGACTTTGCCATTATGTACCCTTTCTATGATTTTGCTGCTTGATGCTTTTCCTCGTCCTCGCCTGAGCCGTCCGCTCCTTCTTCTTGGTCATGTACGCCGTTGGTGGATGCTTTTGGGATTTTGGGGATTTCAAATACCACTCCGCCGTTTCTCACGCCTTTGCCTTTGCTGACGCTCCATCTTCCTAGGCGGTGGTCCTTGGCCACGGCGGCGACGATGCAGACGCCGTCTTGGCCGCGGTCGCCGCGCTCAAACACGGCGATGTCGTTGATGACGCCGTGGACGGATCGGGGATGCGGGTTTTCCTTGCCGCCGTTCTTGGAGGGCGCGCCGTTGGGCTGGCCGTCGTCGGCATCTGCCGGCTTGTCAGAAGCGTCCGGGGAGCCGCCGAGGGTGGCGACGAGGTCAATCTTCTTCTTGTCCTCGGACAGCCGCCACACGCGCACGTGGCCGTCCCAGCTCCCGCTGAGGATAACGTCGGAGTAAGGGATGGTCTTGAGGGCCGTGATCCAGCGAGGGAGAGGGGCGGGGACGGCCTTGCGGTCCGGCTTGACCTCGGCGGACGCGGCCTCGGGCTTGAGCGGCGGGTCCAGGCCGTGGGCGAGGGGCTGGATGTAGACGGGCTTCTTCTTGGAGACGCTCCAGAGGGCGAGGCTGCCGTTGTCGCTGCCGGTGACGAAGAGCTCGTCGTCAATCATGGCGATGCGGTCCATGCTGCCTTCGTGGAGGAGCGACCGGGGGTTGACGCCGGGCTGTGGCTTCTTGTCTACCGCGCCGCCGCGGAAGACTAGCTGCGTCTCCTCGGCCACCTTCCACAGTCGGGCCGTCCTGTCGCGGGCGCCGACGCTGACGCAGCGGTCCTGGGCGAGGGCGTCGATGTCGAGGATCTCGTCCTGGTGGCCGAACAGCGTCTCGATGTAGGCCAGCTCGTCCAAGCTCCAGACCTTGACGGTCCGGTCCTTGGAGCACGAGTAGAGCTGGTTTGTGCCCCTCCGGAACGCCAGTCCCGTTACGGCGTCGCGGTGTTGTGTGAAGATCTTGATTGGCTTGAGAGTCTCGGCGTCGTAGACGATGATTTTCTTGTCCTGTCCTCCGGTGACGACGAACTTGCCGTCTGAGGAGGCGGCAACAGCTAGAATATTGCCCACATGTCTCTTGTAATCCTTATCCTTTTGCTTGCCCGCGTTTCCCTTGATCCACATCTCCAACTCGGGCCTCTTTTTGGGCGGTGCCGGTGGCTTCTTCGGTTTCCGTTTTGTTGTCTGCGGATACTGGTGCTGAGGGAGGTCCTGTATCCTCCACTTGTGCAGGAAGAGATCTTTGGTGGTGGTGTAGACGTAAGGCGCGCAGGCGGCAATGGATGTGACAGAGTTTGTGTTTGATCTGAAGAATGTTTGGCGGATGCTCTCAAAGGCCAATTCCGCGGCCAATTGGCGGTAGACTTTTCCTTTTGACTCGGCGACGTCTTCTTGTAGCCTCTCGGCGATTAGATCTCGATCAATCTCCGCGGCGTCGAATCCAACCTCGTCCACGTGCTCCTTGACGTTGTCCAGGTAGCGCTCGGCCAGCCGGAGTCGCTTCTCGGCGGCGGTTTCGCCCTCGTTGTCAGAGTCATTGTCGTCTTCGTCGTTGGTCGCGTCGGAGGCGCTCAGCTGGCTCTCGTCATCCTCAGAGTCGCTGCCCGAGATTGACTCGTCGTCACGCTCAACTCGCTTCTTGCTGGAGGCGGCAGGTTTCGCGGCAGGCTTCGCAGATCTCGCCGCCGACTTGCCGGGCTTATTTGTAGCGGCGACTCTCTTCTTGGGCGACTCAGGGCCTGTAGGCCTCTTCCTCTTCTTCTGTGCGCCGGGAACTGTGAAAAACGACGACATTGTGGCTCAATCCGCCCGGCCTGCTATCCCACTATGTGTGGTTTCTACCTTCTCCCATTAAGCCCGTTCTGAAAAAAAAAAAAAAAAAGTTCGAGATGGATTGGCCCACTGAACTTTTCGGGACCCACCCATGTCTCGCGGCCGGCGAATCACACGACAGGCCCGGGTTATAGTGCTTCCGGCCCAGGGCGGTCAGCTCGGGCACAAGCAAACGGGCAGGTGGGCGGTTCGTTGACGCGCAGCGCTACAGCCTAGCGGGATGAGGTAGCTCTGGCTGCTGTTCGCAGGCGGGCTGTAACTGTAACTGGAATGAATTGAGGGCAGTTCGAATCTCTGCAGCTCTCCAACAAGATACATCCATTCATACCCAAACACACACAGTCATCATGTCAGTACCTACGAATGCGTCTCGTCTGCGGCTTGTGACGGCTAACAAACTCTCTCCAGGGAGGTTCTTCTGGGAATCACGGGCAAGGACTTTACTCTCATCGGCGCCTCCAAAGCTGCCATGAGGGGAGCCACCATCCTCAAGACATCCGACGACAAGACAAGGGCGTTGAACAAGCACACCCTGCTGGCTTTCTCCGGAGAGGCTGGCGATACAGGTGAGCTATTCCTCAGATTCTGACGCCGTCCGGGGCACAGGGTTTTTAACGATGCACCAGTACAATTCGCCGAATACATCCAGCGAAATGCCCAACTCTACTCCATGCGCAACGAGACCGAGCTGTCACCCTCTGGCCTCGCCCACTTCGTTCGAGGAGAACTCGCCACCAGCCTCCGATCCCGAAACCCATACAACGTAAATCTCCTCATGGGAGGAGTTGATCCCATTACCGGCAAGCCCTCTCTATACTGGCTGGACTACCTAGCGGCGCTGGCGGAGGTACCGTACGCAGCACACGGCTATGCGCAGTATGTGTTTTTGTTTCCCGGTTGTCTGGAAGCTCTGAGTTTTAGGGCTACAGATTTGAACCATCTGCTTGTTTTATTCATTTGCAGGCTTGCTAACTGCTGGCCTACTCTCTGAACAGATACTACTGCCTGTCTCTTCTTGACAAGCACCACCACCCAGACATTACACTAGGACAGGGAATCAAGCTCATGACGATGTGCATAGATGAGCTGAAGCGTCGACTACCGATCGACTTCAAGGGAATGGTGGTCAAGGCAATCAAGGCAGACGGAATTGTCGACATAGAATTCGACGACGACCGTATTGTGAAAAGCGCATAAGCAACAGCGGGTGCTGGAGAAGGGATGGCGTGTATCACTAGAAACTGGCTTGAGCTTGGTAATTAATATACGGCCGCTTCTTCCGGTTCATTCTTCGTCAGCTTTGTCATGCGACTGGTCAAGGTTTGGCGAATGCAGGGCGAGAAGAGGTACACAGTACCTAGTAGTTGCTGTGGGCGGGCACAAGGCGTATACGGTAACTCTGGGAGTTTCCTGGATGCTGGATACACCACAGCCAACGGCTGTTTGATACTTTTTTCAAGGGTTGACGTCTTTCGCAATACCTCAGTGTGTACCATCCTTGTAGCGGCCGACTTGTAGCCATATCTGAGTGGTAATCTAGGCTTCATACTGTGGCTTAGAGCCAGCTGCATGCGAGGACAAGAATGGCCGGATATCTTCACGTAGTTTCGGTCGCCAATGAAACTTGCCTCTATGGTTTGTGTCGAATTAAAATCCCAAATAGGCACGTTTCAGTTACGGTACCGAACCCGACTTTTTTGTCAAGTTTCACCATGGCAGCTTTGAGACATTTCAGCAGTGATACCGTGGTTTCAAACGCAGCTTGAATACTGTTAAATCTCATTCGCGTTATGCTTCGTATTTCTCCGTACGGAGCGTCCACCTTCTGGAATCGTTTGTGATTTATAGTTCCCCTTTGCTTAATGCGTAAGCTGCGATTTGTCGGAGATTTTACCACGCAGTAGCATCCCTCCAATACCAGCTGGTCTACCTTGGTACTCCTCCATGAATATGTGTTTGCCAGAGGCATCTACTACTTTATCGATCTGTGCAACAGATGAAATTCTGCATTGATCTGTATATACCAGCGCCAGGCGCACACGCGGTGCTGGGATGGTAATATGGGGTCTCGTGTTAGATACAGGCAGGTGGCAGTGATCGGATCTCCTTGGGTTGAATCACCGGTACCTGGCAAGGGCCCTGGTCAAACCTTGAATCCTCCCATGTTACGAGGGTACAGTAATACTGACGTAGACAGTCTTGAAAGCTTTGCCATGGCCACTCCGCGATGGTTTGCATTCAACTCACAAGAGCCCTTTTTGACTTTCTTACATCGAGCACGCATGGTGGGTACCGAATTGCTGCTGTTTTTCCAATAAAATCGCCCCCGTTACTGGGATAAACCCGCTGGCTGTTCCTGGCACGGACGGAGATCTGGAAGATTCCCCCACCCTGTCAGAGCAAGCCATCCAGGTCTGGGATCTGTGCCGTATTACAGGGCGTCCGTCCGCTAGAGAAGCACAGCAGAGTCGTCTGGTGTTGGGATTAATTCCATACATCCACGCTGATTCAGTTGGGCAAGTAGTATTACCTAGAAGCCCAGCTGCAAAGACTTGGTTCACATGCCCGGGGTTTACAGCATTAGCCTGCCTCCTTTTGATTGCAGCGCATATCATCCACGAATGCGCGTGTACATGTCCGTCCCACTTTCTGCAGGTGGGCGAGGCGGTATTCACTTGAGCTGCACTGCACCTATCGGTGTAAGCACGTAGGCATCAAACGAATATGCTGCGTGCTGATTATTAGGGCCCCTTGCTGGTTGGTCCGGATACAGCACTAACAATCATACACGTACAGTGAAAAGTGTCGTAATGAACAGGCTGGCACATGTCAGGCATCATGATAAGGGTCTCGCCAAGTCCAGACGAAAGGGCCCGACATTCCCCAAACCCTTCTGGCCCGGCACCAAGCCGAACAAATCCCATCCCCCGAAAGTCTCTTGTTCTCTAGACCGGCAGCCAGCCTCGCTGACCCCGAAACACTAAATCCCCCGTAGTGGCGATTCGGATAGAAGCCATGAGAATGTTCATCTGCCAGAAGGGAGGAAACCATCGGTCTGCCCAGTAACGTCACAAGCCACAGGCGCCACGGCACTGCGAGGGATGGTTCAGGTACTGCCCAGGTACCGCTGCACCGGCGCCTCGTGCATGGCCAACTCCGATGTGCGCATGCTCACGTGACTTGGTACTTGCAGAGTACTCTCTCGGTGGCTTGCATCCTAAAAATTTCTGACCCCCCTCGGGCACTAGCCGCTTTCTGGTCCGCCTGGAGACTAATTTTTTTCTCGCCTTCGCCTCCAAGGCTCGCCGTCCCTTTTCTCTTTTTCTTTCCCACAACTCAACCCTCCCAACACACAAACCTCTCATCTCCATCTCCCTCTCTTTTTTTTCATCCTCATACTTTCTCGAGGCATTTTCGTCTTTCCTTGGTCTTTCCTTTGAAGATTCTGCGTGTTCTTCGACGGAAAGTGCAAGCACAAGTTGTTTACGCGTGCCCAATTTAATACAAGTCGGAGAAAAAGAAAAAAACAAACAACAAAAAACAGGGAACTTCTGTTCTTCCCGTTTCTTTCTCTTCGTGTTTTCTGTCTCTATTCTTGCGGACAGGCTTCCCTACTTCACTCTCATTCATTTTGCGAGGGTGATTTCCGATCGACCAAGTTCGACGATTCCATTCGCGATTTGCGAACAAAAAAAAAGTTGATTACAACGATTCAAGTCCCTATTCACCGGAACCCAACTTCCAACATGGCGGACCAACTCAACATGAACGGCCTCGACCTCGGCGGCGAAGGCGGCCAGGCGGCTTCCCAGGCACGCTCTTACATCCCGCCTCACATGCGAGGCCGTCAAAGCGCCCAACCCCCCGTCAACGAGGGCGCCCCTCCTGCCGCCGGCTTGAACAACAGCTCCTGGGCTGGGTAAGTACAAAGCACATGATCTCTCCTTCGCAATCGAGCAACGCGACTAACATTGATAATAGTAACAACCAAGGCTTCAGCGGCGGTCGACAGGGCGGCGGCAACTGGAACGGCGGCGAGGGCGGTGGTTTTCAGAACAACCGCCGCGGCGGCGGTGGAGGCTGGGGTGGTCGTGGAGGCTACTCTGGCGGCGGCAGTGGTGGTGGTGGTGGTGGTGGTAACTTCGAAGGCCACGGCGGCGGTAACCACGCTGCCCGTGGCTCTGGAGATGGACAGTGGCGTGACGGAAAGCACGTTCCCGGCCCAGCTAACCCCCGTGTCGAGCGCGAGCTATTTGGCACCGCCGACGATCCTTCCAAGCAGCACACCGGTATCAACTTTGAAAAGTACGACGATATCCCTGTTGAGGCCTCGGGTCGCGACGTCCCCGAGCCTGTCCACCAGTTCACCACCCCCCCTCTTGACGAGCACCTTTGCCGTAACATCGAGATGGCCCGCTACAAGGTCCCTACTCCCGTTCAGAAATACTCCATCCCCATCGTCATGGGTGGTCGTGATCTCATGGCTTGTGCCCAGACTGGTTCTGGCAAGACTGGTGGTTTCCTTTTCCCCATTCTCTCTCAGGCTTTCATCCACGGCCCTTCTGCTGTCCCCGCCAACGCTGCTGGACAGTTTGGTCGTCAGCGCAAGGCCTACCCCACGTCTCTTATCCTTGCCCCCACTCGAGAGCTTGTTTCTCAGATCTACGAAGAGTCCCGAAAGTTCGCCTACCGATCTTGGGTCCGCCCTTGCGTGGTGTACGGTGGTGCCGATATTGGTTCTCAGCTTCGCCAGATTGAGCGCGGATGCGATCTTCTCGTCGCCACCCCCGGAAGACTCGTGGATCTCATAGAGCGAGGCCGCATCTCCCTGTGCAACATTAAGTATCTTGTGCTCGACGAGGCCGATCGCATGCTGGACATGGGTTTCGAGCCCCAGATCCGCCGTATTGTTGAGGGTGAGGACATGCCCAACGTCGCTGACCGACAGACTCTCATGTTCTCGGCCACCTTCCCTCGCGACATCCAGATGCTCGCCAGAGATTTCCTCAAGGACTACGTCTTCTTGTCCGTTGGTCGTGTCGGTTCTACCTCTGAGAACATCACCCAAAAGGTCGAATTCGTCGAGGACATTGACAAGCGCTCTGTTCTCCTCGATATCCTCCACACTCACGCCGGTGGTCTGACCCTCATCTTCGTCGAGACCAAGCGCATGGCCGACTCTCTGTCCGACTTCCTCATCAACCAGAGCTTCCCTGCCACCTCCATCCACGGAGACCGAACTCAGCGTGAGCGTGAACGTGCTCTCGAGTTCTTCCGTAACGGACGCTGCCCCATCCTGGTGGCTACTGCTGTTGCTGCTCGTGGTCTTGATATCCCCAACGTCACCCACGTCATCAACTACGACCTTCCCACCGATGTTGATGATTACGTCCACCGAATTGGTCGTACCGGCCGTGCTGGAAACACTGGTATTGCTACCGCCTTCTTCAACCGCGGCAACCGTGGCATTGTCCGCGAACTCATCGACCTTCTCAAGGAGGCCAACCAGGAGATCCCTCCCTTCCTTGAGGCTATCGCTCGTGAGTCCTCCTTCGGCGGCGGCGGTCGCGGTGGTCGCTCTCGCCCCGGCGGCGGTGGCCGTGGCAATGCCAACCGTGATTTCCGCAAGTTTGGCGGCGGCGGCTTCGGTGGTAGCGGCGGCGGCGGCGGCGGCGGCGGCTTCAGCAACCCCCAGCAGGGTGGTGGCTTCAGCAACTATAGCGGAGGCTCCCAGGGAGGCTCCGGCTATGGCGGCGGCGGCGGCGGCGGCTACGGAGGCGGTTACGGCAACGGTGGTGGCAGCTACGGCAACCCCGGCGGCGCTGGAGCCCAGTCCTCGTGGTGGTAAATACTCACGCTCTCGCATGATGGACATATCGCTGTGTCCCATCATTGTGGCTCCGGTTTCAGCCACTACTCTTTTTTTCTTCGTTTTCACTTTTCCCTTATCGTCATTTATTTTATTTGCGCAACAATTTTGCTTTGATTAAATCGGTTATTTCACATTTACGCATCATGTCATTTGTTTTCGACGACACGGCGGCATCATGACCTGCGAAGGCGGAAGAGTGCCTTTTTTTTATTTACTGCAAAGGGCAGTAACGGTCAGGGGCATTTCACGACGCATGTGATAGATTGCATTTCTTTTGATTTCAGCATCCTCCCTCGCTTGATACCCTTAGACCGAGAATAGAGGAACTTAACGACGCTGGCAGAACGTGGTGTTGAGAGATCTACGGTTGTTAGATCTGGACTAGGACATCACGGTTTTTTTCATGTTTCTGCTGTCTACGAGGGTTTCCTCCCCCCGCAGGGCATTTTCTCGCTTTTCATGATAGAGGGTCATGCTATCGCCGTGGCATACATAGACAAAAGTGGATTTACTCGGTTCTCTGGTCGGAATTACTCGACGGTCTCCCAACGGATTGGGACGGAAGAGAGAGCTTATGAGCATAGACTGGGAATACAGATGGCCTATAGGTCGGTTTCTCTATTTCATTCGAGAGCAAAGAACTGGGCCTCTCGACGCTAGTTATGGATTTTGGTTGGGAGGGCATGGATCAAAGGCTCTCGGCTCTTTGACCGTCATTAGCACAATGGAACGCTTCGACTCGGCCGAAAGGGTGCCGAGTACGCAGCCTTGAAGGAACAGGGTCTTTGGGAGTTTTTTTGTTCCCGTGATAGACAGACAACCAGAGCGGACTGAGGAGTCCCAAGTAAAAAAATAAAAGGTTTTGCGATATAACTATGTGTGGTACTACTGCTACTGTGATGTGACTCTGTAATATCTTAATGTCTCTTCCGTTACGCGTGACGTATTTGATTGATGTACGAGGAATGACGCAAGATTACTTTGTGGCCAGATGTCTGCTCCTCCATCCTTGCTATGAACACTACTAAGGTATCTATCTCATCATGCATGTTGTCGAGGTTTTTCTTCTCTTACTACCCTGGACGTTTTTCTTTTTCGTTTTCGCTTCTCGTTGGGCATTTGTTCTCCGCTCCCCGATTGAAGGAAATCTAGATTGAAAAGCTATCTGTAATCTGTAATAATTTGTATGCAGTCGGGGTTATTCATAAATGCCACCTTGCTAATCTTGGGCCTTTGCTGCGACGGTAAGAGATTTTCTCGTGCGTGGAAGATTCTGGACTAGCCGTCGGTCCATGTACGTATGAGAGGTTTTGTCGGAGCCACACAGCCTACCGCCATCCCGCGCAGATCCTCCCGCGGCAGCGGCTTAAACACCTCAGCCAGACATCAATCACTCACTGGGGCTTTTCCATACGGGTAGTGGACCGAGATTGCTATAATTCGGTGAACTGATGTCCATATGCTGGAGATGGGAAGACGGCAGATTTTTAGGGCATCGTCTAGCACTGCACGTCGAGTTCTCGGGCAGTGAGCTCCACTAGAGCTCGGTACCTACCTAGCTGGAATCTTCCCCGCTGCGCCGGTGCGGCCGGAGAACCTCTTGTAAGGCTCGGGGTTGGGTACGATTGGAAGTACTACTGGGCTCGCTTATTACAGGCCAACTTGACAGTCATCCATATCTCACCTCGTTCCCTCCCCCCCACCAAGCTGTTGGCAGCTCTGCTTCTCTTCCTCTCCCATCACATGCCTCGACCCTAGAGGGAGCCCAAGGAAGCATCACCACAACTCTTGAAGCTCCCTTGCCTTGCTCCCGAGCACGAGATGAGTCTCCTCGAGAGCCTCGACGCCGGCATCACTGGCTTTGTGGGCCAGTGGGATGCCTACTCGACCGGGCTGGTGACGCTGCTGATTGTCCTCGTCACATACCGCATCACCTCGTCGCGCGAGCCCGACGTGCACCCGCTGCTGCTTGCCAGACAGGCTGGTGCTTCTACGGTGCGCAATGAAGGTGAGAGCGCCGCCTACAGATGCCTGGCTGCTCCCCACAGCATGCCGTTGAACAGCGGACTGGATGTCAAGGACCCTGGCGCTTCTCGATGGGCGAGGGGACGCGATGGCGATCTTCGAGACATTTGGCGGAAAGCGGCGGCCGGAAACGATGAAGGGAAAAAGGGAAAATTGCTCACTGTCCTCGGATCTGAGAATGTTATTGAACACCGCCTAGGTAGGATCCCCAAGACTGGTTTCCTTTTCCATGAAAGCTCCCAAAGCGACAACGATGGCTGACTGCTATTTACCTTTTTTCCCTTTTCATAGAGGACATTACAAGGCAGATTAACCTCATTGGACATTACATTGCAGAGCAAGGCGGCATCCGAGTGGCCATCTATCTGCCCAACTCTGTCGAGTTTCTGGTCACTCTTCTGGCATGTAGCTTCTACCCGAACTTGACAACTGTCCTGATCCCGTTCAACGTTTCAAACGAGGAGCTCGTCTCCATGATGCGCCGATCTGCCGTTGACACCGTCGTAACAACGCCCGGCTCGTTCCCGCTCGACGACGTTGCCAAGGCATATCCGTCGCTGAGACAGCTTATCTGGGTCGTGGACGAAGGAAGCTCGCACCTCGACTGGAACGAGGTTCCCGAGGGCATGGGTGGCAGTGTCAACGTTGCTACATGGCAGGAGATCATTCGCGACGCCCCGGCAGACTCTGGCACTGAACTTCCTCCCCTGGACCTGGAAAAGGTTCCCATGGATGTGGTTACCTTCTGGCAGACGAAGCCCGGCCAATTGGAGGAGATGGTGCGCTTCACACAGGCCAACCTGGTTGCTGGCATCGCCTCCCAGATCAATGCCGTGCCCATCAAGGAGAGATTGACTCCTTCTGACCTGTTTCTTCCCGCTGAATCCTTGGCCGGCATCCATACCCTTGCTCTTACCTTGGCCGCACTTTATCAGAATTCTTCGGTAGCCTTCAACTCGGTTGCTGGTCGATCGCCAGATCTGGTTCTAGCCACTCAGGGCATCGCGCCGACGGTGATTGTTGCCAGCCCCTCCAGCTTGCTCAAGATCCATGAAGAGTCCGCCGCCAAACTGAATTCTCCTCTTGCCAAGGCCTCCCATGCCATGTCGACTCGTGCTCTCACACAACAGGGCGTTCTTCCAACCTCGAACTTGCTGTCTGCGTTTGCGGCCGGAGCGAAACCATCCCTTGGGACCGACCTCGGCAAGTTGCGTCTAGTGTATACCGCAGAGCGTGTTGGAGCAGACACTCCTTTCCTTTCCTCCAAAGTCCTTTCTGACCTGCGCGTCTTCACTGGCGCTCGAGTTGTGTATGCTCTGACAACCGCCCGGGTGGTAGGCGCCGTTTCGCAGACGGCCTACTATGACTACAGAGTTGAGGAGGGCGACAACGGCCACTTTGGCGCACCCGCGACAAGCATTGAGATTCGCTTGAAGGACAAGGGCTCATTCAAAACAACAGATGATGTGGTTGTGGGAGAGGTAAGCTCAACACATGGTTTCTCTGGCAATCCAATACAATTCGCGCTGACACGTGGACCAAATAGATTTTCGCAACTGGACCGAGCGTTGCTGGCGGCGAAACAAACCTGGGTGTTGTCGGAACACTGAGGCACGACAACACGTTGGCTTATGTGTCGTGAAGCAGGATCTACGGATGCTAGTTCAAGGGGTAGAGGGAAAAGGGCCGGTTGAAGGGAAGCAGGGTACACAATAGGCTAGGCGCATAAATGTGCTTTCGGAATCACTTTTGGAGAGATTCGTCATTGGACCAGCTGAGAGATTCGGCGATTTTCATTATGCGCTTCAGGAAAGAAATAGCGAAGAGCGTCGATGATGCAAAGTAAATTGATGATTATTTTTTTGGGATGTTGATTGACGTTGATGAGGCTTGAAGCCATCTCGGAATTATCCAGGGAGTATCTTACATGAACCTTGCCTGGATGCTACGATGCAGAACGGCCCGAGGCAGGGCGAGGCAATATCGAGCTGGTCGCGTGCAACTCTATTTATATCCGCACGCGCTGGATGCGAACCAAAGTGCAACACTCCAGACCTGGAAGCTAATTTGGAACATTTCCCGTCTACCCCAGACGCAGGTCCTCGTGGTGCTACGTGCAGGGTTTAGCAGATACGGAGCAAAAAGCACAGACACGGGTAAGTAAGACTAGGTAGACAGGTAGAGTAATACAGTAGATGCTACCTGATACTGCTTGGGAGCCGGGGGTGTTTTGAAGTGACATGACATGGTGAGCGTATAGAGCGCCTAATAGAGCAATAGAGGGAGGGATGGAAGGATTGAAGCGATGCGATGGCATTTACAGCGTATTCCCGGCTAGGTGTGGTGTGTTGACCCTATGTATGTACTTGCTCTTAAGACTACTCCTGAAGCTGTCAACAGCTCACATCTCGGCGGCAAAGGACTACATATGTAACTCTTTCGTCGATGTACATTGACGACTATTGGATGGCGGAGATGGTAGCATAAATGCCCTAAATTTGTCGTCTTCATGCTTCAATATTCTTGAGGATTGATTCGTGTCACTGCAGAAATTATTTGAGTAACTAGTGAGGGCATGGTCTGGCGCTACGAAAACGGGGAGGGGAGGGGAGGGGGGGGCGTCAAAGGGAATGGTTTGATTTGCTTGCTTGATTTCAAATGGATGAGAAAGCCAGAGTCAGAGACAGAGAGAAGAGAGGGGGGGACAGAAGAGGTTTAATTTTAAAATTTTAAAAGATGGAACAATACAAATCCATACCAAAATACAAATGGAAATACAAAATCCGACTGGCGTGTGCAAGCAGCGAGTTCAATCAAATCAAATCAAATCAAATCAAATCAAACTTGGACTCGGCGGATCAATCAGACGCCCCGGTCCGGCGGTTTTTACGGGCTGTTGGGCTCTTTCTTGTCTTGCCCTCTTACTGTACCTGTACCCTCTTACCCACCTCAGTCGCCATCATTCTGCGGTGGGACCCCTTGAACCTCCTGATCCCCGATCCGCGGGCCTGGTTTTCCTCTGTTACCACGTTAGCTTCTCGGTGTGTCTTATCTCCTTGCGTGTCTCTCTCCCTCGTCTAGTTTTTCTTTCTTTTTTTCCCTTCTACTGTAAAACTCTTGTTATAATACCTTTTACTGGAGGCGTCGTTCTGGTTTGGGACCCCTGTCTTATATCTTTGGCTTTTCTCTCTCTTCTTTTTTTTTCTGGATTTCCGAACTCTAATTTCAAATCACTTTTCTGGAATCCTACGTTTATTTTGGCTGCTTCCGATTACTAAAGAGGTTCACAACAAAAAAGCCATTGGATCGCATCGATTCCTTTTGCGACGACATCACTGTTTCCGCTTTTTTTGTGTTTTTGCTGGAAGACAAAGGAGTCGCGGCTTCACCACACAATATCCGCTCTGATATCATTCCTCTTACATTTATTATTCTTCAAAGGCGCCTCGCTGCGGAGGCACGCGCATCCGGTAGCGCGGGAAGATGCGCAGCTGTTGAGTGACAGTGAGAAGAGAGCGCGAAGCGAGTGACGCCGGACTCATTGGGATCAACGTTACTGGACCTCTAATCGACGGGCGAAAACATTGGGATGAAGAAGTTTTCCAAGATCCTGTCGCGGCGACTTGGGCGATCCGGCGACGATGACCATCGCCGTTGGGACGGCGGCCTCGAGTCATCGCTGGACTTTCACCAGCTGACGTCCAGGCGGTGGCGCAGTGGTGACGATGGACTGGCGATGAATGGCGAGAACCACAGCCGCATCTTCACAAAGGAGGTTCCCAAGTACGGCGCCGGGAGGATCTTGGCGGACGGGAGCGACGACGCCGGGCAGCTCTGCGAAGTTTGCCGGGAGATTGACTTTGCGAGCCTGCTGGACTGGCAGCCCGGGGATTCAAGGCCGTGGGTTTCGTTGGCACACTGCTTGAAGCTGAGGCTGCCCGAGGACGAAGGGCTGGGCCTCGACGGGATGACGCTGGACGGAGACGAGATGAGCGAGGACGAGAGGCGGAGGAAGAAGAGGAAGGAGGGAAACCAGTGTCCGTGGTGTGTCTTCTTCCACTCGATGATCACCACGGTCTCGGAAGGGGACGAGGCTGGCGGCTTGGATGGGAGGGATGGGAGGGTCATGAAGGCCAAGTTCACGCCGTATCTGCGTATTCGCTTGGCCTTTGAGCGGCTTGGCGGTGGGGAGAAGCACGCGTTGGGGAAATCGGTGCTCTTTGAAGTCACGACGAGGAACCGGTCTCTCCCATGGGGGTACATTGTGAAGGCTGCGCCGGCTCTGGCGCAAACGGAGGAGGAAGCCAATGCCGATGCTGAGACGGCGACGGAGACGGATGCGGAACTGGAGGCGGAGACGAGCACGCAAGGGGAGATGGAAACGGGGACGGATTCGGGAGTCGAGGCCGATGCGGAATTGAAAGAGGAGCTGTTATCAGAGGTTAAGCCAAGGGCATCGACAGCCGACGACGTGGAGGATCATGTCGAAGAGACGCCAGTTGAGGCGAAGCAGAATAGTCATGCGAAAGTCAACGGAAAAGACAAGCGACGGGACGAATCAAGGGTCGTTCGAGGGAGGGAGATCACTCCGCTGCTCCATCTCCCGCTGGCAAGGAGCTGGGTTGATTTTTGCGACGAGAACCATGCTGCCGAGGCCTGCTCCGTCAAGAACCTGACGTTGGTCAAGGGATTGAAGCTGATCGATTGCGAGGAGAACAGAGTTGTTCTTGCAGAGCAGCTGTCTGCCGCAGCACCTCACGACGAGATACAAGACGATAAAAGCCAGACCGGCACTCGCAACAGCCATGAGAACAGCACCAGGCACCAGAACGTGGATTATGTCACGCTCAGCTATGTCTGGGGAAGTTCTCGCCGCAAGGACAACGAGGCCACCTCTGAACAAGGAACCGACGACGACGACCAGCTGCCGCGCCAGCTCCCGAAACTGATTGCCGATGCTATTTCCACCACCAAAGGCCTTGGATATCGGTACCTTTGGGTCGACCGATATTGTATGCCCGCAAAGGGAGACGTGGAGGGAGCGTCGGAGCGTCAGAGACAGCTTAGCCTCATGGGCCAGATATTCAGCCACTCGGCACTGACGCTCGTCGTTGCCGCGGGCGAAGGCGTTGACGACGGCATCGTCGGAGTCAGCGCGCCGCGCGAAGAGCAGCTGTCAATACAAACGGAGTCGGACCTCTTCACCACGTCGCTCCTTCGCCCAGACCTCGAGGTCGCTTCGTCCAAGTGGGCGTCTCGCGCATGGACATACCAGGAGGGTCTCTTGTCGCGGCGACGCCTCATTTTCACGCCCTCGCAGACTTACTTTCAGTGCCAGGCCGTGCACTGTCACGAGAGCCTTTCTTTACCCCTCGAATATGCACCGGGGTTGAACTTTGGTCGGGTCTTTCCCTCCTCGACCGAAGACAGCCTTCGGCCTAACAGGCTGAAGAACCATATCAAGGCCTACCTGGCCAAGAGTCTTACTTGTACCGACGACCATCTAGACGCCTTCAGGGGCTTGCTCCACGAATACTCACGGCGGGAGAAACTCCCCGTAGAGCACCTGCTCGGCCTGCCCCTTTTCCACCCCGACGACTTTACCAGGCACAAGGTCGTCAGCCAAACGGACCGCCTGGCCGTTGCCCTGGGGTGGATGCCCAACCGCACGCTCCCTTCCTCTTCCATCTCCGCCTCCACTACCTCTTCCCACGACGACCTCCTTCACAACCCCGTCATCGACCCTTACTCCCTCATCGATCCCCCCTGTCCCTTTCCCTCGTGGACCTGGCTCGCGTGGCGGCCCAACCAAACAACGTACAACTACAACACCCCCAGCTACTCCTTCAACTTCAACCTCGTCGACGACGCATCGCCGCTGCTCGACGGCGTGTCGGCCGCGCCCGGGATGGAAGTCTCCGTCGGCTTTAGCGATGGCATGGTTCTCTCGTGGGAGATTGACGGCGACGCCATTGCCCGCAAGGCCGACAAGATCGAGATGCTGCGCCTCAAGACGTACTGCTTCGACCTAAACGTCAAGAGAACTCCCGCGGGCGCGGGCAACAGGTCGACCCTGTCCCTGGCCGAGCCCGTTGCCTCCGCGCTGGGCAGGTCCGCTTCCGAATACATCGACGCCTGGATCCGCCGCTCGTCCGTCACCACCCTCTTCGCCTCTGCCGAGGACGAGCCCGTCGACCCGGAGTACCACCTCGTCGGCGTCCTCGTCTCGGGCCGCCACTGGAAGTCCGATGGGCCGATTCATCGCGCTACGGGCCCGGGGAGCGCCGCGGCCACGGCGACGGCGCTGATATGCGGACGCAGGAACTGGGATCCCGAGGGCCAGTGGGTGCGCCTGGGCGCGCTGAGCATCGCGTATGGCGGGCTGGTGCCTGTGGCGGACGAGGCTGACGCGTCCATCATGAAGGGTGTCGATGCGAGGAGCGGGGAGAAGAAGGATTTGAGGGTACGCCTGCGGGAGTTGGACATTTACTGAATTACTCCTTTTTTTTTTAATGCTTGTGTACGCTATGAAGGGGCGGGGATCTAATTAATTGACTTGCGATGTATGAGTGTGTTATGTTATATATATATCTATGTACCAAGGGGTTGTTGATTGTATTTTTTTTTATCGTGATGGGAAAAAGTTTACGCAGCGTCTTCATGACGAAAATATATCGATACCAATTTATAATCATTACATTACTAGTTTAGATCTTGTGCTTTACATCTTCGTAAATGTTTCTCCATAACATCATCAACATCCAAGCAAACAGCAAACAACGTCTCTAGAGTTCAATCAGTTGCTCAAACAAACTCAATCCATCTCCATCATGGCCCTCACAGACAAATCATTATGCACCCAGCCCACAATCCGACTCGCCACATCGCCCACCAACCGATCATAATGCGGCCCAGGCAAAAACACCGCACAATGCGCCGTCACCTCATCCATGCCGTCCATGTACACACTCACCCACGTAGGATCCATGACCCCATCCGTCTTGCTCGGCGTATTGCAAAACTTTCTCAGCTTCTTGGGCTTACCCATCGCTTCAGCCTCCGTCTCAGCCAAAGAAGCGGATGACGATGCTGCTGCTGCTGCTGCTGCTGCGGCGGCGGCGGCGTCCTTGTCCAGTCGCTTCTTCTCTGCTCTGCCTGCTTTTTCTTCTTCCTTGTCCAGACGCTTCTTCTCTGCCTTGCCGGCCCTTTCTTCATCCTTCTCGAGACGCCTCTTTTCCTGTTCCGCTTTCTGCTTCTGCTTCTTCACGTCCTTTTCGAGCTTGTCCGCGTCCTTTTGGACCTTCTTTTGGCGCTTCTCGATGAGCTTTTCGCGTTCGCGGAGGGCCTTGCTGCGGTCTTTGACGGCGTTCTCGTAGGCCTTTTGGAGGCGGCCGAATTCTTTTTCTGCTTGTTTACGGGAGTCTTTGTCTGTGTATTGTGATAGGTCCGGCTGCTCTGGGGGGTGAGGGAGATCGGGGATCGGAGGGAGGTCTGTATCGGGAGGAGAAGCCAGGGGTGTGTCTGACGGGGGTTTCTTTTCATCGACAGAGCCCTCAGTAACGACGGATGGCGCGTCTGATGTGGCTGGTAGTGCCGTTTCTAAGTCTTGCTCTACAAAATCCTGTTCAGTATCATCCATAGGAATCGGGTCAATCTCTTGCATAGACATCATAGACATCATAGACAGCCGATTCGAATCAACAGGAGGCTCTTTCAACTGGGTACTTGCACCGGCGTGATTAGTATCCTTCTCTATTTTTGGCGTCGAGGGCGCTGCTGGCTCATTTAGACTACCCTCTTTGGTCGGAGTACTGGGCTTAGAAAGAGTGGGAGAGGCCGGGCTTCTTGTTTCATCACTTGCTGGTGAAATGGCCACGTCGGCCAGCTTTGCGTTGATAGCGTCCCCAGCCTTGTACTCAGATGCAGGAATTGTTGACACATCGACCTGGCTTGGATCACGACTGCCTTCAGCCGTAGATGGTGGTTTAGGGCGGCCAGAAGCAAGCGTATAATAGTTGGCAAAGCGAACTCGAGTGTGTGAATCGTTGAATGTGCCACCGCTCAAGACTTGGAGGTCGTCAACATCTTCAAGAGCACGAATCTGGTTGTATCGCGACATGAGCCCGCGATAGTCGGCCAGACACCCCCCAAACTCTAGATGGGAGGCAATGTGGTTGCCCAAGGCAGTGATGAGGCCTTCAGACCAATGCTTGGAACTGAAATTCATCATGCGAGTAAGAAACGACTTTTCCCTAAACGGTGCGTCATTGACGTAAGGGGGGTCAAAGTTGGGATCTCTCGGTTCGCTCAGAGGACTATTCATAGACATGGTAGGTGAAAGGGGCTGTGAATCAGCCGAGTGAGCCTCTGGAGGTGATGGCAATGGGGACCCTTGGCCAGGAGGAGTTGGGGAGGGCTGAAAGAGACTTGAGATGCCCGAAGCTACGATGCCGGGATGAAGTCCTAAAAAGGGCGAGTCTAACGACAGAGTTCCCAGAATACGATGCTTCAGAGGAGAATGGCTAGACGAGACTTGGTTAGGCTATAGAAGTTCACGGCATTAGAACAAATTCCTATAGACATGGGCTTTCTTAGATCACGGATGGCTTACCATGAGAACCATATCGGCAGCCAATAAGCCTCCCATGGAGTGACCAATGAGGATAACATCGGTTGTGGGCGACTCGTGGGGCTCCAGCCAAGCGCTGAAATTATCTCTCGCGACATCTATGGCCTTGTACGTCTTGTACCGAGGGTAGATTTTGGAGTGGACGGCATGGGTTTCTGAAAGGGCTTCCCGTAGGAAGTTATGGACATGAGCAGGGAATGATTGAAATGATTGGTCATTTCCATAGAACCCATGGATGTAGATCAATAGAAGGATTCGCTTGGCATCCGAGTCGGAGCTTGATGGCACCAAAGATTGTGATGACGAAGTACGTGGGTCTTTAATCTTGGAGAGCAGGATTTGGGGGCCTCGTTGATCCGGAGAGGCCAGCGAGGCTCGGGACTCATCCACGGCGGAATAGGGAGGTGGCGGAGGTAATTGGGAGTTGTCCCTTGGCGGCAGGGGAGGTGGCGGCGGCCGGGGAACGGATCTTTCTGGTAGGGGAGGAGGCGATGCCATGGCGTTGAATTAAAGTATGATATGAAGTGATTGGATTGTGGGTGAAGATGATGTGAATATCTCCGGGTTGTGGCAGGAAGAGGCTTGGTGTCAGGAGCGGGTTTCTGAATGCAATTGCGGAAGAGTTGCCATCACTGTTGCCGTATCATGACCGCAGATGCACACATAAAACACAGCCTTGTTGTCGTTGTCATCGAGATGAATGATGATGAGCCCGTGAATCAAAGTTAAACGATCGGCGACGGGACTCGGGAGACGGTCAGAGGCCCGGAGCGGGGGAGAGATGAGGCTGGCCGAGATGCAGATGGCGGGGCTGCCGTTTCTTTCGCTGGGCGCAATCGATAAGGACCCTGAATCACTACCAGGTAGTACGAGTACAATGCCTCTGCACCGCAGCCGTATAGCGGCTCTAGGTATCTCCCATAAGTGGAGGAACAAAAAAGTGCTAGGGCGCTAATAGCGAGCATTTAGGTGTCAGGTAGAACGTTCCGTGCAGTCAATACCTTGGATGCTATGAATAGCCCTGCAGCTAGAGTAGGACCTGGTGGTGCCTGGGCGTACTCGTATGTTCCGGTACTAGGCTGCGCTAGGCTGCATGTGGCAGTGAAAAAGCCACTGCATGGTGCCTGCGCATGGGCCATTCAGGGTGGGGGTTGATATTTTCAGCCTGGACCAATGGCAGCGAAGCAGAGCGACAGCTACATGCAAGTACAAGCACTAGTGATTGGGGGCATCAGTGCAATGCTAGAAAGGAGCACCACCACGGCACATCCGTCATTCCGAACCACGCTGATTCATGGCCACGCACGCATTGGTGCCGTTGGGGGTCTTTGTATTGACGCATTTTGATTCATGTCAAGTGTCATTGGGCCCAGCTTGCCTCGTATTGTTGGCGTGTTTTTTTTTGTTACAGCAGATGCACACTGACCTACCTGTATCTACATTAGTATACCTTGACATCTTGAAGGTACACACGTTGGCTGTGAATGTTTATCAAAACACCACAGGCCATTTCACAGCACGATACTGCTGTTGTCAATATTACTGCCCACGAAACTGCTAGAACAGCCTAGCGGTGCTCGTAGATTAACCAGGAGCACGGCGAGAGCTCCTCGTCTCCGCCCTCTTTCGTCGTGCAGTCTCCCATCTGTAGTGCCAGGGACGCATTGAAGCTACACAGCACTAGCAGGGTTGCCCATCGCTTGCTCGCTCCGTATGTACCTTGGACAAACGGCGAATAGCGCGCAAACAACAAGGCGGACGAAGACTGTACAGTACTCGTACAGTAGTGAGATGAAGAAGAGAAAAGTTCCTAGTGGCGCAACTCGAGTGCCGTTAGAGGAAGCCATTCCGGATGCTAATGGACGTGGAATGATTAAAGGCATGGCGGGATGACTCGTGACGAGTCCGTTGCAACTCGCGGTGATAGAATAAACGAACTCTCAGTCATGCTGTTCTCAACTGCAATACCGACCAAATGCCTGTTCACTTGTGAAGATGTATTCTCCGTGCTTACTCTGTGCGGGTACCGCATCATGCTATTTCGCCGCGTAGTTCAATTCTTCTCCGAACCTGGCTCGGAATGCCCCGTCTCCATCTCCATTGACTGATGTTTATTGTACGAGTAGGCACCCAGTCGCACCCTCACGCTAGCATACCGAGATGGAGCACATTGTGATTACCGACGAGAGATGATCCGTGCTATTCTATATTAAAAGCACAATGCCTTTGCCTATATCATCCTAGGTTGCATCAGGTGCCTTGAAAACGCACGCATACCATTACGTATCACTGCTACTACTCGTACTCCATACACTCGGACTTGTTTATCTCAACACTACACAAGTACCATACATCCAATTGATGCCTGATGTTGTGATTGCATGCAGATGCAGATGCCGGTAGGATGGATCAATGCCTTTTGCTGCTGCTAGTCCTCAGACGGGCAACATCTTCATGCATCCAGATGGACGGATCAAAAGCTTCACCACCTCCTTGTACCCTCTGCTGGCCAGTGGCATCGTGTGCTGTATCGTATCGAATCAAATCTGTGCGTGGACCTGCATCGTTTGGTGCGTCTTGGCGCACGGGCCCGGAAATCGAGTGGCAGATGGCCGGTGATTGGCTGCCGGTGCCGCAACCCCCCGCCATAGCGAAATTACGAGTATAGTACATGTACCGACAAGTATCCTCCCAGCGGCCTTTTGCACTTGGAACCAGGCCTGTCCCGGCACCTGCGCTAGCATCAGCCTCAGGCACGGAGCAATTGGGGGAGATGCGCCAGTGCCTGGAGCACCTGTAATTACATGTACTCGTAGATGTAACCACATGCGCATCCTGGCTGCGAAAAGGCCCGGCATCCTCGTTCAAGTCGTGCAGCTCGGCTTTTGCTCAGGCGATCCCAGGCCTTGCCCGTGTTCGTACGAGTACCTGCAGTACAACGCACCTAGCCTTGGCTGTGCCGGCGCAAAGTACAGGTACCTCCGCCTCTGCTAGTCTGTGTGCCGTGCTGCTCCGTGCAAGTACCTACACGAGGTACGTGTACACGAGCAAATCTCTGTGGCCCGGTTCGTCCCTGTGCCTTGGCGGAGAGATTGCTATCGTCGTCTCCCCTTCCTTCGCTTCTCCTCTTTCGCCCGTTTGCTCTTCTTTTCCTTTTGCCTTTTCTTTTCTTCTCCTCGTGGCCAGCGGACGTGCGCGCATCATTGCTTTGTTTTTTCTTCGCCATGACCTTTGCCTTTCTTTCTGTTGACCATTGTTGAGCCGTTCTTTTGAAAAAGGGGAGATCGCGTGCGGTTTAGAAGAATAGAGAAGCAGAAACGAGAGACACGGGAGAGCCACGAGCAAACGAAACGAAACGAATCACCGTCGCGAAATTGATCCCGGAATAATAACTTTCGCTATATTTTTTATTCCCTTGGATTTCGCCGGCTTGCAACTTTGTCAGATCCATCTTCCAGTGACACGGACGGATGGTGAGAGCGTGGTGATCCTCTTCGATACAGCCATCGCCAAGACGGACAACACCAACCACGACGACATTGACTACGACGACGGTGGTTATTTTGGGGTCTCAAGATGCAGCCGGAAGAAGGAATAGCGAATTAGAATTTCACTTGCTTCATCCCTCGGCGTCAGCCAGCCAGACCCCACAACACTTGGGAATTCGATACGATCAGCACTGCCCACCGACATTGCCACCATGACGAACCGCCGGCCTTCACTCCTTCAGGCCCGGAGCGGTCCGCACGCGCACGCTCATTCTGCATACAAACTTGGACACGCACACGGCCACGGCCACGGCCAGCATTTGCATCATCAGTATCCTCACGACGCCGTTGCCGGCCCTCGACCTGACGACGTCAAGCCCGATAACGCCCAAGGACCGGATCTTGATAACCGAGCTGATGTGCCAGTCCCGGACCAAAAGCCCAGTGATGTGTTAACTCCAAGCGCAACCTCTCTCGTTACCAGGGTCATCCAGACCGTTTCGCTCGTTCAAATCGTGGATACCTCTGGGTCACCAATCGAAACGCTGACTCGCTTTGCTCCTCCCAACACCGTTGTTGTGGATAAGAACACGGGCCAGACGATATCTGCTTCGAATCCGGATCACACAGCAGCTCCCGCTGCGCCGGGGTCCAGCCCGGGGTCCAGCGGAGGAATCAATTCTTCAACGTCCAGCACCGGCTCGCAAACAAACGCCACCCCTGTTGCCCCAAGCTCAGCTTCCTCCTCGGGGTCTTCATCGGTGCCCTCGTTAGGGTCTTCATCAGTGCCTTCGTCGGTTCCTTCATCGGCAGCTTCGTCAGCAGCTTCACCGGCACCACTTTCACCGCCCGTACATTCTTCACCTCCAACGGCACCCCCGGCCCCTTCGCTGGGCATTGGCCATAACGGAACAAACAGTATGTCGTCATCCGGTTTCCAAGTCTAAGCTTAACCAAGCATGTCTCCCTCCTAATCATAACGTGATAGTTCATCACTCTATTCATCATAATGCGACCAATTCATCATTCCACGCTGAATCTGTAAATAACACAGCCTCATCAACCAAATTCTCTTCGGCAACAACACGCCGCCATACCTCATCGACGACCTCTGAAGTTTCCTCTTCTCAGTTTACATCGTTTTCAGATACCGTCATTTCAGCTGCCACTTCTTCCTTTGAGCCTGCGCCTACTGATGGCGCGTTCGGAGGTGTATTTGGAGGAGGTAGTGCACCAACGGCGAGCGGCGCAACGCCCACGCCGTCCTCGTCTTCCAACTCGACCGACGGTGCGCTCTCTCCCCAGCAGAAGCAAGTCATTGGAGGTGTAGTTGGAGGACTGGCTGGCGCGGCTTTCTTTCTGGTTTTGGTGCTGCTAGCTCTGAGGTACAAGCGACGTCAACTCAATGCAGCTCAAGCCGCCAGTCAACCTACTTCAGAGTCCCGTGAACTACCCCCGGCCACCGGCGCCCCTAACGGAGCTCCCAGCGGAGGAAACGGGGGTGGTAGCGGAGGCGGCAGCGGAGGCGCGATGGCGGAGAGATACGGCGCCGCGACGCTAACCGCCGCGTTTGCCAGTTTGTCCCCCAAAACGAGTTCCGTTTCTGCAAACTCTGCGGAAACCGGAGAAAGAGGTTTCTACCGTGTGTCTGGCAGAAAGCTGCCATCAGTTCTGCAGGTGGGGGGCGATGGGTACTCAGACCCTCGTGCGAGTTTCATGAGCGGCACCTCAGACTGGAATCGCGGCTCCCAGGCCTTTGATCCCTTCGGAGGACCGGGAGCCCGGTTACAGCTTGGTGCCCCCATGCGACCAGACAGCGGCGTACCCGTTGTTCGATCCGGCCCAGCCCGAGCTGTTGTCGCAGAGTCAAACCCATTTGCAGACCCTCCGAGAACCCCCCCTGCCGACGCCTCCGTGCCCCCTATGATGCGGCAACGCGAGAGCCCCGGCAGAGGATCCAGATTTCAGGAAGGCCTTTGATCGATACCAATTCGTTACATACAAACTCCATACCCATATTGTTTCTTGTACATTTTTCTCCTCTACAATCTATCACCATCTAAGAAGATATTTTCTCCTTTTCTCTCTCTCTCTCTGTTGCTGCTGCACTCACCGGGCTGCTCCCCCACCTACGGAGCTTTGAATTTTGGGTTCTTTTTCCTTTTTTCCTTTTGTTTTTCTTTTCCTTTACGGCGGCGTTGGCGTGGGCAAAGTGGGGGGATTTTTCAGGCAGTAATCTGAGGAAAAGGAAGGAAAGGATATAGAGGAAAAGTAAGGAAGAGATTTTCTTTCATCTTGGAGGGCCATTTTCTTTGTTCTTGTCCATCTTTTTTTCAGTTATTTTCTTTTCCCTTTCTTGTTCATCTCTAACGACAATCCATTTACATCGGTGGAGGGTTCAAAGAGCGATCCTTGTATGTACGGTGCGCTTGTACACTTTACAATCATGTCATGTATAGCTTAAGTAGGACGGTGCGAGCTGTGAGAAAATGAGACAAATACCCATATGCATGACTATCTTCGATGTCGTATTTGTGTGAGAATGATGGGGTTGGGGAGATGCTACGATGTTGCAGTCAGTGTCATGGAGAATGTAGCATTGTAGATGAATACGAAGGTAACATCGCTCGGATACAAAGAACCTATTGTGGCAGCCGCCGTCTTCGATATAAGGCATTGATCGTTTGTAGACGGCTGGCTACTGGTACGTCGTCGATGGCCCAATAGCGTCAAGTGATCAATTATATTGCATCTATGTGACTACATTTACGGAATGTCGGGGTAGCTTGCATGACATGAAGACAAACATTAGATGAATGAGGAGAGAGAAAAGGATGAACGTGATGAGTGTGACGGACGTGTCGATAAGCAGACGAGACGTTGATGAAACGGTGCAGCAAGTGTGTGCGAGCGGGCCGGTGTGTTGATACAAAGATCCGGAGCCGGCACTGGGAAACATGGGACGCAAAGTCCGCCCTGAAAAGACATTTGCATTGAAGCGTGAGTCATGTCACGGGAACTCGGCGGCTGGAAAAGACTCGCAAGACCTTTGTTTGGGCTCCCACGTGGTGTTGGGTGTCTGACAGGTCCTTGCGTTGAGAAGTCGGAAGTGTCTGCTTTGTTGCCAATGTCCTGCAGCACTTGATGGGCTCGTGTTGCCCACAGCGGAAGATCTACTACCTAGGTACTAAGGCAATGTTGGTCGTAAGCGTCACCTTACCTATGTATAGCACGGGATAGCAGGAGCGCGGCCGTTGGTCCAAATATAAGTTCGTCGTACCAGGTGAGCTATATTAAGAAGGGATCGAGTAAACCTGATAGGGCTGACGACGCTCTGGTTGGCTGCTTACTTGATTGCCTACTCTGGGTCAACTTTTTAGTGCGATGGGACCTTTTGAAGGTGCCACCAACTCTTTGTGTGGTTTTGCTTTGCTGTGACCCAGAGCGCATCAATTTTTAGAAGCTGACGGGGGGGGGGGGCTTTTCTGGGGCTCTTCTAGTTGATTGCCAGCTTGTGCGAAGTTTGTTGGTTGATTGGTTGAGGGTTTTTTTTAGTTGGCGGATATTACAAGTCAACTCGGGTGCATTATGTTGTGAAGTTTCGACTGAACTTGGTATGGAAAACCGAGGTACAGGTACAGGTACAGGTACTGGTACCGGAACTTGGAACCCTTCTGTTGGCAGTAGGTTGGGTCGTGCGGATTGCTTAGCAATTGCAAAAGGATTGGCGGGACCAGAAGCGTGTGCAATCAAAATTCCAAATTGGGTGGCGTCTTGATAGGGCAGGGGATTTGCGGGATTCTGAGCGGCCTGGCGTCTCGCGAGTGCAGCATCGATCGGTGGTGTGCGTTTCACGTATGATTGATTCTTGTCGCAGCTAGATTGGCATCGCGGGTTCCTGGTGGCGGCGGGCGGGGGGTGTGTTGAAACGGAATCAAGTCACCACCCGAAGAAGAAGAACAATGGAGAGAATTTGATTTAGTCTCTCTGTGTGTGTGTGTGTGTGTGTGTGTGGGAGGAATGCGCCGACCCCGACTTGGCGTGTCCCCCAAGAATCTTTTCTTCCGCGTGTGTGTGTGTGTATTTTGTGATGGGGATTTTGACATTAGTGAGCATGGACAACTTTGACTTACAAAGTCCGCCGATGCGTTACACAGGTCCGCAGAGCGTAAGATTGGGGAATCCAAGCAGTTTGTGCGTTCATCTCCGCAACAGCCGATGGATGCTGTCTTGGGATATTACGCCTGTGTTTTTTATTTGTGACTTGTCCAATCTTTTTCCGTCAAGACTTGCATGTTATTAGGAACCACGAATCCTTGTGAATAGCAATACTGAACAAGGCGTGAGACTCTCAGGTTGGCAAATCTACAGCTGCTACCATGACCATCTTGACATGCGCCTCCGCAGACACTGTACGGAAATATAAGAGGGTTAACTCACATCGGGGTAATGATTACCGGAGAGCTGCAGGCCGTAGTCTACGTAGCCCAGCTGACAAACAAGGCCAGAAAGACATTGAATGGACTCCACGAAGCCAAGACGACGAAGGGCGTTACAGCATGCCCGATTTTGAGCGTCACGGAGCACGGATGGGGAACCAGCAAAAGACAAATTAGTCCCATATGATGTGATGCTGCACCTTGTTTCTGCTGTCACACGATGCCGCGTGCTAGTGGCAGTTCCCCATCAAGGCATCCATCAATCCTGGTGGTCAAGCGTCGTCTGGTGAGAAAGGGGTCAATCAGTGAAGCATGGAAACCACACGGCGACTTTTTCTCTCTCTTTGGTGGCGTTGGGGTTTGTTGCCCCTTTGTATCGCCTGTTGACTTCCATTTCCTTCCATTTTGCTTCATTTTCTTTATGCTGCTTGCTTATGTGTCTGTTATATAACCATGACCATGTTCTATGTTGCCTTCAACAACTTACATCGATGGGTGTGTGTGTGTGTGGGCAGCCTCGCTGGAGCCGTCGTGTGTGAAAGTCTTGACATCAATGACTGGAGAGGTCCAAGGCTCGCCGCAACGCACTGACAATTGCATGGAGGTACCAGCTGTACCTGTACTTGCGACACGGCATGACGCCAGCGGTATCACTTGGCCAAGGCTCTAGCCGTTCACGGCCGCACCAACAGGGTGTCAGTGGGCTGATGGGCCCCCAAGAAGAAGCAGAAGCGGCTTGTGCGGCATCTGTCGCTGAGACGTTTGGGGCCCCGATCTGGTACCTGTACCTGGGCAGTACGGGGAGCCGTCAGACAGCAGCCAAGAGCCTGTAAGGGGAGCGTCAGGCGGAGCCCTACAGAGGGCTTCCCGAGTGGGTTTTGGGGCTCAGCAACTGGAAGAGAGCGCCTGTGTCATCCGCCCACGGGGCTGCGGGCTTGTGGTCGCACCCAGTCTGGTATACCCAAGTACGAGTACCGACTGGATATAGTATCTGTCCCGTACTCGTAATAGACTTGTAGGTTCAGGTTCCTGGTCCCCGCTTGTTTCTCACTGCTCAACTGAAATCAAATCAAATCATCCTCCTTCTTCAACTCACTCCCTCACGTCTGCCCCAGATGCGATGCGCTTCCGAATAGCCTCTTGTTGAGTTTTTCTCACAGCTCTTGCATTCCAAATTCGCGCCGCATCGTCCTATTCGCCGCATCGCCTCCTTGTGGCGGCCTTCAGCAACGATTAAAGCCACAGAGAGCCCTTTTGCATTTACGTCTTCTCACCTCGGCCTGCTGCATTCGCCACAGAGACATTGATCCCATTTGATGCCCTCCGCCTGGCCCTGCCTTGGGTATCACAAGCAACCTCACGCCATACAGCTTTTCCCAGTGTCGACCGTCTGTTCTGCATCAGCATACGACATCAACGGGTTGGCACTGCGTTACCAAGACCTATAATTCCAGTTGCCGGATTAGCTTCGAATCATCCCGTCTTTTGCATGTTAGCCGTGTCGACTGGTCCCAATCACAGGACAGTGATAGGCGCATAGCAAGACAATACGATCCGCATATCTCACTAACAAAGGCGACTTCAACTGCAACTCATCCCGCTACCACCATGGATCGCATGGGGATGTTCCAGATGCCCGGCCTGGTGCAACCGCCACTCACAAGCCAACCACCACAGATCTTTGGCTCGTACCTCAGCGATGGCTTGACCAACTTGCAGCAGCTTCCACCGGACATGACGGCACAGATGTTTTCTGACTCCAACTTGCTGCTTGACGACAGCCAGGATGCTAAGAGAAGGAGAATAGCTAGGGTAAGCTTTCCCCTTGTGCCCGTTGGAGCGACACATATGCTGCAGTTGGCTTCCAATGAAATGGCTCGACGTGCTAACCCGGTCTTTCTATGACCTTTCTTCAGGCCTGTGACCAATGTAGAAGGAAAAAGATCAAGTGTGACGGCAAGCTACCGTCGTGCACTCATTGCACTAATTACAAGACCGAGTGCATCTTCACCCAGATTGAAAAGAAAAGGGCGACGCCAAAGGGGTAAGATGGTTCAGGCGTCTTTTATACAAGCTCTACTCACACATGATAGGGCCAAATATATCGAAGCACTGGAGAACCGCCTAACTCGCATGGAAAAGCTTCTCCGGCTGGCCGGTACGCTCTTCAACCGTTTCCCCCAAGACACGTTTTGACGTTGCTTACACATGCTCCTTAGGCATTCTCGTAAATGAGGATGATGATCTCGCTGAACTCGAGAAGCGACTTATCGAAAAGTCAGGGCATGCAGCAGCCGTTGCTCCAAGCTCAGGCCCCTCCTCGCCCTCTCACCTTACGTCGGAAAGCGATGCAACGGCTTCCCCCAGAAGCTCCGTTACATCTCCTGGTCTGCAAAGGGAAAAGGAAAGGGAAAGGGACAAGGAAAAGGACAAGGATAAGAGACAAGAGGATAAACAGAAACCGGTTGCCACGCCAGGCAGCCTTCAGGGCGAGGAGGAAGTCGAAGCTTTGTCTGAGATGATGTGCTCCCTGGTGACAAATAATTGCGGAGAAACCAGATATATTGGTAAAATCATCCATACTGGCAAACGTGTCATGGTTGTGCTCGGCTAACAATGCCTAGGCTCTTCGTCTGGGTTTTCCATTTTCTCGCCAAAGGGCGTCCAATGGATTAACAACAAGACCGGCGACGCCACTTTCCAGAATATGATCTCGGAAGTTTCCGAGGACGACCACAAGTGGACAAATTGGAAGCCTGAAATATTCAGCGACCTGTTTCAGCGACCCGTCTTTCGACCCCTGCCGTCAAAGCCCGAGGCCATGTCCCTGCTCAAGGACTTCTTCGAAAACTTCAACTGCATGTTTCCGCTCTTCCACCAGCCGACTTTTATGCACCTGGTCGAACGCCAGTACTCCGATGATCCATACCAGGGCTCCGGTTGGTGGGCCAGTCTAAACTGTGCTTTAGCCATCGCTCATCGCCTGCGCGTCATGAGCAACCTGGTTCCACAAGAGGAGGATGAAAAGGCGTGGGGTTATTTGAAAAACGCCATGAGCGTCTTTGCCGAGCTCACCATGCGCAACACGGATCTGTTGAGCGTTCAGGCCCTTCTTGGAATGGCGCTATTTATGCAGGGTACACCCAATCCCCAGCCAACCTTCCTTTTGATTGCCGCTGCCATTCGGCTTTCGCATAGCATTGGCCTCCACAAGAAGGGAACGGGATTCAACCTCAACCCCATCGAGATCGAGCAGCGCAAGAGAGTGTTTTGGATCGCTTACATGCTGGACAAGGATCTCTGCCTGAGATCAGGGCGTCCCCCTGCTCAGGACGATGACGACATGAACGTCGAACTTCCCGACGCTGACCCTGAGGATAACATTGGAAACATTCCCCTGGCAGAAGGGAAGGGTAAAATGAATTTGTTCCGCGTCATGTGCGAATTCGCCGTCATCGAAAGCAACGTGTACAAGAGACTCTATTCGGCCAAGGCGGCAAAGCAATCCGACGGCGAGCTTCTTGCTACAATTGGGGAGTTGGATCAAGAGCTAGAGGAGTGGAAGGATAGAATCCCCATTGATTTCAGGCCTGAACATGAAATCAGGGCTTCTCACACGCCCCTTATCCTCCACATCGTCATGGTCCATTTCACCTATTACAACTGCTTGACAACAATCCACCGCATGTCGATTCACCATGGATTCTGGACAAGCCGGTTGGCCAACTACGCAATCTCGGGCCAGAATGTACGGCCACTGAATCCCAGAGTATTCTCGTCTGCCATGCTCTCAACAGCAGCAGCACGGGCATCCATTTCTCTACTCAAATATATTCCACAAGGAGACTTTTCTTGTGTCTGGTAAGAAAATCATGGCCCTCAACACGGAGGGAGGTTAAGGCTAAACATCTTGATAGGTTGATTTTGTACTTTCCAGTATCAGCACTCGTCACCCTTTTCGGCAATATCCTTCAAAACCCTCTCGACCAGCGGGCGAAATCGGATATTCGACTAATGAACCTCGTTGTCACCTTTCTCTCAATGCTTGGCCAAGAGGCAGAGCAGGGCGGAGTCCATAGAATGCTGGGCATCTGCTCCGAGTTCTGTCGCATCGCTCAGAGAGTCATTGAAAAGGCTGAGAGAGAGCAATCTTCCCGTCGCAAGCGCAAGCCTACGGAAACTCCAGCAAACGGTGATGCTCGTAACCAATCCCTGTCGCCGAATGCTGCGCATACCGCCAAGTCGACAACCCCAGCATCTTCGGCCCATACTCCGCAGCACACAGGCAGCACCGCAACGACGACGCCGCAGTCTATTGCCCATGACACCCTATCGCCCGAATTTGCTGCCGCACGCTCATATCAGAATGCCGCGAACAAAGCCACGCCGGCAGGGTCGTCGCCGTCAATCGACTCCATGGGATGGGCGCGAGATTTCCAGGTTCCCCAGGAGATGGAGTTTGAATCCTTTGAGGAAATGACCGGATTCGGCGGTGACGTCCAGTCGCCACCGGCGCCCAACGGCCGTGGTTTCCAGCAGCCTTTGCTCCCCCAAGATCTCTTTTCCCTATCAATGAGCCTTGATTGGAACTGGGTCGAGATGAGCGGAGGGGCGTATCCCACGGTCGAAAACGGGAACTTTGGCGGCCTTGAGAATACCGGGGTCCTGGACCCAAGACAGCAGCAACAGTGATTTGCATGATGCTGGAGAAGCTGGGATTTTGGGCCGGTACCATCTTTGCACGGCAATCTATTTTACAGTTTGATGTGACGAGTGTTGATAACTTGATTGTTTCAATTTTGTTTTGAGTTTTGTGATTAATGTATGCTGAATGGATTTCGTGGGATAAACTGGTTTGAGCGAGCCTGAGTGTATTCTAGCATGATTCTGATGATCGACTGCGGATGGCCGTCTCAACTCCGTCCTTTTTTTTCTTTTGCTATTTGTTTCTTTCCTTGCTGTTCATTCTCTCCTTGAAGTCTCTCATGGTGCGATCAGATAGAACATGTACAGTACTCTTTAATGTGAGAGGGAATAGTGCCTGCTAGGTATGTAGTCTTTGAATCGTTGCTGAAAGTAATCAATGTGTATATTAAAACGCCTCTTTGTCAATTGTTAATTTACACTTGGCCATCGTATCTCGTAAGCCCCTCACGTGGTGGCATCAAACCAGCACTTCTCGCGCAAACACTCGATTTACAGAGAGACAAGTCCATGTGCCAATTACGCTGGGGGACCAGCTTTATTGTTTCACCTACTGGTGTCTGTGTAAAAAAGCAAACACGACGAACAATAAAAGTCTCCCGCCCCCGAAAAGAGGTTTTCATAAAAACCAGGGGAAAGGGGGAGCTAATAAAACAAACCATCACACACCCGCAATTCCCTTTCCGCTGTCCCCAAGGCAGAGGGGGAAAAAAAGAAAAACTTGCACCTTTGTGACCAAATAGAAAGGGGCTCAAGTGTCATTCCCTCCCCTCCCGAGATGTCTTTAACCCCTCGTGTTTTTTCTTCTCTCTCTCTCTCATTTCAGCCGTTCTCATTCCGTCCGAATCGTTTCTCCGTCCTCGCTCGAAGTTTCCCTTTCCATGACGTTCTGCGGCTTTGTTTCAGCAGCTCAAATGACAAACCATATTTCCCGTCCCCGTAAGTGAATTTTTTTGGGTTTCAAATTTCCAACCGGCCCTTTTTGCTGCTTTGCTGAAAGGGCTGTATAAATGAGCAGACAACAAGGCGAAGAAAAAAAAAGGAGTACAAACGCAAATATCAAAGGATGAAAGAAAAATGAAAGAAAAGAATAAAAAGAAGACAAAGGGCGAGGCAGAACACTTCCGGTGAGAAAATAGAAATAAAAGAAGCCTCTGCTCGCCCCTAGCATACATACCCCCCCTGTTCCTCTCCCAAACGCCGTGCTAGACAAAAAACCGCAAATGTTGAGGATTCAAGTCCTCTTTGTCCAAGGATGCAAAAAAAAAAATGTAAATGTCGAAGAGAAAAAAAAACAAGCAGAAACAAAAAGCAAGCCAGTCCCCCTTTGATCTTCTGCGAGAGCCGAGCCTTCATGTATCGTGATATAGAGCCTGTACAAGTTACCAAAAACCATTGTCCCCATAACTTTTCTTTTTGTTCCACGCCCAAGTCGCAAAAAGTCCAAGTTGCAAAGAACCATCATGGACCACAAAATCAACGACGAAAACTAAAGCTTCTGGACTCTTGGAGAGCATTGATTTCAGCTCTCCGCGAGTCCCTTCGGTAAACTCTGTTGAAATGGCAGGTCGGACTCAGAAAGGCCGTAGGTGTCATACTCCAACCATTCCAGGGCCGTAGCTCGATTGGCGCATAGCGCTCGGGTAGGGCGGTGTGTTTCCTGAACTCTGCTCGGTGTTAGAAATGAACGGTAGCATCGGATTTCGGGTTTTCGCTTGCCTTCTTGCGGCGCTTCTGGCCTCCTTCGCCTTCTCCCGTAGAGTAGCCTGTTTCAAGGCCAGTGTCGTCGTCGGGAAATCCCTCGCCATATCCTTCGTAGCTGCTGTCGCCATAGGATCGCTTCTTGATGCTGCGCTGAGGCCGTGCGGCATTTGAGCCAGACGACAGCTGAGACTTGTGCCGGTTGATGGCCGCGCCAGGCATGGATATTAGAGGCGTGTTTGGCGCCGTCGGTTTCGCGGACGGTGCCTTCGAACTATCACCATTAGATGGGCCGATGTCCCCCAACACCGACGTGTCCCAAACTGATTTCGCGACTGGACCCTTGGCCATGGTAAAGGCGCGGCCCAAGGAAGACTTGGTGAGATCCGACAAGCCATCCATGAGAGCCCTGCCCTTGACCTGGTGGACGTTCCACTCGTGGTCGGGAACCTGCAGCATGGCCAGGAAATCCGAGGGCGAATCCTCCTTCTTCTTCTGGACATCAAAGTGCCCAGTGACGCCCAGCCGCTTAATGTGACCCTTGTACGTCTTGCGGAGCGCGTTCTTCTCGCCGTTTGGCTTCTCTCTGGCGACTTCGGCGGCCAGATTAGCCAAGTCGAACATGTCATAGAGATCTTCCGACGTGCTAGGAAGAGACTCGGGATGCGCTAGATGGATAGCAGTGTCAACAAAGCAGAGATCTTAGTAACGGCAAAAACATCCCAACGACTGTCGAGATCCCGTCATCCAAGGGAGGAGGAGCGAGACGAGAGCAGCGGAGGGAGTCTTACGAGATTGAAGAAGGAGGTACTTGAGGCCCACGTCCCGGTGTAGGTCCTCGATGGCGAGCTTGTAGTCGTCAATGTGAGCCTTTTTCAGGTCGCGGTCGTCGCCGACATCTTCGAGAGGCCGCTTTCGCTTGTGCGGTGAATCGTCGAGCATGATGGAGTCGGGGTGCGAGGAGCTGCCGTTGACGCTGTGTGCGGGAGTCGGCAAGGTCGTCGTTCCTGTTCCCGCGGCGGCCACAGAGCCGGACGAGCCGAGGGAGGGATCCGAAGAGGTTGCGGGCGAGAATTGCGAGGGACTTTGGGGAGTTTGGGGGTGGAAAGACATCATGAACCAAGGCTCCTCGCGAGGGACCAGAGTGGCGTGTCGCGCCAGGCCGGGAGGCCGAGATGTCGCTGCGGTAAGGGGAAGGACCGAATTCAGGCGGTCGGCTTCATACACTCGGCCTGTCGACGATGACGGATTTGCCTGGCGTTGTTGGCTCTCTGCGTTCTCGTTCTCTGGAGATGACGGAGGACGAGCTGAGTGCGACGGTCCCGTGTCGGCGAGCCGAGAGAGGAGCAGAGCCCGGCGTCTTTTCAGGGATTTTTTTGCCTTGCTATCGCTAGGGGGCCAGTCGGTGGGTTCGCTGGGGGAGAAATTCCGCTGCGGCGCAAAGATGCGGGAGAGAGAATGGACACGGACAAAGCCGTGGGCGTCGTCGATTCAACAGCTGGGCAGGGAGAGCGATTGTAGGGCGACGGACGGGGGCGATGATGGAAGCGCTGAGGGTTGGAGAGGCGAGTATGCTGGACTGGAGTGGACTGGAGTGGACTGGAGAAAGCAAAAGGTGGAGAGGCGAAGGGATCCTCCGAGCCTGAAAGACGAGGCAGTCAATGGATTACTGGCAAAAAGAGCGGGCGGCTCCAAGGGCTGGGCTGGGCTGGGCTGGGCTGCCTTTCCTGGCCGGTGCGGGCTAAAAGGCACTGGAAAGGCTTAGCAGTGGGTGCTTCAGCGGCTGTCTGTCAGCAGAAGGCCAACGGCGCTAACAAACGCGTGTTGCCGAGGATGGCCTCTGCGTTGGAACGCACGTTGCTGGGCATTTGATCCCCTGTGTGACACTTTGAAAAGGGCGCTTGCAGAGCTTTTCTAAAATAGAATTTAATAGTACCCAAGGGATCAATAAGTACCTACTATACCCTTGTGCGCACTGATTCTCTTTCAACGTCAATTAAACGAGGCACTAATTTCTCCCCGTCGTATTTCAACGGCATGTGCCTGTATGTCTCAGCCTCTCCCCCAAAACAATTCGCCGTGCTCGTACTTTGCACCGTCGACTTCGTACAGGTACCGCCGCTAGCGCTCGCTGGATTCGACCAATTGATTGACGCCTTTCCGCTCGCTGCATCATCACGTCTGCTTATGTAACCCAAAATGCAGAGGCTTTCAGCAACTTTCTCGCTTCTCCACTCCTCTCAACCGCATCAGTAAGCAAAGAGCACATGCGCATCACAAGCTAAATCACATGACTGGCGGGGCCAGAAATCCGATTCCGAGGGGCGTGCAAACAAAATTCCCAACTTCTCCCCCGCTGGAGCTTCTTCTTTTCTTCTTTCTTCTTCTTTTTCCCATAAAACCACGACCAGCAATCGATAATTACTAAACCGCCGCCGGCTTGTTTCTGATCACTCAGCGACGCCTCGATGCTGCCGACGATGTCTCGATGCCTGGTCCAGAGCGCACTTTTTTACAGCAACCTTGCCTAAAACCATCATCACGAGGGCCCCGTCTGTGTGGCTACCATGATGCGGTGATGACCTGACGCAAGTGACATACTTATTCTCGCTATATCCATGTGTACCTATTTGAGAAACGATCTGCGGGGGGAGAATCATGTGCAAAGGGTCATTGTGAATGTGTGTGTGTGCGCATGTGAATGGAATATCAATCTTTCGACCTTTTTCACATTTTTCACATCTCCGTGAATCACCAAATAGATGCCTCACCTCGCACACATACACCTGCTCGGGATACAACCAGAATGATGTCGCATCTTCACTCCCCTCTGGATCATTCTCTCTGCAACAAACTGGAAATACAAAGGTAAGCTCTATATTCATAGGCTCGACTCCGTATGTAGCGTCTCATCTTCCAACCAAACATACCACCTATGATGATGACACCTAACATCTGGTAAACCTATCTGCCATGCTGCCGTTTTCCGGGGATGTAAACCATCATGTTTATATAACCGTCAACCACTTGGCTGCGTGCGGATAATCATTGGCTTGACTGATCGGAGTGTGGTCATGTTAGATGGAGCAAAAGAGTTGCCTTGAGATTCGTAACCCATATACTGACCAGAGTCACTTCTCCAGGTGAGCCAATGAAGCCCAACGACGTTACCAGCCTACATAACGCATATCACGAGCCCCAGCACTGTTCTTATACTACAAGGCGTAAGCGGCTCAAGGTGAAATCTGCAACTTAATACTGCGGGACACGGTTTGCCGTTCGAGATCAATCTACCTGTTATCAAATCACAAGGTTGATTGAAGAACATCTCTCTCGTGCACTTTCCAGCTAGCAGTTGAATTCTACGACGAGCAACGACAATCGTGTCATGACAAAGACAAAACCTAATCAATTGGTTATCTTCGCCCAACGACGGGGAGCATCCGGCTGCCAAGAAAGTATATATCTTATATACAGGTAAAAGAAGAAGAAGATGATGAAAAGATGATCACGTCTCAGCGTGTCCAGTCCCTGCCAGAGTGCAACTTTCAAGAAAGAAAAAGGGGAGGGTAAAATCGGGTATGTCCTTGTAATCTATACAATCGAACGGGAAGAAGCGAAGGGAAAAGGAGAGAAAGCAAAGAAGGTAATAAGAGGACGAGGAGAAGGAGGAAAAAGAAAAAGATGTCAAGGAAGAAAACGAAAAAGAAGAAAAATACAAGGAAGAAGAAAAGAAGAAAGAAAAGAAGAAATTGTCGGATGTCCAAAGATACTGCGTCGTTTGCCCAACTCCAAGAGGGTATTTGCTATCTCAAATTCCGCACATGGTCCCGTCGTACCACTCCAGGCAAATGCGTTTTTCCCCCAATGTCCCAGACCAGTCTGCCAGAATAATGTCAGAGGAAACCCTTTTACCATCAGCTAAGAAGGTCTGGTGACAGTATGTAATCGAGTTTGAGTCGAGTTTGGCTTCGGGAGTGTGGCCTGCTGATTCCCTTACAAGCCAACAACTCCTCTGCCGTATTTTGCGTCGCCCGCCGAGCCTGCCAGGGCCCGTCCGTAGTGCACCCCAATGCATAAATCATTTGCTGCCCAACTCCAAAGGGAAAACGGTAATGAAAGGGGATAAGTCGGATAGAATGTAGATAGGCAAGCCCTGGCCTCATCTACTTCGCCGTTTGTCAAAACGTATAATATGAACTGCTATGTCGCCACGTAGCATGCACTCGCCTTCCGTATACTAATCGGCCGTAATTTTTGTCTCTGTGGTTCATGTAGTTGTGCCCGCTCAATTTTTATAATCGAGATCGTATTGGCAATGTTTCCGGTGCCATGGTGCCCTCGTAGATGACAATTTGCTGCCCAAAGCACAAATTTAACTTGTGCTATGATGTAACGAGGGCCTCGCTCTATTGACTGGTGACGTTGCTCCTCCTTGAGTTATATATCCTCGATCCCGTTTCAGTGAGATGGCGCTGTTTAGATCGTTGATACCGTAGCCGTCGTTGCGTTGCTGGTTATTTGCGTAGTCCGGTGCCCCGCTAGGATATACGCTCCTTGAGTCTGTACGAGAATCATGGCCACTCAGGCCGCTCTGCATAGTCTGGGGGAACCCAGGTGCGCCCACCGAGTCTGGGTAGTCTCTTGCACTTGATGGGGCAGCCGATGCTCGCGGTAGAGGAGCCGCCAGAGAAGGGGTCAACGGCGCTGACAGAGGTGCAGCACCGTAGCTGGCTTGATACGTTGAGGGTGCTCCATATTGCGAAGAAGATCCGGCTGTTCGATGATTGTGCGACTGAGGAGATTGGAGTGCTCGATAATGATCCGTCGTATTCAGGGGTAATGAGGCTGAAGCGGCTCGAAGACGAGATCCATTCTCAGATGTCTGCTGGAAATTGGGGTAGCTCAATCCTGTCGGCGAGGGTTGTGCATTACTGCCGCCTGTTGACCATCATCAGCGTCAATATTCAACCGATTTCGAGGTTCATCGTCAACTTACTCGTGTAGGGACTCCGGTCAACACTCCCTGCGCTGCTAGATGCCGCTTGGCTCATCTGGCCAGGCTGATAGACCAAGGAAGACCGATCAGATACATTGGAGTGCGCATTCGCCCCAGGATGCATATAGTGTAACTGCAGAGACTCAGACCTCGGTCTAGATACCGGATCACGGTTATGATAGGTTTGGAGTGGCCTAACTCCGTGGCGATGCGCATCCAGAGGCCCGTGTGGCCCGCCACTTCCATGGGAAGGATAGCGCTCACTAGAGTGTGGTGATATTGGCGACATGACGCCGGACGAATTCACTGCGCCCGAGGGGTAAAAGCCGATGTTGCCAAACGATGGCGTCAAGCCTGTGGGCGACATATGACCTGGTCCGTCTTGGCGTCGCACGTCCACCATTAGAGGTGCTCTCATCGAGTTGCTCGGGTATGGAGGGTGATGTCCAAAATCTACGGGGGCTGCCAACGGCATCGGCATATGGACCGCCCCGTAGGGAGAATGCAGGGCTTGTACATTGTCAAAATCGTCTGGAACTGCTCTCATCTTGATCATTCGATCACGGTCATCGGCGTTGAGCCTCTTGATCTTCGCACGCCTAGCAGACCAGTCAGATGTTATCGGCATTCCACCCACCTCTGGAGAACATGGGATAGGAGATCTCTTGTTGATCTAGCGTACCTGTTTTGAAACCACACCTGGACTTGTCGAGGGCTTAATCCGGGTATTTCTCTAGACAGCCTTTCTCGATGGGCAGCGTCGGGGTGTGGCTGCTTTGCAAATTCGCTCGTCAAGAACCGTGTTTGCTGGTGCGTAAGCCTTCACCATCATGTCAGCTCGCTGGCTTCTTCATATCCAGCCATGGCTAGAACCCTACCTGAAGCGCTTCATCTTTCTGCGGGCTGCCACCCGTTCTGCCGCAGTTTGAAGTAGCGAATCCGCCTCATCCTCGGCCATATCCTCGTCAAGTAAGGCATCTTCTTCGTCCTTTGGTACCACCGCACGTTGATCATCTGGTCCAAATCTATCCGAGGGATTGCCCAAGCTTTTCGCCATCGCTGAAGTTGAGTTGACGTAGCCCGAAGGTGCAGAATCTCTAGCAGTGGCTCTGGCAGGCGGTAGGGGTTCGTCCAGCAAACGGGATGCCGTGCTCATGCTTCTTGATTCTTCCTTTCTCTCTGATGACTCGGCAAGTCGGGAAGGATGGCCGTGGTCCTCTGCCCCTCCGCGATAAGTATTGTGGTGTAAACTGGATGTCAGTGTTGGCTGTCTATCTGCATGAGCTTCCAGCCGAAGATTTTCGCTCTGCGCCATGGATTGAGGTTGGTGGACTACTCCCGAGTTGGCATGATTCGATTCGGAGGGCTGAGAATAGGCGGATCCAGCTGGCTGCGAAAGATACGGATACTGGCCCTGCCAGTCTGGCTGTGTTGGTAGTGAGGAGTCGTATTGGTCTGACATGCGTGGACCGGTCGTAGCTTTACCAGGAGCCGGAAAGTATTTGCCAAAGGACCAGTGGCTATGCTCGGGGTCGCAGGACCTAGTGGCGAGCATTGGGATGTGTTTTAGGCCTTCGGGTGGAGAGGCGCCCGCGGAATCACCCACACGACTTTCTCGAGATATGGTTGAAAGCGCTGCTAACATCAACTCGACAAGAGCCAGACAGGCAGAGAAGCTACTGTCGTCGCCAGCAAGTTGTCGACAGATCCAGATCCTGAAACAGTCAAGCCAGCTTACGAGGTCCCGAAGGATGTTCCGTGGTACTCCGATAGGAAAATGGAAAGTTGCTGGTTAGGTTGTCTCGCTCGCGAGTTGTATGATCCAGAAACTCGAAACCAACCAACCAAATAATTTATCACGAGGAACAAGTTTAGTTTTGATCAAAAGCAGTGGCACGGAACAAGGACGGCTCGGATTAGTTTGGTCTGGGTTGAGGGGGCGGGATCACTTCGAAAAGGGACTGCCTTTGATCTCGGCCTGCGGAGAGCTTGCTGTACTGGTAATACAGTGGATGTATCCCTTTGACCGGGTTGGCCAAGAAAGAAGTAGGTAGTTAGCCGCCTGCAAAGCGAGAAGAACCAGTGAGCGACCCCTGTCTCAGCAAAGTTAGGGCATGAGTGGCTATCCAAGTTCAGGTCGCAAGACTGATTTGAAGGGGTCGTATCTTAGTTCCAAGGTTCCACGAGGTAGGATTGGGAAAGTCTTGTATGGTGACATGAAAATGAGGACCGCATACCACGCGCTACAGTGGGGTCCGACATCGATTTAGGTGCAATCGATGGTCCTGGAATCATCAGCTCGCATACAGGTATATGCCTCGTGCAGGTATGGGGTGCCGGGCGGTCCCTAAGATGCTAGCAGGATGACTGACTTGTCCCGAGCCTGCAAGCTCCAGATCTTGTCAGAAAACAGAGTACTCGTAATATCCGTTAGGAGGGGTTTCAGAGAATTGTCCGCAGAAGAATACGGCAAAAATGGAGGCTGCCGCTAGAGACAAGGACCTGTATCGATGGAGAAGAAGCTGTGGGGGGGGCGTCTCCGTACCTGGTACCTGATGAAGGAGGATGGGGTGGGTGAGCCTATCCAGGCTTTGAAGCTTCGTGATTCGAGAAAAGCCGCACTGTAATGGGCCACCAGTGCAGAGCATGCCCTCTCACCCTTGCGGTTGTCGGTTGAGCTACCAGGAGTCTTCCGTGTTCCAAGATCGGGAAAGAGGGACCACTACCAGGAAGGGTATAATTGAGAACGGCCCCTTGTCCAAAGCCTTTCTTGGTCGAACTACTACGACGACTTCTCCGTAATTCTAGTATAAAGATGTTGCCAACTTGGTGTCACGTAGTTTTTCTGAGAAAACAACGAGTGGCAACGAGTCTCTGGCAATTGCCAGCAACTTTGGCTCCCTAGTCGACAAGTAAGGAGTAAGTTTTGTCATGGGGAGCGGCCGGAGCAGCGCGGATCTGGGCCCTCAGTCGAGCAAGTCGAGTAGTACTGCTACTCGCATATACAATGTGCGTGTCGGCCAAGAGGGGGCACTCAGCCGCGGCGACGCAGCGATCCGATGCTCTCTTTGCGCCGGGTATGCAAAAGCAGACCCATCAGGGACGTCGCGTTCAGTTATTCGTCAGCGCGAGCACTTGTTGCCGCAGCATGAGGGCCTCGTTGATTATGCCAGACCGCCGCTTCCAACTGCGAAGACACTTGTACGCCCGCGCGAAAGCACAAGCTAAAGTGGCTCTTCAATCTTAGCGGCATGGGATCGATCTCATTAGCCAGCAATTTGCATCAAGGGACAGGGCTTATAGCAAGACCAAAGCCAAGCGGTAGCAAAGGACCACATAAAAGGGTCGCAAGAATCGACCACCAGACGGCACCTCGGCCGGACCACTGGCGGGTTGTTCAGCGGCTCCTGGGGAGTAGCAGCACATCTTCTCTAAATCGAGTCCGCGGACGAACGCATGACCGTCGCTCGAGGCCTGTTTGCGTACTGAACCAATGGGCTCTTCAACAGGTTACAAAGGCCATGGTCGTTGATGGCATAGTACAACGGGCAAGGGGGGTCCTCGAAAACAAGGAGGGTTGACGCCAGGGGGCGCGCATATCGGTGACCAGGGGGGCTGCCATCCAGGACAGGGGTCATCAGCGGCAAGTCAAAGACGACGAGAAATCGCAGGGCCTTGTGAGTGGGGGGGAGGGTCGCCATATTTGAATGCAGGTAATAGTTACAGCGGCCGAGGAGGACGACTAGGTAGGCCGTGGTGGAGTAGTTGTTGTCTTTGTGTTGAATCGAGACAGCGCTCGTACACGTACTCGTGGCCGTGGAGGATGCGAAAGAGAGATCCCCAGCTATCTGATCCGAGTTATTCTTCTGCTGTAACTGGAAGAGGGTGTGAGTAACGGTGACTAACACGTCCAGCCTCGTTCCGCTTGTTCATGCAGATAACGCGCGCGATCAATTGGGCTTAGGAGAACATGTGAAGCGGATGACGGTTGGGAAAACTGCAGCACGATGCCTTTCAAGGTATCCACCCCTCCTCCCGAGCGTGGCGTAATGGAGCTAGGCCCTCTCACTGCAGAGTTGTTAGCTCTCATACGATGGAGGCAAAGCGAACGGCATTTGCAGCTAGGGTGGATTGGATTCCCTTTCTTGCATCAGGCTGAAGCGAGAGAAGTGGCATCCCTCACCTGACCACGAGAACACATACTCGTACACGTACACAGAAACGACGAGATGAGCCGCGGCGCTGATATTGGAGGACAGAAGCTTCCAAGTCGAAGCTGCCACAGGTCGAAAGAGCATCGCCAGGATGTCTGCGCACGGATCATTCGACACGCGGAAGAATTGCAGGGCATCGACCACGCTACCCGTACATCAATCTAGGGCTACCTGGGATGTGCTCGTACTTCGTACTTTCGTACGAGTGCCAGCCTTTCCATGGAGGTGCTGAGAAAGGATATGCGCCGGTGCAACCGGGCCAGACTTAGTGGGGCCAGCCCAAGCCGCGAGATGCTCAATCCACGTAGCATTGCGCTCTTGTGCATGAGTCTGCGCGTGTATGTATGTGTATGACCAGCTCGCGTTTGGGCCAAGGCGCAGACAGGCTGGACAGAGCCTGCAGAGTGTAATCGGTCGCATGTCCGAGTACTGAGCAATGAGGCAGGCTGGCTGGCAGTGCGATGATTCGTACAAGCACTCATGATAGCACTTGAAGGCAAGCTGTAGACCAAGTCGTTTCATCCCGAGCCGGGGGGTGGCTAGACAAACTCACAGTTCTAGCTCCCTCAGGGGTAGCTACGAACGAGAACGCCCAAGAATGTCGCTGTGCTCGGTAATTGGCAGGCCCGCCGCCTGCTGAATTGCTGTTTTATATTTGCTTTCAAAGTTCCCGCTCTTGCAGACATGCAGTAGGCCACGTGTGAAGTATTAACGCTTTCAGTCCATATCGGGCAGAGCCATAGTCTATAAGAGTCTAGTTCTAAGAGAACTGCAGTAGTATTAGCGAAAGCGAGCAGCCGGAATGTTCTCACACAGTCAATGTTTAAGCCTACCTGGATCGATTGACGCTGTAGATGCTGCTACAGTATGTTGCGCATACTGGGTAATGAAGGGAGGAGAGCCATGTCGTTTCAAGATGCCTTAGCAGTGGATCTCTGGGGCCAGGGCGGATTATGCTGTCAACGGAGCCGGGAGCGAGATTCTAGAAGAAAGAAACACTCCACTATACAGGTGAAGTAAGACACCAGGGGAGGGGGGGGGAGTCCATCACGACTGTTGGAATAAGCATGAATGCCAGCAACGCGGCGGCGCGGGGCAGCGAGTCAGAAAACATAAAACGACGTATTATTGCCAGTCGTTATATCGAAGAGAGCTGCAGGTCAGACAGCAAGGCTCGCGAATCTGCCAGACTGCTGCTACTGCCCCTGTTGAAACAGGTGCGCATGACGGATAGCTCTTGTTGTCACCGGGCTTGTGTCTCTTCTGCCGCCCATGGTGCGAACTGGGAGACACCCAAGGCGTCACACGGGGTGCAGAGCAACAATGGTTGAGGGCTCGCACAATGCCTGCCGCCGGTGAGAATATCCGGAGCTCAGCGTGTCTCGGGCCCTGCCTGCCCAACCGTTGACGTGTCTACGAAGTAATGATATAGCATTTGTCTGGTCATCTTTCCTCCTTCATCGTCCCGCCTGGAGCACCGAAAGCCGCACGTTGTATTAGGCAAGATCCGACCACATGGCTTTTCGTGCCAGGTTTCGGATGGCCGCCGGCCACGCGGACGCAAGTAGCCGCCATGTCGGAAGTGGGAAAGCCTCAGGGCCACTTGACTCATTGGGTATGGGTCGACTTGATTGACGCAGCGGGTCTGGCTGTTTAGAAGTCATGTTTGGAGCTTCTGCTCCCTGTCTGGGAGAAGGAGAGAAAAAAAGGGACCCCGGTCAGCTGTGGCACGACTGGTGAGCTTCTAGCTGCCGCCGTTGTGAAGCAGCTAAAGAAAGAATGGATCACCCGATGGCCCAGGGCAGCCCGGGCGAGTTTCGAGAACGGCCGAGCTGGTATTTGTACGGTGCCGTCGCCTTCTCTTTTCAACATGTTCCAAGTCAGAGTTCCCCGGGTGCTCGTATCGTATACCAGTACAGCAACTCGACAGCTCGTTTTGCCTTCTCAGGGCCTAACGGTCGACGGACGATAAGGCACCGTTGGAACGTCCGTCATGTGCATACGGTTGTGTGCGCATGCATGGAGCAAGTAGCCTTGCCGTACCTGTACAATAGCACGCACGCAAGGTGTTAATCTCGAGATGCTCCGAAGGGGTCAGGGCCATCGCCATGCCGTAGCATTACATGTGTAGCACCGGCGATGGCCTGCACAAGCACGTACCTGTACTCGGGGCCTGGTATTACCTGGACCGCCCACTAGCAGGCCTCTCGCTGATCGCTTGCCAGATGCCACCCTCCATGAGGAAACTGGCCGGAAGAAGGAATGGGCAGCAGAAGAAGAAAACGAGGAAACACGACGAAAGAGAGCAAGGCTGTGTGCTAAGGGGAGGGTGAGAGCTGCAGGCCTGGAAAAAGAGATATCGACACTCCCCCTCCCCAAACTTCCAAGGTCGGAGTGCCACCTCAGGCACCCGTACCGTATACCTGTTCCTGCTGCTGCAGCGCTCCTGTCTGCAGCGATTCCCCTTGTTCCAGTACTTGCTCATGCACCTGTACCTTGTACCTGCACCATGGCCCGACCGGTCTTGTTCTCTCCTTGCCCCTACCCTGGACTTCCGCCAATGGCTGGCGGCTTCACAGATTTCAGGACCTCTCGCGTAGCCTCGCGTCGCCGCCTTTTCCCCGCGCCTGACGCCTTGCGAAGCCCCCGGTCTTGTTCCAGCCGCTCACATGCACATGCTCCCTCAAGCTTCAAATTTGCTGCGCGACAAAGCGGGGAGCTCTGAGGAGCGCGTTCCAATCGAGGCCCGGACCAATGCCTCAGTCAGTGCTAGTTCCCGCCCGAAGAGGTAGCAAATGGCTTGCGATGGAGAGAGGCAGATGGAGCAACCGGGCCTTTCATTTCAAGATGCTGCGACCTGGCCGGAGCATTGCGACTTGCACGACAGTTGCCCCTACCAGTTGCAAGTTGGCTGCATGTGCTGGTGCCATGGAGATGAGCGAGCAAGGTACCCGGCTCTAGGGGAGAAAAAAGAAAAGAAAAGAAAAGAAAAGAAAAGAGGCTTACTCGAGCTTGCACAGGACCGAGCCGTCGACGACCTTTGTCCCTCAGGCCGCGTGCGTGGGTGGCCTGCCGGGCGTGGCCGTGTTAAGCATCCTCGGGTTTACTCCAAGATTGCCCGAAGGCCCAATGGCAGCGTTCTCTCACGCCTGTGCCGTTGGTTCTCGACCTACTGCATCCAGCTGGTGGTGTGGCGAGCAACCCTGTGGATGGACGGCTCTGATGGGATGCCTACTGCACAAACTTGTTTGTTCGGTATCATATGCGGGCGCAGAGCACCTTGTACTTTACTTGTACCGGTGCTATGATGCCGACCTTGGGGCTATTGGAAAACAAGCTTCATAGGATGCCCAAGGTAAGTAAGGTGTGCCTGCGGTGTGTGCGTGTGTGTGTGCGTGCCCCTCTGCCCTTGTAGTCCTGCCCTTTGCTTTGTGCTGATTCTACCTATCAGCAGGCTCCTGGATGAAGACTCATACTTGTTGCCACGCGTGTGTATTACCCCTTCCGAAGGAGGGTGTTGCTACCATGACCGCCACCAGTACTACTTGTACGAGTACATACATGCTGCCAGGCAAGGCCTTGGTTACAGACCTATCCATGCTGCAAGCCATGTCGGGCACATGGGCTGGACACATGTTCTCTTGGACTAGGCCGGGTCTTTAATCATCGCTTCAGCAGGCGGGAGATCTGCCCCCCGAGTCGCATAGAGATGAGGAAAGCATGCAGATTCATCACTGCCGCCTCTCTACTTTACGGCAAGTGCGGAGTACATGCCGGCGTGAATTAGCCGGAAATCGAAATCACCTCTCAACAATGGACTGCAGAAGCTGAACATTGGCGTGATGGGAACCCTCACCTTCCCGGACGCCCAGCTTTTCGATGCGGCCGACGCTGTGCTATCTGTACGAGCACTCGCACATATCGGAGGGGTCCTAGCCGGTGCTGGATGTGCAAACCTGCTCGTCTAATTTCCCTTCCGCTCCCGGGAGGAGTCGTGATCGAGCCATCCACGTAATTGCAGAGGGGAAAGGCCAATCCTTCAATTCAGCCTCAATCTCACGAGCAGAATCCTGGCCCTGGCAGCGTGACATCAAATATACAAGTACTACAGGCAGAGTGACGGATCGCCGCTTCTACAATTCCGCCTATTTTTCTTCTTGTTTTCCATTCCTCTTCTCCCTGTCGGCGTTTATTTCGCAAATTTTGCGGCGTCGGAAACGGCTGAATACTCTCGACTACTTGCTAGGTATGCCAAGAGCTGAAGTGAGAAGCGCCGTGTGAGTGCCGCATCATGCATCAGAGCATCGGCCTTCCTGCATCATCTTAGTTGCGCATTAGTCAGTGGCCTGCATCCTACAGGAATTCTCTCACTCTTGGTCAGATACGCAGTCGAAGCCCTCAAGATTATGAGCAAGGCATCGAATGAGGCTCGTCTCGCGAAGTCAACCCTCGTGCAAGGTAAATGTACCGGTTTAATCAAACAGGTACTTAACTCGAGGCTTGGTGTCCACGCCCTTATTTAGCACTTGGGTGCTAATCAACCGTTATTATTGTAAGGCTTGGTGAGACATTTCGCCAGGAACAGCCCGATCTCCAAATGAATCTATTATTAGGCCCGTCGGATGACTTGCCTAGCGCTGAAACGCTGGGAGCACAGACGCTAGATGCTCGTTTTTGACGGGTTGGAGAAAAAAGTAATTCGTACGAGTACATGGTGGCTTTGCGACATTGGCGGATACGAATAACATCCGCGAGCGAAATAAGCAGATGTTGAGCGCACCCTGAATCGGCTACAGTACTGGACGCCCACAGGACGGCAATGACACTCGCTGTACTTGGACGACTCAGGTTTTCTATGCGTATTGAATGCAAGGTAGGTCGTCACCATCACTCGACTTCTGCCGGCATATGCAAGTCAACCCACCTCGTAACTTAATGCTTACGGATACGGGTGCTCAACCTTGTTGGAGCTGTAAGAGCATATATTACCTTGCCGTCACTCTGATAGTCTCGTGACCTCAAATGCCAAGTAAGCAGTACCAGGGGTTGTGATTAAACATGTACGTGTATGGTATAGAGTCGTCTGTTATTCTGCACGCATCTAGGAATCTCTCTGTTGATGATGGCCTTAGTGCTTGAGGTCAAGGTCTAAGAGACCATATATAAGCCTTGGGCCATCAATTGGATATTAACATGGAACACTATGGAATCCAATTGGCTGAATGGAGAAAGAGGATTTGGGATATGAAGAAACATATTCACGATGGGGTATTCGCATCTTACACGTTGTGACAGAAACATGTGTAAATATATGGTAACAGGACATCCAAACTGCAAACATGCACGATTTCAGGACTTCGAGTTATACATAGGCACGAGTTTTTTTATTCAATAAGACCCATTGTCGTAGCTTTTGATACATATATCCCTGGGCTGTTAATAGTCGTAGAATCCCTTTCCGCTCTTCTTTCCAAGCCACCCGGCGTCCACCATCTTTCCTAGCAATACACTTGGGCGGTATTTGGAGTCTCCTGTTTCTGTGTGCAGAACCTTCATGATAGACAAGCAGGTATCAAGGCCAATGAAGTCCGCAAGCTGCAGAGGACCCATGGGGACGTTGGTTCCGTTCTTCATAATGGCATCGATTGAGTCTCTGTCGCCAACTCCCGTCTCAAGGCAGATGATGGCTTCGTTGATGTAAGGCATGAGAATTCGATTGGCGAGGAATCCAGGGGAATCAGCCGAGACGGATGTGACCTTGCCCATCCGCTTGCAGAACTCAACCGCCGTATCAAGCGTCTCCTTGCTGGTTTGCAGGCCGCTAATAATCTCTACACCCTTCTGAACGGGGACGGGGTTCATGAAGTGAGTAGAAACAACTCTCGATGAAGCCGAAGTGTCGTTGGGATCGGTAGTAGTGGCCGCAGCAATGCGCGTGATGGAGATTGAAGAGGTGTTGGTCGCCAAGATTGCGTGAGGGGGAGCTACCTTGGCCAGCTTGCTGAAGATGTCGAACTTGAGCTGAGGGATCTCAGGCACAGCTTCGATAATGAAGTCGACGGAAGAGAAATCCTCAATCTTGGTACTAGTCGTCAGCAGGGAGCGGGCTTGGTCAGCCTGTTCCTGAGTAATTCTAGACTTGGACACGTCCTTGGCCAGCAGCTTCTCTATCACGGCTGTCAGTCATGACATCACTTGGCCCGCGGCTCGAAGCTCCAACGCACCCGCAAAAGCAATGCCTTTACTCAATGCCTGATCAGAAGCATCGACGAGGGTAACCGGAACCTGCGCCTTTTGCGCAACAACAAGCGCGATGCCTAGGCCCTACATACAGCATCAGAATGCCATCTTCACGTGTAAGCGGGATCAGGGCTCTCACCATCTGGCCGGCGCCGAGAACACCGACGCTCTTGACATCAGCGGCATATTGCCTTGGAGAAGAGCTGAAGCAACGGGCCTGGCGCACGGCTCCCAGCGCCCTCCCTCGAAGAATTGAACTGGCCATTTTGAACTGTGAAGGATGGAGAGAGATCGGTGAAGGTCCAAGACGGCTAGACGAGGTACATGAACAAACTTAATATGGATTGCGGCAAGCCGGGTAACCTCGGCCCATTTGCTCGGTGGAGGTTGCGTGAAGCCCGTTGCCGTGTTATCAGTGCCGACAATCATCCGCATCCGCTTATCGACCGCGTAAATTGGTCGCTGTACACCCAAGCGCGTCTCAGCTAGACGCGTGTTGGAGGGGCAGCAGCAGCAGCAGCAGCAGATTTGTGAACTGACTGGCAGTCGATAGTCGATAGCTGGAGCATTGAAGCATACAGCTGCTTGCGGTTGGCCGCCTTCGATGCTGTCGTTTCATTCGCCTTGATACCCATAGCAGCTTCACGCAGAAGACGGCCCCGATGGAGCTGGGCGACGGCACAACGGACATTGTCCATCCTGAAGTTCGGGCACACATCAGCAGCCTCGTTGCAGCGGTAGGTTCTCAAAAGAGACCACGATTACTCGAACTCCCAGGACAATCTTATCACTGACGGATCATGGTAGCTGGGAGGCGCAAGCACAGAGGACGATGGCCGATACCACCTGGGAGACGATGCGCTGGAGGTCCTCCGCGATATCAAGCGATGGATTCGCTTCTACGACGAAAAGACGAACCGCATGGATGTTGCCCGCTGCATCCACGAGGCGAACTTGATCGAGGGCGACCTGCTCCCGATCCTGGCAACATGGCCCGAAAACGCTACCGATAGCAAGTACAAGTCTCGAATTGCGCTCTCGTGCTTTGAGATCATGGTTCCGTTGACTTGGCCCATGGAGCGTGATAAGGAACGGATGACGGTCAATCACCATCGGCACATGCCTGTGTTGGAGCTTGCACAGGTTCAATACAAGAGGGCTATTATCAACTTTGACGAAGCTCGAATCCTTCATGCTGCCGTCAGGACCGCCCTGCCCTCGCTGGCACTCCCAGCTGGCGACAGAGCAGCACGCGACCAAGGTATCATCAAACTGGTGCTCTTCTTCCTCCGCAACATGGCCATGATTGCCCCTCCGCCCAATGTTCAATACGAGGGTGACGAGACGCAAATCTCGCGGTCGGCCACCATCGATGCCTTTTCATACCAAGACATATTCTTATTCCTCCTTACGTTGGCTTCAAACATGGGTGATGATTTCAGAACTGAAGACACCTCTGTCATGGAGATCATCTACCATCTCATCAAACGAGTCGACATAGAGAAACTCTTCATGACAGAGCAGCAAGTACACAAAGCAACGGCCAATGAGCTCGCGTCGCTGATGAATAAGGAATCGGCCATGCACAAGGCCTACGCTCGCAACGGCCCAACCAGACACAACCGCTTCGGAACAATGATTTGGGTCAAGCGTGAAGATGGGAAAATGTCTTCCCTTTCAGGACAAGATGCCCTTAGCGATGCCTCAACACGTAACCTGAAGATGGATAACAACAAAGTTTTCAAACCTCCTCGCAGAACAAGAAAGGAGAATAAGGACGAGAGGGACCTGGGCCCGCCGGCGAAGCTTAACGCGCGAGCAGCCGGACAGCTCCGTTCGTTCGTTGAAGAATTCCTTGACTCGGGCTTCAACCCCTTATTCCAACACGTTCGCAAGACTATTGATCGAGAGGCTTCGCACGTCATGCAGTACCACAGGAGGCAATTTTTCTACCTCGTAGCATGGTTTCTTGAAGCCGAACGGACACGAAAAAAAATGAAGAAAGGATCCGGTGACAAGGCCAATGATGAGGTATCCAGCTTTAGCCTCGTGGCGGGCGTTTTAAACCAAGAGATGTTCATCACCCTCAACAAGGCAATGCACGAGGCATATGAGTACAAGGACTGGCACGAGCTGGCTGCCGTGATGAGATGCTTCACCCAGATTCTACTCACTGTTCAAGAAATGTCGGAGAGTGGCCGAGAGGACGATGAGGAAATTGCAGAAAACGTCTTGAGTCGTCTGTTTTACGAAGAATCGACGCACGATACCATCGCCAACATAATCAGGACCTACAAGGACCAGGGATTCTACTACCTAGATGCTGCTACGGAGCTGGTTCATCATTTCCTGCGTATTCTGGAGGCATACTCAAAGCAGAATACGGATATGCAAGTTCGCTCTCGCAAACGAACACGGCAGAAGAAGAACAAGGAGCAGCAACTGCAGCAGGGTACCGAAGACGGTGCTCTAGCTGAAGAAAATGATGACTCGGCCAACGATGAGGAAGCTACAGAACGTACTTCCAAGGAACGCAAATTTGATTTTCAACGCTTCGCGGCTCGCTTTTCACCACAAGGCGTGGTGGATACGTTTGTCAAGTTTACGCGATTCTATCGCGATATGGACGATACCCAGTTGAAGCGCGTCCATCGATACTTCTATCGCCTCGCATTCAAACAGGAGATGAGCGTAATGCTTTTCCGTGTCGATATAATCCATTTGCTATACAATATGATCAAAGGCCCTGAGCCTTTGGATAAATCCTCAAACATGTACAAAGATTGGGAAGAGCTCGTAAAGCAAATACTCCGCAAGTGCTTCAAGAAGATTGAGCAAAGGCCAGAACTCATCATTGAAATGCTCTTCAGCAAATTGCAAAGCACCGCTTTCTTCCTAGAATACGGATATGAGAAGCAGACCACTTCCAAGAAGCAAGCGAAACCGGGAGCTGAACTTGTTTTCAAATACACAGAAGAGCTCGATCGGCAAATCGCCATCGTGGTTGGTGCACTGCTGGATAAGAACGAGGGAGATCATATCAGTTGGGTGAAAAGTGTTATTGCCGAAGCCGAAAGCGAGCGCCGATCCTGGGCTGCTGCTGAAGAAGCCTTGGCAACAACAGAGAATCCGTTTGAAGAATCAACAGATGCCAACGAACCCAAAGAACCAAGCAAACCTTCCCCCTTTAGTAAGTCTCTGGTGATTGTTTGTACTGTGATCATATCTAACTTTTACCTAGTTGTACGAGCTGATAGCGACGCGAGACGCACCGCCAGATTTAAGAATCCATACCTGCGTCTTCTACTGAATCTCTGCGGATTTGAACTGTTTGGGCCTGCTTCGGAGGAGACACCCGAGTCCCTCTGGGTACTCCCGGAAGATGTCACTGCTGACTTACTCAAAGATACATTGCATTATATCAACCAAGCGGAATTCAATCCACCGACATTTGACGATGGACAGCTGGCTGAGAACCAGCTAAAGAGAAAAACACTGCCCCGCAAGAAGGCAGATTTTGATGATGACGAAGGTGACGACATAGATGATGAGTTTCTATTTGAACCCGGCGGCCCGACAGCAAGAAAGGCCATCGATGAGTCAGAAAGACCTAAGAAGTCAAGAAAGAGAAGACGAAGAGATAGTCAAGTACGGGAACTAGACGACGAAGAAGTCGAAGAAAAAGCTCGCAAGCGGCGCGAGCGCGAGCGCGAAAAGGCGCGCAAGATCAAATCCGCCGTGTACGTCAAAGAAGGAGATGACGACTTTGACGAGGAGGAGGACGAAGCGTTTTTCGCTCGGGAACGCGAGATTGCCGCTCGTGCTGCAAAGGCTGCGCAGTCGGCTGTGGATCCTGAGCCGGTGAAGAAGCGGAAAGCTGTTGCGGTGCGGGTTGATAGCGATGAAGAGGACGAGGAGGAGGGCGGTGACGATGACGATGTCCTAGGCTTGACTAATGATGAGGAGGCGGAGAGTAGGGATGATGATACCCCCATGGCGGAGAGCGATGGCGACAGTAGGAAGAAGAGGAGAGTTAGCGTCGAGGATGAGGATGTTGATATGGAGGATGCTTCCAATGCTGCACAGTCTCAGCAGGTGGAAGAGAATGCCAAAGAAGATGGCGATGACGTCCCTGTTGTGACTCGCAGACCGAGGGTGCGCGGTGGCTTTGTCATAGACAGTGATGACGAGGAATAGAAAAGGGTCAGGGAAGTTGAAAAAGTGCAGATGGCAAAGGGTTATCCGTATATTTTACCATATATGTAAAGAGCATTGCGAGGAAATTTCTGGAATATGAATGACGACCGCATATTAATAGAAAAAAGAGTCGGTATCAATGGTATATCCTTTTTTTTGTATAAGCGGTATCGTAACCAAGTCTATTATATATTTTGTTCGCCAACCTGCCAATTTTTTTCATACCTAGGCAACGTGTACCAAAGATGTCCATTAATTCCACATATAGTCAATAGCCAAATCGTCATCCCGAGTATCAAAAAACTCCATCGTCTCGCATCATCAAGCAAAGCACTTTTGAGATGTATGCAGCATCATACAGGATGCTCCCTCTCCACTCTTTTATCAATACTTCTCCTCCTAGCGACCATGTTCCGTCCAGTAGGAGCTTGTCCAAGCTCTGCTAGATCCTCTTGACTCTTATGCAGAGAGCCATGGTGAACGCCCCTACGACCACGACCAGGACTGCCGCTTCGTTGAGAAGATGATGAAGATCCGCTCGCCACGGGTGTATCGTCGCTGCTCTGAATCTCATCTTGTTGACTAACACCGCCCCAAGAGCCGCCTATTCCTTCCATGATATAGTCGGAAGCAGTTGGCTCGTCGAGCACGACCAGTTCTTCTGGGAGAAAGATCCTAGGCAGGACGAGGGCGCGGACGGGGATGAGGAGCAAGATGATGATGGGGAAGCCGACGGCAGCAATGGTTTGCGTAATGGCAAAGGTGGCGCCGAACCCGACCAGCTCAACGATGACAAAGCCCCAGATTGCGGCGCGCCGCTTTACCAGTTTGAGATGTGAGCTCGCGGGAGTCAGATTCTTATCTCGGGCCAAGAAGAGCAGCTTGGCTGTGATGCCATTTGCTTGGAGGGCCTGGACGCCCATGATGAAAAATAGGCCAGCCAAAACTCCGTGAGGGACCAGATGGAGGACGACGAGAAGAGGGCCCGTCATGGTGCCGAGGGTAAGAAGGCCCTGAGCCAGGTTGGATACGCGCTGCTCAACAACGTGGGTCGCTTCAAAGGTATAGGCTCCCTTATCTTCACCCTTTTCATCGAGCTGCTTGACGGCTTTGGTGACGCAAAGAGATTCTGTGTGAAAAGGGGCTTGTGGGATCAGCCCATTGGGGAAGGGTAAGCCGAGAATGCCGGCCACGCCGGTGGTGATGCCGAGAAGGAAAAAGTCCCAGTGGAAACCAGCGGGCTTTCTCAAGGGGAATTCGCTTCCCTGCGCAATAAGAGATGACACTACGTCAATGTTAGTAACTAAATGCACGTGAGGAAGAAAGGAACAGTCTTACCATTGTGGTCAAACCAGAATAGAATAGTCAAGAGAATGGCAAATGGGAGAGCGGTGAAGATTTCTCCAACGCTCAAATCCCAGAAGTTGACGACCCATCCTCGCTCGGCCGTCGGCTCAAATGCAGTGCTGGTTGGGAGCACAGCTAAGTGAGTCTTAGACATACGGCCGATGTGAACAAATCCAGTGAAGAAAACGAGAGTCAACGGTGTTCCGTAGTCCTTAAGGAAGACACGAACTGGGTGTCTGAAAAGACTACTGCCTCCCAGTTCCCCACAGATATAAGCAACCATGAAGAGCAGCAGCGCCGCCACAATGGAGAGGTAGAAGGCACTCCCATCGCCAAGACGCTCTAGCACTTGGATGCCCTTTTGGAGATAGATGAAAGCCACGTAGAAGCCAAAGATGTCGCAGGGGAATCGCGTAACCCAGCGAAGCCAGTTGCAGGAGTTTGTAATGGCAAGGATCCAGTGCAGAATCAGAGACCATCTACAAGGGGCAACGAGTCAATGATTTGTCAGTATTTGAGTCTCGGGGAGACATGAGGGCTTACATTCCGATCCAAGTCATAAATCCAAGGTAATTGACACCAGTTGGTTTCATGATGTCATAGACTGTACTGTTGAACACAGTGATGGGGCCTGTAGAATGTCATGTTAAGTACATTATACCATGCAACTTACATGGGTAACATATAGCAGACTTACCAGTGACCCCAACAATGACGAGCGGCTGAGCAGAAAATATGGAAAAGACTACGGAACCCAGGACGGAGGCCAGCAAAACTTCATTAACACCATAGTTTGATCCAGTATTCTGAAACATGTCCAGAGAGAAGGCAAGGGCGGGCAGGATGCTGTTCACGGCACGGGTTAGCTAATGCTTTCACGAGACTTTCATCAGTCAATGAGGAGAATCCATAGATACCACATACTTGGCAAAATACATGAAGATGGTGGCGGGCACAACCCGATAGTCCCACGCGTCGAGCCAGTCGCTGACATAGTAAGGCGCTCTCCGACGAACATCGTTGACCATGCCACGGAAGGGATGGATGCTCCACCAGGCTTCGTGACGCCGCTTTGATGTCGACGTCGATGCTCTGTCGTCTCTCGTCGATGATGCTATCGTCGCCGTGACTGGCACCTCTTGGCCTGATGCCGCTCGAAAGATGGGCGTCGCTCCATACCCACCGTCTTCACCAGTCACTCGTCCTCCGTCGCCAGAATTCGCCATTGGGGCCGTCATGGTGAGCTGGATTCTCGATGACTGCAGTCTCGCCGTGTGCCGTCAGCTCTGATTCTCGGGACAAGACACGCCGAGACAGAAGCCCGGGTTCTCAGGAAGAGCTGGCTGGCTTCTTCGCAGAGCTGTGGAACGGGTCGAAACGTCAAGCCGGGTATGGGCGTCTCCTCATAACAGAATCATCGAGACGGCGGAAACACTCGAGACAGCGTGACGAGGAAAGCAAAAGAGACAAAAACCGGTATACGAACAACGATTTTATTATGGATGGATCCAACAAGGGAGTCATGTCAACACCCCCCTGGCCAAGGCAAAAGACAGATCCGCCACTGCAACTAGCTCTAGAGGATTAGCAGCAGAGGAGAAGGACAGTGGAGATGTAAGAAGATGAATTCCAATCCTTTTCCCCCATCCCCGCTTGTTTGATAAAGGGAAGTAGAAAAGACCCTGCCTCTTTATTTTCTGGGTTCCTTCTCTTTTCCCATTTTTTTTTCTCGGGAGGCTAGATCCAGATTCGAGATCGGAGGGAACCAGCACTAACACCGCCTATGACATCGCACACTGCACACGTTGGATGAAACACTGCCCGACTGGGTTTAGACGGCCGTGGTGTGTCGTTACCGCATTTGGCCCCCACATATGGGAGTGAGTGAGCTTTTGAACTTTATACCGAGAACAACTTGGTAGGCATTGACGAACGAAATGAGTTGGAGTAATAGAGCATTATTGCATCTAGATAGATGGACTGATTGTCTCCTGTATATCTTTGAACTGGCCTGATATTAGAGTTTCGAGACACACAAACAATGTGATTCCAGGAGCACCTTGTTGATAAGCGGCCTGGAGGCAGCCAGTCTAATATATCACAAGCATCAGCAACCCATCTTACTTTACCCTCACCATAAGATGCCAAACCAACCCAAAGCAGCAATAACCACATCCAAACTGATGCCTCATAGCAAGTCATCTCTACCAATTACCCCATGGCAACTTCATTCCTTCCCCAAGCCTCACTGTGCAACTTTCTTTCTCAACTAGCATCAGCCGTCAGCGCCAAACGGCCATTTTTGTATAAATCGCGGCTCCAAGAACTTTTGCCACCAACCAGCAAACAAGACGCCTCACACAACATGCTCATTTTACTCGCTGCACGGAACTTTTTACTCTGTTGTGTAACCAAAAGATATATTAGACACCAGACAGAGTTCGTGTAAAGGTACTACATACAAGTTCTCCTACGGTGTATGATAACCTGCGGCTCTTGGCAGAATCCCTGGCCAAAAAAAAATCCACATATTCGCCTAATCCCAAGCACACTGGCAACGTCCAATCATCCCACAAACGATCTCTTTTTCCTCCATCATCCCAGACGCAAAATTATCCAAATTCGGAGCTCTGCATTCAAGGCATCGCCACTTTGGGGCTCCATAAAGCCCTGTCAAGCCTGTCTTTGTGTTGCCCGTCGCCCGTTTTAGCGTCGTCAGTGGTAGGAACTTTCCCGGCCAATCATGTTTCGTCCCTCCCCGGGCATGTTCGTCCCTTGCGTTTGCAAAGCTTCAGGACAATTACAATGCGAACGACAAGCCAATGAATGGTATGATATCCGCCTTATCGTGCGTCTGCTTGGTGATGGAAGAGGCTTGAGGTGGTGTAGCCTGTGTAAATCAATAGGCTATCTGTCGGTCATGTCTTTCACTTTTTACCCCTCCAACTGCGAAGTTGTTTCAATGGCATGCTCACGGCTTATACCTGATATTATTCATCATCATCAAATTCCCTTCTTCGTTTTGAGCCGGATGGCGCTCTTCTACTTGATTTCCTGATCCCTACCAATACGTCTACAGTTCTAAATCCAGATACGAGTACACAGTAATGTTCAATAAGCCCCTGCCACCCTTTTCCTTACCCGCTAGTTTCCCCCATATGATGATAAATAAGTACATGCAGAGGGGATTTTTAGCATCCCCCTTGCTCGTGGTAGAGTTGAGACTCGTAAAAAATTAAACACAGGCTGCCATCGTTGGCCACAGGTTTAGCGGATGTTGATTCCCGCTCCATTGGCGAAGATGTAGCAGCCAATCCGGGCTTGTCGAGAAGTTCCCGGCAGTTCCCCCATCATAGTTGGCTTCATGAAGTACAATATTTCCGCCTTGATCAGACTTTCTCTCCCTTTGTTCATTGCAACTGTACATGTCCCCTCGCGGCCCGTCATCTTACATAACACCACCATCACCCCCTTCAGTCGTCTGTCAGCTTCCGGAAGGCGGGCGCGGGCGCGGGCGGCTCTTCCTTCGGTGTGTCAGTCTCGGTCGGGAAAGGTGGCGGGGAGCTGGCCTCTTTGCCTCCGAAGAATTTCTCAAAGTCCTCGTTGTCGTCAAACGGTCGCTTGCCAAGGATTCGCACCATGTCGTCGCGGGAGAGCACCTCCTTTTTCAGCAGTTCTTCCGCAATCAGGCCGACTTCCGTCTTCTTCTCTACCAGAAGGTTTCGGCACCGGGTGTAGGCTTCCTCTACTATCCGATGCACCTCTTGGTCGATTTGCTGGGCCGTGGCCTCGGCGAACGGCTTCACCATGCGGTTCGGATCGTTATCAAAGTGGACGGGTCCAACCTTGTCCGACATGCCCCATTGGGTTACCATGCTGCGTGCCATTTGCGAGACCTTCTTGAAGTCATCGCTAGCGCCGGTCGTTACTGTCGGGAAGTGCAGCTCTTCAGACACACGGCCTCCCATGGTCATGGCCATTCGGTCCATCAGTTGGTTGGTGTTCATCAGGTAAGCGTCCTGGGGAAGGTATTGCGCATAGCCCAGGGCACCCTGACCACGGGGGATAATGGAGACCTTCAGGAGAGGATCCGCATATCTCAAGAACCAACCACAGATGGCATGTCCAGCCTCGTGATAGGCCACTGTCTTCTTCTCCTCCGGCCTGAGCACCAAAGACTTGCGTTCCAAGCCTCCGATGACTCTCTCAATGGCTCGCTCGAAATGTATCATCTTGACGTCGTCCGCGTTCTCTCTCGCGGCTGTTTCTACCGTCAGTATTGAATCTCCCAAACAGGCATTGTGCTACGGTTTTAGGGGCTTACCAATCAGAGCTGCTTCATTTACGACATTGGAGATGTCTGCACCGGAGAAGCCAGGGGTCAAGGTGGCAAGTCGGCCAATGAGGTATTCGTGGTCTTCCTTGGTGACAATCTTCTTAAGGTAAACCTGGAAGATCTCTTGTCGTCCCTTCATGGTGGGTCGGTCGATGTAGATGTGCCTATCGAAGCGGCCAGGTCGCATCAGTGCCTTGTCCAGTATATCAGCACGATTGGTGCCGGCCAAGACGACGACCTGCTCCCTCGTGTTGAATCCGTCCATTTCCGTAAGAATCTGGTTAAGCGTAGCCTCACGCTCGTCGTTGCCGCCGAACCCACGGCCGCTCTCCTGTCGGGCACGACCAATAGCGTCGATTTCGTCAATAAAGATAATGCAAGGTGCATTCTTTCGACCCTCCGCGAACAAGTCTCTCACACGAGAAGGACCAACACCAACAAACATTTCCACGAACTCAGATCCGCTCACGCTGAAGAAAGGCACACCGGACTCTCCAGCAGTAGCCTTGGCGAGAAGAGTCTTTCCTGTTCCTGGTGGGCCGGCGAGAATGGCACCTCGAGGAATCTTGGCACCCAGCTTCTCAAACTTCTCGGGCTGCTTCAAGAAGCTAACAAACTCCATAATCTCAGTCTTGGCTTCCTCCAGCCCGGCAACGTCGCTGAACTTGACCTTGACCGCACTCTCAGCGTTGAATTTTTTGGCCTTGCTTTTTCCAAAGTTGAACATGCCTCCAGCACCCCCTGCTCGTCCACCCATAGATCTCTGTGTCCACAAGATCAAGCCGATAAAAAGGAGAGTTGGTCCAAATGCCAGGACCAAGTTACCAACGGTGCTACCACCTGCCTCATAGCTGACAGGTATCCTCTCAGACGGTGGAATGCCCAGTTGGTCCTGGGCTTCCTCCAGCTTCTTCTCAAACGACTCAACGGATCCAATTGAGAAGATATAAGTTCTTTTGGCTCCAGATCCATCGGTCGTTCCCTGGACAGCATCGGGATGTAATTCCACGCGCACTTGAGACCCATTGACTACTACCAGCTTCTGCACAAGGCCCTTGTCCAAAAAGGCCTTGCGCAGCTCCTGCCAGGTAATTTCTTTCTCGGAGAAGGGTCTGCTAAACGATTCGATAGCCCAAAGCGTAACACCAAGCACAAGACCAGTCTGGAGGGCGTCCATCCACGAGTTTCTTTCGGGCTTGGGTGACTTGGGGTCAGATCCTTGCTGGTTTGAATGTGATTCGCCAGACGCCTTGTGAGATCGATTGGCGTCTGCTCCCCTCTCTCCATCCTTATGGTCGTTCATCTCAGGGTTGTTCTGGTCAAACATGCCTCCCTTTCCTTGCTGCTGCTGTTCAATTTCCCATTCTGCCACCCGTTCGGCCATGATGAAGACGCATCGCATCAGCCGTCCCTTGTCCATTATCGACAAGTTGCCAGGTCCCTGGCGCATCTTGTGTAATAGCTCACGTATTTCGGCCGGTGCACCAGTATGCTGAAGCCCCACCAGGATGTCCTTCAACGTCTGCCTTTGGCCTTCGGGAAGCATCTCCTGGAATGCCTGAAGCTGAGTTATCTCCTCTTTGGATAGGCGAATCCAGCCCTCTGGCAGAGGCGGCAGAGGCACCTTTGGTGATTCTGAACCGCCCTCTGACTCTGGCTTTGCGCCCGCATCATTGTGGTTGATCGGCTTCTCTGGGCCGGTGTTTTTGTTCTCATCGGGATGCGGGGGTTTGGAGGAGTAGTATCGCGGGAGAAGGCCGTAGGGTGTCGGCAATGCTCGGAGAGACACCGCTCTGGAGCCGGCGACGAGTCTCTGTGTTCTCTGTAAGCTCACGCTGTTTGAGAATCTCGCCAGCCGCGCGAGCTGGCTCGACTGCCGAAGATATCTTGACATGGTGGAGGGCGGCGGGTTGTGGTTGTGGTTTGCGGCGGATCCGCCGGTCCTGGGTCAATGACGAGGGAGAAGTGCAAGTTTGTCGCACTCGCTGCGCAGGATTGCGCTTGATGGCTCCGGGTTCGCTTTGTCAGGAAATCGACATGCGCTGTGAGAAAAATGCAATGCTCCAACGCCACTGCGGACTTGTTCTAGATGACACCACGAGATTGAAGCCTGCCGGCGGGCGGTCCACATTAAGCCCGAAATTTGTACGGAGTCACGTGCGGAGTTCGGAGCGATGCAGGATAGCCTCGGAGGATCGGGGTTCCGCCTGGGAGAAACTCCGTGCTCTACTTCTTCCAGATTCTATGGAGTGATGTGATGTGATCTCTAATACTAATGTTTTAATAATAATTACATCTGCTCATCGTGATGGTCAAGCTCCCTTTCTTCATGTCAATATTTCTATATTTAGAATTTAACGGTCATGATGAGCAAGTATCAAACGAGGTGAAATGAGAGAGGACTCGTATGAAAGTCAGACGTCCAGTTTGATCAAGATGGATCGTATGTTGCCACTGCCCTTGGTTGACACAAGTCGACTGCTTCCATCATCCATTGTTATTTTCAACGGATATTCTTCATCGTGACTTGATGCTGAATCTGGCCAATCTCGCCAGACTTCTACATGTGAATTGGTGGAAAGCTTGTGTTGGAGAAATCGCGATATGACCCGAAGTGCCTGCATCTCATCACCAACCTCTAATAGTATCACTTTTGGCTTGAGGTTGTATGCAATGTTTAGCAATCGGGAATAAAAGACGTCTTCGTGCTCCCAATTTTCAGGAATTGAAATGTCGGTTCCTGGGACCAAAGCTAGAGACGGCTCGTATTTGCGAACGGAGTGTCCAATGTGGCCACCTCCATGATACCACACTCGCCGGGAGATGTACGGTGGATTAGATACCATAACATCCCAGGTACGTCCTTGAAGTTTGTCTATGAGTTCGTCCTGAAAAATGTCTTGTTGTAAAATGTTGAGGGTACGTTGTGGCCGAGGGTGTGGAAGATGGCCAAGCTTAACATTATGACCAATGTTGTCTCTGGAGACACTGACAGCTTGAGTAGAAATGTCCACTCCAAGGACCTCCAGGTGCTCAAACTTCCGATGGAGCAAAGAGTAAAGAAGTAGAGGTATACATCCCGTTCCTGTGCAAAAATCGACAATTCCGAGGCGCTGGTCCGGCTCGCCAGCCCTAAAGCTCCCAGCCTTGATCAATTCAGCCAGGTGATAGGTATACGCCTCGGTCTCGGGCCTAGGTATCAAGACGCCAGGACGGCATTTGATATCCAGTGGCCCAAACGGTTGAGATCCCAAGATGTATTGCAAAGGATAGCCTTGGCCTCTTTTTCTGCATAACCTAGAGAGCAAGTTTTCTTTGCCGGCGCTTGCAGTGCTGTTGACATGTTCTTTAAGCCATCGGAATTCATTCATGGCCGATTGGAGGTCTCTGCATGCCGGGAGCAGTGCAGCAATGTTGGCTGAGCGACGGCTGGCCTTGCGGAAGAGCCATGGCGGGATTCGCGACATTGGCCTTGTTATTGCTGAAGGGAAAAGGCAACATCATACAAATGCAGACGATGTGTGGCTAGGTACCTCAGGCTCTGCCAAAACGGTCTACTAAATGTCACCCAAATGGCCGTTAAAAATCGTATTTACCTAGGTATACAACGCATGCAGAGTAAATAAGAATTCGCATCAAAGAATGAATGATTGATGTCTCGTATTATGGCAACTCTTTCCCAATTATTTAAGATTTTTTTCCAGAGGTAATAGAGCTGGGTGGCATAATTGCTGCACTAGAAAATTCGCTGTAGTATTATGCTGCCATTTTCTTAGCGCTTCTAGTGGACTAAGCCATAGCCGGCCTTTAGCCGGTCTGCTCAGTCTCTCATACTCGCCGCTCATCCTTTAGTATCACTCTTAATCTATCCGATATTCATACCACTTTTTGGAACCGATATCGTCAAAGCCCTTTTGGATTACTTTTGCCCGAGTTTTGTTTTTTGGATTATCAGAGAATCATTGTCCCCAACGGCTTGCTCTAATCCTGCGCTCGTCTAATATCGCCATCTATTTCCGCGGCCAGCTTGACAGCATTCCCCCCTGGTCGTGCAACTTGCCCCGAGATTTCATTCAACGCGTCTCCAGATATACCTTCAAGCCTTCACATTTAAATATCCCCATTCTATCAAGATGAACGCACCAGATCGGTAAGTTTACTGTTTTTGCCATTGGACTTCCCGTTGATGCCGTTTTCCTTCGATACCCTTCTCGAGTCACCCAGGCTGTGGCCAAGGCTCTCCTTCAGCTGGGAATCATCATGCACGGATACAGATGCCTAATAGCCAAGGGCACGGCATAAATCGTCGACTTCTGGGCTGTTACTGAAGCCACGGATGATTCATCTTATATTGAGCTGTGCGCATGTTGTTGTTGCTGTTGCAAGTGCACGCTCAGCATCAATGCCTTTCGCCTGCTGCATTCTCAATCTACGCTTGCCGTCTGCCCCAACCTACAAAGCCACCTTCCTGGCAGCTGTCAATTTGGCAGCTGCCTGCATCTCACCCTTTTCACCCTTTCCACACTTTCCATTCTTCTGTTCAATCTGTTGAACGTCGCTTCACCCTCACCAGCACCCTGTCACTTCTACCAGGCACCAGCGAAAATGGCGGGATGCAATACCAAGCATGACAACCTCCAGGACAACCCGTTGCGTTTCCCCCTGCTGCAAACTATCTCCATTTCTGCGTTTGGTTAACGATATGCTGACTTTGAACCAGTTTCGAGCTCTTCTTGCTCGGCGAGGGCGAAAAAAAGATTGAAGAAAAGGTTTACTCTGGTTGGTGACCGATATCCCACCTTGGGCTTGAATGAACCTAACGCTTCTCCACAGGCATGTCTAACACCTCAGACTTTGTCTTGAAGAAGGAGGACCACACGCTGGGTAATCTGCTCGCCGAGCATCTCAAGGCACACCCAAATGTCTACATGGCCGGGTATAAGAGTAGGCTTTCAATTCAACTGGGGTCGGGGTTAATCATGCTGACCAGGATGAACAGTTGCTCACCCTAATGTTCCTGAGCTCTACATCCGTGTGCAGACAGACGGAACCATTTCGCCTCGTGACGTTTTTACGTCAGTGTGTGAAAAGCTTATCAACCAGCTCGAGATGTTGTATCAAGAGTTCACCCGCGAGTGGGAGCTAAGACGAATCACCAACACCGGAGACCAAGGGAACACCAATGGCCATTAAGGAATACCATCGAGTCGTCTCATAGTCAGGCGTTACAGGAACAGGAAATTGGGCTTTGCATTTCGGCTTCATTTGGACCAGGGAAAATGAATTTAATTTGTGTTATTGTAACAGAGAGTATGCATCCAAAGATAATGCAGAACAGTCTCGATACTGGCTATCCTCTAATAATCGGAAAGTAGAATTCCACTGTTACTAGATCCTACTGAGTAACAACTCTGTCGAAAGATGCGTGACACACGCGTAATAAGCCGTCAGGGCGTGGCGTTGGTTGCGATGAGCCGGCATGTACTTGGACATGCCGTTCGTTGAGACTTGGGTTTCTCAAGCCGCGGCACCAACTGGGCCTTCACCTCCGGGAATCAGCTGGGGAAAAAGTGTCAGTCCATCTAGCGTATCATTGGACTAGGAGATGATGGGTTTACCATGCAGATATTGTTGCCGTTGAGCAGAATTTTGGGAAGCTTTGTGTGGTTTCCAGAGTAGTCACTACAGGTGAAAACGTGGTCAATACAGCCCCAGATCCAGAGTAGAGGCCAGCGGAGACTTACAATTCCGTCACATCCTCCAACACCATGTCTTGAATACTGTTAGATGAAGTTGCAGGCTCCTGTTGAGAAGGGCGTCTACTTACTGACATAATCATCAAAGCCCAGGAGCGTGCCGCTGAACTCTGTCCAAAGTGTTAATCCTGCAGCGCGAGCTCGTGACAGGACCTGGCGCTCTCACCTTTATCTCCCTTCATGACGACCCATATCCTTGACCCGACACACTTGTCGATGAGTTCTGCAGCGGAGTGTCAGTCAGCTGCTGAACCCAGAGCTCGGGGAATATGGACATGGGGCCCGAAGCAGATGAACTCACCGAGGGGTAGCAGCTGTGACGCCATCCTGGAAAGGGCTTTTGCTCTGTTACGTTTACGACGTGGCAAGAGTAATCTCCGACACTAGAAGTATGAAACAAAGATTCGCACAAGCTTAGATATCAGCAGCCCTGGTACAAGACGGATCCAGCCTGCTCTCTCTCTCTCAGTTGAAGTCGTTCCCAGGTCTGCAAGTCTGGTGGGCTGGCGCTAAGCAGAAGCAGAAGCAGAAGCAGCACGAACAACGCAAAATGCCTGGCCCCCACATTGGCACGAGGCTGACTAAGGGCATCTCGGCCTCCAACGCCGTTTGTCCCTTGTCCTTCAAACTGCAACTAAGCGCGCTGAGACGTGATGGCTGCCTTGGCGGCCAATCACCACGATTCAGAGACTCAGCTCCCCGGCTGCGTCAAACCCTCCCTGGAGCCCCGTGGTGCGATCCTAATGGCCTGTTCGGAGCATTTGCAGCTGCTGAACGAAAGCCCTGCTCATGTGCCGTCAAACTGCGGAGGTACATGCATTCGTGCATAGCTGTGTCTACTGAGGTATACTACTTAACGCGCCCTCCTCCGCTCCAGGCATGCATCCGTGTCTGTCTGCGCAAGTGCTCGGTTCCTGCAGAGCTTCCTTGGTCAGAGCTATGAGCTACCACCATTCGAGCCAGCTCTGGAGCTCCCAGTTCGGCGTGCGCTTTGGAGCACTTGCAAACGTGCGCCAGGAACCAACATCTTCCACGTCTCTTCATACTTCTACCCTGGGCGGTGATGAGATCCGTACCGACAGCCCTGTAAATCCAGCCGAAATCGGCCTATACACGACGGATGTTGCCCAAGATCCGTTGCCTTCGTTTCCACGCTCAAGAAGTCCTCGGCGAGCGCCCATTGCTCTCCCTCTCCCGCCACGCCCAACAGACGCTCAACGACCACCCATCGCTCTCCCAGATCCAAATGTCGCAACCAGCTCAAAAGACGCGAGCTCAAAAGAGAGCGCCGCGGCTCCTGCCGCTGACAAGAAGAAGATTGTCGTCGAGCCACCGTCGACTTCACTAGAGTTCAGCATCTCCAAGAAGGAGTTTCTTGCTGCCCGCGCTGCCATCCCTGGCACTCCCGAGGCTCACTGGTCATATGCCATGTACCACCGAGCTGGCGAGAATGGAAAGGTCGATAATGTCAAGGTCCATTATTGTGAAAATAAGGCTACCACGGAGCGGGTCTGTAACGAGTATTTCCTAAACGAAGATGTCATCGGCCTTGACCTGGAGTGGATGAAGTTCGCAAGGCGGACGGACGGGCCGCGGCAAAACGTCTCTCTAATCCAGATTGCAAGCCCTAGCCGCATTGCCTTGATCCATGTCGCAGTGTTCACAGAGAAGGAGGACTTTCTAGGGCCGTCTTTCCGCAGGATAATGGAGAATCCCAACGTGAGCAAAGTCGGCGTCAACATCATACCGGATTGCACGCGCCTCAAAAACCACCTCGGCGTCACTGTTCGGGGCGTCTTTGAGTTGAGCCATCTCTACAGGGTCGTCAAGTATCTGCCACAGACGCCTAACCTGGTCCACAAAGGGCTGGTAGCACTGGCTACCCAAGTTGAAGACCAATTACTGCTTCCTTTATACAAGGGAGATGCAGTCCGAACCGGAAATTGGATGAGACGGCTCAGCTCGCAACAAATCAACTGTAAGATAGACCCCAATGTGCCATTTGGCCATGTATGCTTTTGAATTCACGTTGCTAATGAGTTTGCAGATGCTGCGTCGGATGCCTATGCCGGCCTTCAGCTTTACTACGTGCTAGAGGAGAAACGAAAGGCCCTCGTGCCTTGCCCTCCTAGACCGCATCATGCGGAACTGCGGCTTCCTATTCCACTTCCAGCTCCTCCAGCTGTTGAGAAAAAAGAAGATGAAGATGCTACTGTAGTGGACCAGACAACGACAACAACAACAACAACGACAATAACAACAGCAGCAACAGCAACAGCAACAACAACTTTTGTAAATACAACGGCTTCCGCATATAAACGCAGAACCTACAAGCCTAGAGATCCTAAGCCGGAAGACCCCAATCCTATAGACTCCAAGCCCAAAAGGGAACTACCAAACACTCCTTCATCAAAACTTCCAGCCTCGGAAGCTTCAGCATCGGGTGATTCAGCCCCAACGGTCCCCAAGGCCAAAAGACAACGCCCGCCAAAACCCCCCGACACTAGAGACGCGCGGGTCATTGCAGCCGAAGCTGAGATGAAGGCGTACAACGATGCGTACACTGCCGCCAACTCGACCTGGCCCGCCACCACCCCGGTCCGCATCAGGGCGTACTACATCTGGTACCGGAATGAGGATCTTTGCCCTGCCGATATCGCTGCGCTCTTGCGAGATCCGCCGCTGCTGACCAGCACCGTTGCCTCGTATATCGTAGATGCGATACAGACCGAGAAGTTTCCTTATCCGTTGGTCAGGCTACATAAAGAAGTGGTGTGCCACATAGACCCCGAGAAGCCGTACATGCTCAAATACAAGTCGTTTTGCGAGGAGTGTTCAAAGGCGGTCAAGCTGAACGGAGATGACGAGGAAACGAAGCAAACGGAAGCGAAACCAGACGTACAGATATAGCAAACGATAGACATAGCGTGTAATTAATTACTGGTAGCCTTGGTATATTCAAATTTGAGACGGATTCTAAAAGAAAACAGTATCTATGAAGCTAGCAGCCCGTTACCCCGATTGATCTGAACCTTTTTATCCTCTCCTCCGCTTACAATGCCCCACGTCTTGTCCCATGCCACGCTCAGCACCTTGGCGCCGTCTCCGGCTGGTGGCAGCTTCTTGCCCTTGAGCCACTCTCTTCCGATGGTGTAGACTGGCTCGCTGACGCTGCCGCCGCCCTCTTCGGACGACGCGAGCCGGACGCTACGCAGATCCCACACGCGGCACGTGCTGTCGTGCGAGCCGGACACGAGCGAGTAGTCGTTTTCCGGGGAGGCAGCCACCGATACAACCATGTTGACGTGGCCTCGAAGGGTCATGGCGGCGGTTGCGGCAGCAGACTCTCGGGGGTCCAGCAGGGTGATGTGTCGTGCCGAGGAACCAGCGGCTACCAGTGACGCACCAGGCAGTGCCGTCGCGCAGAGAATGGGGTGCATGGTGGTGAGGCGGGATACTTCTTTCTGTGTTGTGAGATCAATCGTCTTGACTGTGTGGTCCAAGGACGCAGAGTAAGCGACGGTCGAGTCCTTGGGATGGAAGATGGCGGCTGTGACTGCCTCCTCGTGCAAGGGGATCATTGCCAGCGGCCCGCGCTGGGCGGTAGAGCCGGCGTTGGACAGCTTGGCTCGCTTCGTGCTGTGAGCGGAGGGGAGGGATTCGGGGTCGGCCTGGGGCGCCGTTCGTTTGGAGGCGGACCACAAGCCAACGCGACCATCTGAAGAGGCTGTCAGGATGCGCCGGGTAGAGCCGTTGACATCAATGCCGTTAATGTTCTTGCCGTGGCCCCAAAGTTCCATGTTGGGCTTTAGAGTTCCAGAGAAGCCATCGTCCGCTTCCTTGTAGTCCCAGACGACGACTTTTCGATCCAAGCCAGCCGCCGCCAGCTGGGTCGGTGACAGCCATCGCACAGCGTTGATGCGCTGGGTGTGTCCTTCGCCTTTACCACCGGCAGAGACGGCAATTGCCGTTCCTGAGGGGTTCCAGATCCTCACAAGCCCATCGTAAGAGGCACTGGCAACCCGCTCATTCACAGCAGCATCCCCAGCCAGCAGACCGGCGGGAGAAGTTGACGACAGGACGTCGACACCGCTGACCCAGTCGTCATGCTCAAAGCTGGCTTCGTAAACTGGAGGGAGAAGACTGCGAACGTATTGCAGGGTCAATGTTGTTTCCTGAGACAGGCCATTTGACTTGAGGTATTCTTCAATGCTCGTTTTCAGAAATGTGCCGTTGGCGAGGAAATCGAGAGGGACCGGCGATGAAGTGTCCAGCATCGACTCGGAGTTTAAGATGCGAGAGAGGCCATAGCGCTTGATATCTGGGATATGTTAATAAAGACTCATCCTCGTGTCTATCTATGGCGGTTGGGAGTGAAAAATCTGGCGAGGGAACCGACCTGCTGGTACGAGCAGTTGTCTCTTGGACTCTGGGAGGACGAGGTCTTCCTCGCTGGTGGTGAAGACGACCTTCACCTGGGCAGATGAGGCGTCCATTGTGGTAAAAGAAGAATTACTTTATACGCTCAGAAGATTGGTGAACGTGTGGCTTAGATGCCCTTGATATTTCAGCTGATTAGGGACCGTGCTCGTCGAACGGTCACTTTGATGCGAGTTGCTGGTAACGGCTGGTGCACATGTAGGCTAGAGAAATCTCAAAAAATTTTGGAAAATGCAGCGCAGCCTCGTGAGTAGTGGACCCACTGCGGGGTGCACTGTCGAAATCAGAAGCCAATTAGAGCCGAGGTAGCGCAAGGCTGAACAGGCGCCCTAATGCACACTAACCTGCATCTAGACCGCCTGGTCGATGCTCTAAGATGCCACAACACATGGAGCAGAGACATACTCGTATGTCCGACCAGTGGTCAGAAAGTAGCTGAGGAGAATCTGTGGACCGTCAGGTTGTGTTAGCCGCTTTGGATTGCCTATCCTTGTTCTCTGGGAAACAATCTTGATAAAAAGATCCCCACAAGAGATAGAATAACCATCCTTGCCATCCCTTGCATGCCCAACTAACACGAACAGAGAGTCGTTGATAAGCACCATACGTCATCTCTGGAGCTTCGAGGACATATCCAAGGAGCAGACAATGTCTGGGCGTACACAATGATGCGAGTCTTTGTCATTGCAATGCCGTTTGGCGTCACCGCCTTGCAATTGAGTATTGAATACCACCCAAGCGACAATGGGATGCGGAGGATATGCAACTCGGGCATGGCTCCTCTCCCATTGGGGATCTTGGGGACCAGCAACGTGGAATAACTCGTGGCAGAGTCCAAGATATCCATGGTAAATGTCCGTCCAGATGCAAAACACCAGCCAATCCGCATCTCTCATCACATAACCTCGATCAGCTCCCCCGCAATCCATGGCGTCATCCCCACACTGCTAAGGTAGTGCACGAGGCCAGTTTGGCACCTCACCACCCGCGGTTGGCTTGCGGCGACCCGCTGGATTGGAGAAGACGAGTGGTTTGTTAATGCAGGGACACTTGAGGTCGTTGCTTGGTGCCAGTTGAGAGGGGGACGTCAGCGGCTCTGGCTTGTGGGCGGTGATGCTGAGAGGCGCTGCGTAGCGGGCCGAGGAACCATGCAAGCCCGGGGAAGACAATGGTGAGCTTTGGACGAGGAACCGGAAGAATCAAGGTAAAACAACGGTTGGAGGAGAAAAGACGAACAGCGGCATAAATCAATCCCGTGCAATTAATGCCATGCACGCACAAAAGCAGCCCTTAGGTAAGCTTGCGGCCTGATTCCAGACGTCTTCTCCCGATGATGCGCATGCGTCAAAACTGCAGACGCAAATCGCGTACATGAACACGCAGCCGTGGTCACTGCTGTTAGTGGTTTGGCCGGCATGGCTAGCATTGCGCTATCCCCAACCCCAGACCCACCGCCGACAGAGGTCTCCACTTTCTATGTAGCACCCCTCCAAAGCTTCAGTCCAAGTCCCTCATCAAGTTTCTTCTCCCCCTCTCGGCCTGACTTGTTTCTGCTCTTCCCGCGCATCCCACGGCCTCAGATTCAGCTTCCTCAGCCCTTGGATCCTCACGAGCCCGTTGCCCAGCTTCACGGGCCCAGCCATTGTTTGCCTCGCTGCCCGCGCTCACTCACCACTCGCAACAACAGCGTCCCGTCTAAGCTCCAACGCCACCTCAAACCCAGAAGCTCTACTACTACCTACTAGCACTAGGTAAGTCATCACACCACAATATCTCGCACCGAAATTCGGCCCAACTAACCAAAAGTTTTTTTTTCTTCGCCTCTCATGATAGTCGCAAGCATTTTCGGTTCGTCTTGTCACCTCCTGATGCTTTTTAAAACGTCCGAAAGCTTACAAAACTCAGCGCAGTCTTCCTAGCTTGTGCAGCCCTTGCGCAGCCCTAATCCATACGTCATCTGGATTGTCGGCCCGTGGCACAGGCCTCTTCGCCGGAGCTCTTCCCCCAGGGTCAACCAGCAACCTCTCGCGACATTTCTACGGTCCAGGACGACGAAATGGCCTCCAACGGAAACCCCGTTCGCGATATCAAGAACCACCTGCTCTTTGAGATTGCTACGGAAGTGGCTCATCGAGGCAAGTCGCATCCTGCCCTCTGGCGATTATGTCACCATATGGCCCTCCGCGCCCGTTCCTGCCCAATGTCGGCCCAGATCAAGAGCTAACTCATTTATTGCCTCACAGTCGGTGGTATTTACTCGGTCCTCAAGTCCAAGGCTCCAGTGACTACGGCTGAATATGGCGATCGATACACCCTTATCGGTCCCCTCAACCACCAATCGGTGCGCCCTCTACCTTGCAAGAATTAATTAATAGCTCAAAATTGGGCACCAACTGACGAGAAACAGGCCGCAGTCGAGGTCGAAGAGATGGAGCCCACCAATAAGGAGCTTGCCGCCACCATGCAGACCATGAAGGATCGCGGAATTGGCATGCTCTATGGCCGATGGCTCATTGAGGGAGCCCCCCGGGTTCTTCTCATTGATACCAAGACGGCTTACAACTTTGTCAATGAGTGGAAGTCGGACCTCTGGTCGGTTGCCAGCATTCCGTCCCCACCTGATGACGAGGAGACCAATGAGGCTGTTGTCTTTGGTTATCTGGTGGCGTGGTTCCTTGGAGAGGTAAGCATCCGTCGATACCCCAGTCCCGTGTAGTTGTCATAAGCTTTTCCCTGTCTCTGCTCCTCAGCGTCTGATTGGCCGCCGCTAACATGCAAGCACTAGTTTGTATGCCACGAGAAGGAAAAGGCCGTCATTGCCCACTTCCACGAATGGCTGGCCGGTGTTGCTCTGCCCCTAACCAAGAAGAGGCGAATTGATGTTACGACCATCTTCACGACCCATGCCACTCTCCTGGGACGATACCTCTGCGCCGGCTCGGTTGATTTCTACAACAACCTCCAGTTCTTTGACGTCGATGCCGAGGCGGGAAAGCGCGGCATCTACCACCGGTATTGCATTGAACGAGCTGCCGCTCATTCGTGCGACGTCTTCACAACAGTCTCTCACATCACCGCTTTCGAATCAGAGCATCTCCTGAAGCGAAAGCCCGATGGCGTCTTGCCCAACGGTCTCAACGTTACCAAGTTCTCGGCGGTTCACGAGTTCCAAAACCTGCATCAGCAGGCCAAGGAGAAGATCCATGACTTCGTGAGAGGCCACTTCTACGGCCACTATGACTTTGAGCCGGAAAACACTCTGTACTTCTTCACTGCCGGACGCTACGAATTCCGAAATAAGGGAGTCGACATGTTCATCGAGTCTCTTGCGCGGCTCAACCACCGACTCAAGGCGGTCAACAGCAAGATGACTGTTGTCGCTTTCATCATCATGCCTGCCCAGACCACATCGCTGACCGTTGAGGCCCTCAAGGGCCAGGCCGTCATCAAGTCCCTGAAGGATACCACAAACATCATTGAGCAGGCCATTGGCCGTCGCATCTTTGAGCGATCCCTCAAGTGGCACGAGGGTGACCCGATGCCCGATGAGAAGGAGCTCATCTCTGGCCAGGACCGTGTTCTCCTGCGCCGGCGTCTCTTTGCCATGAAGCGCCATGGGCTTCCGCCAATTGTGACTCACAACATGCTCAACGACAGCGAAGACCCCGTGCTGAACCAGATTCGCCGGGTGCAGCTGTTCAACCACCCGTCAGACCGTGTCAAGGTCGTGTTCCACCCCGAGTTTTTGAACTCGGCCAACCCCGTCCTGCCGTTGGACTACGACGACTTTGTACGTGGCTGCCACATGGGTGTTTTCCCATCATACTATGAGCCGTGGGGCTACACCCCAGCTGAGTGTACGGTCATGGGCGTCCCGAGCATCACTACCAACCTCTCCGGGTTTGGATGCTACATGGAGGAGCTCATTGAGAACTCGAGCGACTACGGCATCTACATTGTGGACCGGAGGATGAAGGGAGTCGAAGATTCGGTGAACCAACTGTCCAGCTTCATGTTTGACTACTGCAACAAGAGCCGGCGTCAACGCATCAACCAGAGGAACCGTACTGAGCGGCTCAGCGACCTGCTTGACTGGAAGCGCATGGGCATGGAGTACATCAAGGCCCGCCAGCTCGCTCTCCGACGAGCATACCCCAACTCGTTCAACGGTGATGAAGAGGAAGAGGAGCTGGAAGATTTCATCCGCGGGCCGGAGCAGAAGATCTCCAGGCCATTCTCCGTCCCCGGCTCGCCTCGCGATCGGACCGGCATGATGACCCCTGGAGACTTTGCCAGCCTGCAGGAGGGACGAGAAGGTCTAAGCACGGAGGATTACGTTGCCTGGAAGCTGCCGTAAGTATTCCACAGTGGCTGCATGATTTGCAGTTCTTTCGGTTTTTTGCTAACATGTTGGACCTAGTGAGGAGGAAGACCCCGAAGAGTATCCCTTTTCGTTGACTCTGCGAACGAAGCAGCCCAGTGACATCAGCCCGGAGACCCAGGCCACCCTCAACGGTACTAACTAAACGGAAAAAGAGCGAAAGAGAAGAAAAAAAAGAGCAAAGTTGGGCGTTTTCCCCATGAGCAACATGCGTCCAGAGCCAAGCCAGCATTGTATCGGATTAAGGGCAGTTTTGACAGTGAATCTTTGTGTGTCAAATCTTTGATAAGTGTTTTTTTGTTTCTTCCGCCATTTTGGGCGAGGTCCAATGGAAGCAAACAGATTGGGTAAGAGTGAAGCAGAAAAGAAAAAAAACCGGAAAAGAAGGCGTTTCAACCGAGGGACTCGTCGGCGAGAGTGGAGGGATGTCGGCTTTGGGCCAATTGCCGATTTGATCAAAGGGGGACATAAAAATACCTGTACGTATGTTGCGTGTTGAATGATGAATACATACAGTATCTTGGTACTATATTTCTTTTGCTTGTCTGCATTGTGCTTGCCCACGTGCTCTGCTGAAACGCTGTGCTCCAAGGAGCTTACGGGTGAGTATATGAAGAGTCAGAAGAGACTCCACGGCATGGACGACACGTGTCCTATTTTGGCAATGCAGACATGACGCGATGGGGTTTGGAGGTGAGATGGCGATCTGTTTAGCGCGGCAAATGGCGTTGAGGCTGAAGTTGAGCGGTGGATCTCCAATTACACGAGCGTGTCGTGCGTATGCACTAGGTAGTTGTGAAGGAGATTGGATTGTCTCTGGTGATGATTTACGAGTGCAGTACGAGTACTCGGTACAGTCCAGGACATAGTATACAGCGTATTGAATTTCAAGGGCTTCTCTAGCCGAGTTCAGGGCAGGGCAATGTTTACGACATCATCTCCGAGTACCTGGGGAGAGGGTTCGATTTGGACTTGAATTGACAGGAGATGCGAATCGATTGTGATGAGGTCGTCATACGAGGCCAAAACCCGTGCAAGGCATGATTTGAACGGTCGAATGAGAATCATGCGTTTGTTGCGTGTGTTTATTCTACGGAGCAAGGGGGGGAGAATGGCTATGGGGATGGGAGATGGGGGATGGGATGCCTGCTACAGAAGCGAGAGGAAGCGAAAATGGAGTTCGTTTGTCCATGCCATGTTCATCCCCTGGGGGCTGAGGCTGGGGGAATGGAGAATGGGGGCAGCAAAGATTGATTTTTCTTTTCCTTTCTTTTTTTTTGTTGAAGGGTGGATTGGGGGAAAAGGCGGTGATGCAAGATTCGGCAGGGTGATTTTTCTGTCTCTGTTTCCTAGCGTGAACTGGGCAACTAAGACAGAAACCAGAGCTTGTTCCCGCGTCTTTTGAGTTACTGGCCAGCAAGAAATCGGGGTTAGTAGGAGCGGTTTGTGTGCTAAGGCGAGATGGCCGCGCCAGGGGGGACGGCAAGCGATGAAGACTTGTGAAGAGAGTGGAGGCTTGAAGCAGGATTTTTTTTTTTTGCTTTGTTAGCAGGGAACAGGGATTGGGAGGACATGGGGGTTCGTGGCAGATACGAGTGAAAAAAAGAGAGAGGCTGAGATGCGGTGAGGCTTCTGTGAGGCTTCTGTGCATACACCGTATTTTTGACACGTGAAGGAGGGGGGAAGATGCTGTGATTGTGTTGATGATGTGAGTATAAGTCGATATTAGATATCAGATGGAGATTGATGGCATTATTTGATTGTGATTGTTTATACGAGTGAATTGCGAATGGCACGTCTCAATCTCGGTGGAAATTGCAACCCCCAGGCGATTGGCATTGTTTGGGCCACTCTTGCTGTACAGCGAAATACACACATTGGATCAAATAGTACTGGATGAGTCCGAATGCACGCTCTCCATCACAGAGAATTTAGAAAGCAAAACCCCCTGACAGAACAGCAAGCACAAAAAAAAAGCTCGTGTGGGGCCACAAGCTAATTTCGGTAGGTCGCTTCTACAGTTCATGTTTTTTATTTATTTATTTTCTACGTTGGACCTGAGCGATCATGGGCGTAGTTCTCAGGGGAGGGGCCCCCTTGTCATGTATCTCACAGTGCACCGTGTCTTTTTGCTTTGTCTTGTTGGTTCAATGGAGTTTTTTCTTTTTTCTTTTTTTTTGCTTGTTCATATTCGCATGCGGGTTTTGATGTGCTGTCAAGCGCGATGCTGGATGGTGGAGACCTGAGACTGTCTTGTCTTGTCTTGTCTTGCTTTTTTGCTGTTCATCGTCGTGCTGTTTTTTGCATGTGCTGCTAACTAGGTAGGTAGCTAATAAGCTATAGCTATACAGTAGCTACAGCTATGGGTTTGGTTAGTATGGATTGTTGAGGAGCGTGATGCGGATGTGTGATGCTTCTGGGCATGAACCGATCCATGGTTCTCTGTGCCGTTGCTATACCGCCATTCATGATGCCATTCATACATACATGCTCTCGTCTATTCTATTCCGTTCCGTTCCATTCTGTACACGTAGCAGTACAGTATGCAATTGACTAAAGCAGCGGGTTTTGCTTGCTTGCATCCAGCCGATCTTGTACAAGTAGAAACCAAGGCACGCAGCATCGCGACGGTGTCCCAGACAATGTCGCACTCTGAAGCGTGAGAGTTGCAAGCAGCATCCAAGTAGTAAGTAATCTCAAGTATCACCTACTCCGTACTGTGCTCTGTACTGAGGCTACAGCTCTTCTTTCATGTTTTTTTTTCTTGTCTCGTCTTGTTCAATTCGGCCGAGTGCGTGCAGTACCTATTCAGTTCTTGAAAATGCCAGCCCATCGTTCCACGTTTCACCATGAACAGGTGACATCTTCCTTGTGGTTGATTATTGCTTGGCCAGCCGAAAGCATGAAAGACGTTGAATAGAGCGGAATTGAAACAGCCCCGAAAAGGGAAATTGTAACAAAACGCTGCATTGATTGAAATGGCCAATTCCGTTTCGAACGCTCCACGTATTCTTGTAATACTGGTAATACTACCGGTGATTATCATTAGTCTTAGAGACGAACACATGTATACAGTAAACCGTCCATCATCGCCGTCTCCAAGTAACGTCGCATCCCGATCTACCTAGATAGAATACACGTACACACGCGCCTCCGTGTCTTGGGGCCTGCATCGCCCTCTCCGGCTGAGACAAGGCCCTCGATACGGACGCGAAGCAACAAAAAAAAACAAAAGAATAATACTGTAATGAACCGTTTTGCACAAGAAAAGAAACCCTTGTCCTTGCTCCCTATCTCGGCCGTCGCGGTATCAAAAGTCCAGCCTCGCACAAGTACCTACTCGTATGTGCACATTACAGTGATTCCACACTCGTAACAGGTAATGATACAGTGCATCAAACAGCCCTGCACATCATTATTTTGGGAAAATCCCCCTTGCCCTTGAAACCCATGCTCTCTCTCTGTCTTGCTCCTGAACCGCCCGTATCACGTACTCCGTGCGGCGTCACGTATCATATCAAGTATCACGTATCACGTATCATGTACGGGTACTTGTCAGCAGCAGCACATGGCAGCAGCAGCAGCAGCACGGATTGCAGATTGCTCACTCACTCACATGCCTTGTGCCTTGCACTGCCTGCGGGTATGTAGGCACGGCACACCTCGTAATACGGCATATAAATAAATGATAACGCAGTAAAAAAAAAAAAAAAAAGAGAAAGGAAAAGAAGGGATGCTCGACGCAGGAGCACGGAGTGCGTGCAGCGAACGCTCAGGTACAGAAGAGATAGATGACGAAGAAAAAACAAAAGTAAATTACGCTCATCCTTATTCTCCGATAGCTTTGTAGCATATTTCTCTTATTGTTGTGTATATCCTAATATCTGTGTACATATCAAACCTCAACACTGTTGTTACTACCACCAACTATCGTGACCGAAGCCGAAAGGTCTCACCTCACAAACCACCAAGACAAAAAAGTCAAGACACGCCGTAACCAGCAAAAACACTGACACAGCACAAAAAAGGTGCTAATCCAAGTCCAGTACAACAAGCATCAATCTCATTCCATGCCCCCCCCCCCCAAAAAAACGCAGTAATAGCACATTAGCCCCAAGCAGACTAAAACAAAACATGTCGGCAGTACTCCATACATCTGCATGTACAACACATCTTCAACTCCACCGCGGGAAGGGAAAAAAAAAAAGGAAAAGAGGGCAAAAGAAACTACACCAACCAAAATTCAACAACATCCCGTTCCGCCTTTTTGTTTATACCTTTTTTGCGGTGAGGTCTGTCCTGCAATTGTCATAAGCCGTAGCCATACACCTTGAAAGCACATTCCATTAAACCACTATAGTATCTGATACTCATATATACCACTCGATCCAAGGCAGCAAAACCCTCCATCTCATCTCACCTTGTAGTAAAACTCCATACTCCAGTTAGCATCACAGTACTCCGTAATATCCCCCGATTCCCACCAACGTCAACCGGCCTCACCCGCTTCATCAGGTCCAAATCCCCACTCTGGGCATCCACGTACCCGTACACTCAGTCAGTCATCAACGTCCAATGCACCTTCGGGGCATCCATTTCCCACGCCAAGTACCAGTACAGTAAGTACCAGCACCCTTCATGCACGCATTCACCCATCTTGTTCACTCTGGGTTAAGCACATCTTCAACGGGAATAAAGAAAAAGCGGCTCTTGTACACCGTGTTCATGGCAGACCGCCTCGCTGCCAGGGATGTCGATGCAGGAGTTTTGCCTATCAGGTCATGGACCCTTGCCAACTACAACGTCGGTGTAGATGCATGGAGAGCCCCAGTTCACCTCGGCAACCAAAGGCAACAAAGGCATAGTGGACTGTACGGAGTACTGTACTGTGAAATGGTCAGTCAGTACGGAGTAGTCAGCACACACAAATCGTCACTTGGCAAAATAGGCAAAAAATGGTTTCAAAATCGAGGTCCAAGGAATCTCTTCATTGGTAGCATCATGACTACTTGCGTAGCTATAGCGAGAGAGAAAAACACGTGTTTGCCAGCTGATGTCATCGCGGCTGCTTTGTCCCAAAGAAACTGATAGAAAAGAAAAGAAACGCCATGAGGCAATGCAAAGCCTCCCCAAGAGTGTCATGTTCGCATGACCAACTCTCCTCATGTATCCCCACGTGAAAACGCCGCTCTGTGCAATATATGCCCCCATTTTTTGTTATGCCATATAAAAATGCGCCGCCTATAAAAAAAAACCAAGTCGAAAAAAGCAAAAAAGGGACAAAATTCCAGCACCGTCGTCACAGAATTCGCAGGAGTGAAGAAAGTAGAGGCCAGCTGTGGTTGTTCGGATCATTCATAAAGAGAAAAAAAAGTAGAATGTGGATCCAGTGTCGCAAAAAGGTAAAATCGAGGTGAAGAGAGTGTGTGAATGGAATGGTAGCGGTGTATGAGCTCATACTCGGATGCTTCGTCGCCGAGTCAAGAAGCCCTGGCGAATTCGTTTTGTCGGTGACAGGGGGGATGCCGCATCGCTAACCGGCGATAGCGTTGTGGCTGAGTAGCTGCTGGCCCTCCTCGAGGCCATCACGTCCTGGTAAATCGAGGGCGGTATTGATGTCGCGTTCCGGGGAGTGCTGTGGTTCTCCTCCTTGTCCTCACCGACCTGCTCCATGGGCAGCGTCTGTATTGACAGAGCCTCCCGAGACAGGGACGCCGACTGGTTCAGGTTAGGCCTGCTACGCTTCCTGACCAGGCTAAGCGTCCTCTTGAACATCTGCGCCGTCTTGCGGAGCTGGGGTTCCGGCTCTTCGGGCTCCGACTTTGTCGCGAAAGGATCAATGTTGAGGAACGAGGGCGAGCCCCCGTCGAAGCTGATGGGAGACATGATGCTGCTCGACCGGGGAGGGTGCTGCGAAACCCCCTTGGCCGACGACGTGGAGCTGGTAGATGCCTTTCGGTGCTTCAGGATGGGCTCGGTCGACGTCCTTGTAAGCTCGTTTGCGGTGCAGCTCGTTGATGAGCTAGGCGATAGTGATCTTCGGGAGAGCTGGACGATGCAGGCCTTTCCAGAGAAGACGACTGATACCTTGCGGGCAATGTCCTGGCACGTTGATGTCTGCTCTGGTGTCTCTTGCGCCTGCTCGCTGTCGGAGGTGTAGTCGCAGTCGGAGAAGTCGTCGGCTGAAGAAGAAACATCCTCTTCGGATGAAAGGTAGAGAAGATGAGGGGCGGCAGGGGTGAGGACGGGTCGGTGTCCCGAAAGCTTCTGAGGCATGGTGGCCAGCAGCCTTGAGGCCCTCAGGGCGCTTCTGGGAGGTAGAGCGGGTGCCTTGGGCAGCACGGCCTCTGTCGTTGTGATTGATGACATGTTGGTGTCGAGATCGATGTCGAAGTCGGTTGGTTATGGTGCAAGCAAGCCCTCGCAAAGCTTGGGAGCTTGGGGGGGAAGCTTGATGTATATGAGAATCTCTTTGCGTGGTCCTGCCCCTCTAGAGTATGGATGCCTGGGACGAAATTCGACTGCCTATCAATGGCTTCCTTGAAAAGCTCCACCAACTTGGGCGATAGTCGTACGTGTGACGGCGATGTATCGAACAGGGCGGATCCAAGACCAATAAGGCGGGCAAAGTCGACGAGGAGGAAGAAGAAGAAGACAAAGGGAGAGACTCTGGTTGGGATTCTTGTAAGGCGTCAAACGAGCCAAGATATGGAAGTGGAAGAGCAAGGCAAGGTACGGAAGATATGAAGATATGGAACAAGGGAAAGGGCGGCCGAGGGAGGAATGTAGCTGAAGCTGTTCTCGTCTCGTTCACGCGCAGAGAAGGGAAAAAAAGAAAAGAAACTTGAGATTGAATATGAATGGTCTTGGAAGAGAATCTTGACTCTCTCTCCACGCGCCGGGAAGGGGGCACACACAGATACAAGTATGTTGAGGCAGGCATGGGCATGTTCCACCGTCTGGCATGTTGGTACCCGCGCACTGTGTACTTGCCACGGACGGCGAGCCCACTTCCCACCTTGGGGGCCCACTTGGTATCCCGGCAGGGGTTAGTTGTGGATCCCCAAGCACTGCCAGAAGGGGACTAGCCCGCGTTATGACGGCACAGGGCATTTGATGTGTCTTGTTCTGGTGCTGTGCAGAATGAATGGATTACATTACATGCTGGGATTACTGCTGTGCTGAAGCCGAACCTGTACAGGCACAATTACAGGTAGCCAAAACATGTCACTGGCCCTGCAAGCAAGTCGTTTCACAGGCCTGCAACTGGCCGGCCGGTTGACGGAGCGAGCAGCTCTTTCTGTCCACCCCATTTCGCTATCCCAACTCGTCATATTTTGCAAGAATGTGACTGCTGCAGATAGATTGGGAGTTTTGGACGGTGCTGGCTGGGCACTCCGTAAAAGCTGTCGGCTTCTCCAGTACTGCAGCAATGCCACCTCCAGTTCCAGCCCGTCTGTGGCTTGACATCTGTTGGAGATGGATTACCTTATGCTTTTAAACTTGTTTGCAGCCACGGCGTCGACGTCCCTCTCGCTAATGGAGAAACCAGCATTTGTATTTCTCCTCGTACCTTGATGCGCCACTCTCCAATCGTTCTGTCTGACGCCTCTCTTGCTCCCCCAGCCACCGCCTGTAAAATGCCATCATTCCAGTTGCTTCGTACGTACGACTGCTGCATCCATCGCGTCGCATTCGACTAGACGACTCTCGATGCAATACTGCAAGAATCAGGACATGTGTGTGAGAGTGCGAGTGCCGCTTTAGCTCGAGATGGCGAGTGTGACGTCCCACCAGCTCTCCGCACGCAACACGTATCACCACTCGACTCAAGTGCCGAGTGCTACCCTTTGCTCTCATTGGCATTCAGGCACAGAGCATTAGCCAGCGGTGCCAAGTAAAGTAAAGCAGAGTAAGCGGCGTAATCTAGAGCCAAGAGATATTTGATAAAAACTGCCAATTGTCAAAAGACGACAAGATCACCACGAAACAATCCTTTAATTGCTCCGGCAATTGACAGCGTTGATGGATGCCACGACATACAGACACCCGATGACTCGTCGCAGCCTCGCCGATCTCTCCTCTTGTCGCAGCAACCCGCCCTTGATATCGAATCCCCCTCCATCCTCACTCACACTCACAGCACGGACACGTTCCACGTCCCAACGCCTAATTCAAACCCTCTCCATTCTCCGCCGTCCGGATCATTCCAGGGGCCATGACGCCAACCGCACCAAGCGTCGACGTGGAGGCCGGAGCCCGTGTTGATTGGGTGAGGCCTGCCGTTATCGTTGCCATTGGGAGCAAACAAACTGTCCTCGTCTTCCAACGCCCATTAATCGTACGAGTGCTCGTGGCTACTAACTGACAAACCTCAACTCAACTAGCCTGAACGAACATCCCGGGCGGATCGTCGTCTCGTCACGCGGGTGCTGCTAGTCTACCTGTAGTCAACGGCTGAGCACGCAGCTCCCTGTAGCTCGTCATTTAACTGTTTCTGCTAGCAGCAGCGTAGTGACTAACATCATGAAGATGTCCACATACGATTAGGGACAGGCTCAGGGAGGATACAGTGCTGTACCGGTGCCGTACCGTAGCATCGAGACCGCAGATCGGTTTGAGCACTTTCTTGAATGAGAGATTGGAGTACAGGCCGGTATCTACTCATCTACAGGGACATTGATGAGAGTGCCGGCCGACGAAAAGAAAAGAAGAAGAAGAAGAAGAAGAAAAGGTCCATGCAGCTAATACGCGACGTACGGCTGGTCTCGGCAGCGCGTGAATCACCAGAACTGTCTGGTATCTAGCATCTAGCATCTACTTAGCCTGGCTGCACCATGACGCCCAGCAAGAACCAATCACGTCGTCCACACGGTCCTTTTCTTCCTCGCTCCCCTCCTCCTCATGATGCCCTCTCGAAAGGCCTTTTTTTTCATTTCATTTCCTTTCACCTTGTGCCATCCGAATTGGCTTCAGCCGCACGCACAAGAAACGCTTGCCGCCACGTCAAGTTTAATTACCCGTCTCCATGAGGCGCCGTGCGGCACGGATGAAAAAACGCTGCACAGACTGCAGCACCCGACGCAGGGCGAAAGGGATGCACCATGGCCAAGGCTTTCGGGACATTTTTAATTGTTTCCAATATCCTCTGGAGGGGGTTTCGCACGGAGTTGGCCGTACGAAAATGCAGGATGATACATTAGTACTACTCGTACGAGTACCCCCTTTGGTAGTAGGTTAGATAGGGCGGTATTTTATTGCCTTGAGATGGGGTTGATGCAAGACATTACGCCAATATCCAGCAAAATCACTTGGATGGGATCAATTCTTCCATCTACACCCTTTCCAGGGCACAACCTCCCTCGTGTCTACGCGTAACAAGATCCTAATCCAACCCTGATGCCTACGAACTATGCTTCAATCCGTTCATCCATTCATTCGTCCGCATTCAACTCACGCCATGCATCGCGCCATCGATTCTGGTCCCAGCCTCTCCCTCCTCTCGCCATCCAGTCAAAATTGGCAGACGCAGTCCATTGAATCTGATCTGCTCCGTAGAGTAGTTTTGGTGCCTCTGGTAGCGCCGACGTCCACACCCACCCGTCTCTCGGCTTGCATCGTTGCCGCCCAATCACCTGCGAATCACCGCACCGTGACGATACAGAATGCCGATGGAGGCCCTTTTTCCTGTTTCCTTTTCCCTCTTCCTCTTCGTCTGCGATTCCCTGCGCCAGACCGACTTTTAGGCCTCTGCAGATAGGATGATGGGTTAGCACATCTAAGTGCACCTCGGCGGCATCATTTCTCTACATGTACGAGTATATAGCAGCACCATTTCAATGTCTTGCATATCTTGGTGAAAGAAAGAAAGAAAGAACACATATAACGGCGTCACTCCTCCCGCTTGTACGAACCGAGATCGACTCTACCGAGCCCCTGATTTGCAGCATCAGAGTCACACCAAATTCTACAACAACTAGGGCCGGCCATCCCAAACTACGTGTACCAAAGATACCACCACCAAAGATCCTTCGTATCACCAATGTAAATGCAACACATGGGAGGGGCACAGACAAAATCTCAGCTCTGTTGATTGGAAATCCGCTACAAGACCACAAGACACAGCGATGCTCTTCCATCCCACCCAAACCTCGCCCATCCTCCCGTCCATTTACTTGATGCCCTCCTCTTCTTAGGTAGCCTCGGGCCTCGTATCTGCTTCACTGCACGTCTCAACCAGAACGCCACCAAAACCAACCAAGCCAAGCAGCAACCGTCAGTGACTGGCTCAAGCCGATAAGGCTGGAACACTGACTGCAAACTAGTGCCGCAAAACTTGGGCATCTGACAGAAACGCACCAAAAAGCTTCGCGACGCGCAGCGCTTCACATTCTGAGATCTTGGCTTCCATTCGCTAGTGATAACCTAGAATTTGACTCCGGAGGTCTGGGCTTCCGTCAATCTGGTTCATGTACCTTTGGACAGTGAAGCCATACTGTATCCCAGCCCTCTGGTAAGAGAGAGCACACCGTCACCGGCTGTGCTTAGCCCTCCCTCCCACCCTACAGCTGAAGCTCATAGCGCAAGTGACCTGCGTAAGGCTTGACGGAATGCTGACTCCGTATCGATCCCGATTGCTGCAAAACAACTCGAGAGTTCGGTCATGGTGGCGCGCCCCCGAAATAGCAACTTTGCTTATAGGGTAGGTTCCCCTCGTGCCTAAAAAGTGATTGACCCCAAGGAAAATGGCGTCATGGGGCTCCCGCCGGCTGACAACTTGCCTTTGCATGCGCCACAACCTGTCGAAAAGCCCCGTCCCAAAAACCTTCTCCGCGGCACCTCTTTAGATTACTCCGTAGCTTTGAGCTTGAATTTTTGCGGAGGGCCCGTGCCAGCCACAGAGCCACCAGCCACACATCCAGGATCCATACCCGAAGCGGACTAACCCTCTTTCAAACAATAAGAACAGAGCCAGAAATAGAAGCCTTTCCCACTCCTTCTCTGAACCCTTATTTCGTGCGCGTGGCGTGAACCTCGGCGGGCTGTGCAAGCTCCTACCTATTATTCCGAAAATATTCGTACCTGTTCTCGTAGAATCATTCTCGCAAAAACACCAAAGCTTGTAGATATGGGCTGGCTCGCTCCTTTCGGAACCAGCACCACCCGTTTCGCCCTTATCTCTTGGGGTTTTTTTTTGGGGGGGGGGGGGGGGAGTTTTCTGAAACACAGACAGAAGAAATTGCCAATAAGTCACGGGCCCGTTTCAACAGCGGCCACGAGCGTTTCAATCGGTGGCCCCTCCCCCGTCCAACAACCCCCCCCCGGCAGCACGTTTTTTGTTTGACGATTGTTTCTCAATTGGTGACTCC